GACTCTCTCTCCATCCTGGATTACCGGGTCGCCCCTCGTCTTTTTCTTTACATTTCACTTATTTCTTTTTTCTCTTAACCTTTCCCTCTCAACTCAAAATAGCTGTCTCTTCTCATTATTTTCCCCTTTCGTTCTCAATTTGCAGAATATTGGCTCTTCACAGAGGGGATATGGTCACAAATATTTATGACCGAAATGTGGACATGTTGATAATGACAAGACTAATTAAAGCGATAGGGGCAAGGCGGCGGTATCTTCTATTTCATTTTTCTTTCTCATCTTAGTATCTCCTGTTGCGTCGGCTGAGCAATGAAGTACCTCCCTCGATGAGGTATCTACCTGGATTTTCCAGACCTCTGATGGTTCTATGTCGCCCTACCACGGTAGCTGCGCTAGAAATTTCCTTCCACATTGCAGGCCGATGTAATATGTTAGTGAAAATGAATACAAAAGTTCCTAATTTGAAAGTTAGTCATATACGTGTTTGTGACATGATTTCAATACAAAACCAACCTCGAAAGGTATAGTATCATATATTACACGAGGCCAGTTGGCCGAGAACTCTTTGAGCGGCTCTCCCTGTCCAAGCAAAAGGCACCATGCAGAAAACAACACTGTACAGTATCAAAATTATAAGATCAACGTCCAACAGCCTGCAACAGGGATTCGACATATTCACGTACGCGTCAAATATATCCTACAGGATGCCAGTATGTCCACTTCGAAGAGAAAGGTGATTAATTGAAGTAGGTCATTCTATTCATACAGCACTCAATAAAAAAAAGGTTATTTGTAGAGATATTGGCATCAAGCAATACCAGGTGTTGCGATATGACATGAGACTACGAAATTTAGACCTATCTCATCAAAATCGTTCACCGAAACTTTACAACACTTGCTCTCCAGCACAAGCTGTAATATTAGAAAAGAGCAGTATTTACGAGAAGGAGTCCTTACTCCGGTACGCCAGAGAGCTAGGCGGCCAAAAGTAGCTCCGACCACCGATCACCGACCACCTGGGCCTGCTGGCCGTCCCTGCCGTATCTTAGGTAGTTAAAGAAGCGAATCTCACAAATAAATCTGTTCAATCCTCTCTGTTCCGGGAAAGCGGAATTTTCGGCTCTCAGACGTAGGTATAATAGTTTCATTTCAAAGCGCAGTGATCAAATATCTTGGTTGGGCCGTAGAGGGGGTTCCTTTCACATTCTAGACTGAACGACCAACTCTTTAACTTAAGTTAAACGCCAAGGGATCGGACTACTCTACTCCGTTTCCCCGCGTCTTAGCTTCGGATGAAGGAATCAGCCCAGATAGTTAGCGTGGTCTGCAGCATTAGGGAGTACTACAGGATAAGCTCTTACAGCATATAAAGCCCAAAGCAGCTCCTCGTGGGAAACAGGGTACCTTATTGAAAGAAATTTATCTTATTCATCGATCGAAGCTGACTGTCATCTGATCTAATTCTTCTCTCGTGTTTCAACTTGGCGCGCCGTTTGCTCCTCAGATAATAAAACAATGTCTGCACCGTTCGCATACGATTCATCGGGTCTGCGCGTTGCGCAGGCCGTGGGATTAACTTCCTCGGCCTTTCTCTCTGGTGCGCCTTCTTTAACATAGTCTCACTCGATCCATAATCTCTGATATGAATCACCTTGTCTTAATCCATCTCCTTGACCTCAATTATGAGAGATCACAAGCTCACCTAAAACCAAAAAAAAACAGGCTTTATATTCTCTATCTCAACAATTACTGTTCCCGCTATCCTGCCAAACCCTCCATCGACCATTTTGAAATCCTGGTCGATTGCATACAACAGGGGTAAAATGATTGCGCCGTCAATGGCTCTCACCAGTGCCCTGGCGAACCTGTATGTCGCGTATAAAACAGAGGATGTTGTTCCCGTCGTGGCAGCCGCGCTGGCCATTGGCATTGTCCCATGGACCATTCTCGTCATGCTCAAGACCAACAAAGCTCTAATGGAGCGGGAACAGCGCACTCGAACTGTTCATGCGACGACGGAAGTTAAGGTTGAGATAGAGGAGGAGGGCGTTAGAGCACTGACGGATCGGTGGGCTACATTGAATCTGGTGAGGGCTGGACTCGTCCTCTCAAGCGCAGCTGTCGCAGCGTGGCGCATTTTCTTTTAATCTTTTTCTGATCTTTCTGGTTCGAGAAAAACACTACGTTTCATTGTGGATAAGTAGTAATCCACTTGCCGTTCCCAAATCTTATCCAACTCTTCTCTTCACTTTCAAATATTATCGTTCAAGAAGCGCAACTGATGCAATGCGATTTCGGGAGTACTAAATTATTAAAGTACTTAAGAAAGGTATAATATATTTACATTTCTCATAACAGACGTCTTCATGGCGCAATTGTAGGTGAAAGAGACTACCTTTGAATCGATTCGTAGCATATTTTACGCGGCCTTCCATTCAAAGTGGTGCTTTCCTGTAACTGGTTGACCAGCCGGCTCGGATTTAAGGTCAAACATGTGCTTCCCAAAATAGTCCATCTCAGCCTCGTAGAACCGGGTAGGCAATTCTGGCCATATGTTAGCTCATTGGAGTAGGTGGTACAGGGGGAGTATGATTCTACTTACCAAGGTTATTGGAAAACTTGAGATATTCAAGGCTGGCGCTTATGCTCGGAATGATGGAGTTTGCTTCCGTTCCCTTGGCGACTACACGCTTCAAGGCCGGGAAAGTCTTTTTGAACTCCTCAGCAATACGAGACTCGTAGAGGAGATTTCTGTTATCCTGTCGACCATGCTCATTCTTGTAGAGATTTTCAAGAAGGTCCGCGATATAGTCGGCTTGAATAATGCATCCCGCTCTCCATATCTGGATGATGGTGCCATAGTTCGCGTCCCACTTATTTTCGCGGTCGGCCTTGTCAATTATGATCAATCCTTGAACATACGACGCCAGACAAGCAGCGTAGACCGCCTGTCTGAGATCTTCTAAGAAAGCATCCTTCTCCTTGGCGCTTTGCAGTGCAATCTTTTCAATTGGAAAACTGCCTCCAAAGACCTTTTCGACACGCTCCCTCTGAGCCCGATCGGCGGAAGCAAGCCGGAAATAGTGCGCAGTAGTCAGCGAAGGGGAAGGTACATGCAATCGCACTGCCTCCTCGTTTGACCAGATGCCAGTACCTTCGGTCTCATCTGTATCTTGCACAACCTTATCCTGGACGTAATCGAGTACTTTGTCGCCCTTTTCGTCCTTGGTTCTACAAATGTCAGCTGCAATGTTTACGAGGAAAGTATTTCTCTAGATCGACAAGTTAGCAAGAATCAACGTGAGATGTGTAGAGCAACCTACCAGCTCGCCATCAGCAGCCCATTTTTCAAAAACATTCCCAATCTCGTCGGCACCCATCCCAAGAGAGACCTTCATTATTTGCCAAGCTTCTGAGACTGCACTGATCATCGCTTGTTCTATGCCATTGTGAATCATCTAAGAAACTCTGTAAGTAAAATATGTCCATGCAAGCTTGTGGAGCGTGGCTGCACAGTACCTTGATATAATGGCCCGCACCCCCGTTCCCGGCCTTTCCAACACATGGTCTTCCCTTGGAGTCTCTTGCGCACACCTTTTCCAGTAATGGCATGACCATCTCCAGAGCGATTTCTTGTCCTCCTGGGCACATGGAAGGGCCTCGCCTTGCTGCTTGATATCCACCCGAGACACCCATACCAACATAATAGACGCCCTGGTTCAGGCATTTCCCTTGACGTCTCTGCGTGTTAAGCCAGTGCTCATTACCTGCATCGATAATAATATCGCCCTTTTCCAAATAGGGATGAAGGTTTTCAACGACGGTGTCACCAACAGTTCCGTGTGGCAAGCTGAACAGGAAAACTCTCGGCGATCCCAAGCTCTTGCAAAGGTCGGCATAGTCTTTATGTCGATAAGGTCAGAGAAATCCAAGATTCTATTTTGGGGGGTCGTCAGCAAAAGTACCTTCATGCTTTTCCACCTTGTCAGCCACACCGGCTTTCTTTGCCTGTTCCAGGACTTGGTTGACGGTCTGCTCCGAAGGATCATTAAGGGACACCTTAATTCCTTTTTCGGCAAACAGCAGGGCCATACCACCACCCATGCTGCCGCATCCGATGATGGCAACCTATCAGAAAGCGTCAATAAGCTAGGAAAAGAATGATATGAGTCCAATAATTTGAAGCATACAGATTTGATTTCGACCTTGCCCGTCATGATGAAGCTCTATCAGTCAATAAAATTATTTTATTCTTCTGGTTTATTGGCATGCAATGGCCCGGTGATAGTAGATATAACGAAATAAAAGTATGTGGTTGTCCGGGTCATATGGAAATATAATGCTACTAAGGTAGTGTTGACAGAGTGTGACGTAGTGTTGTCGTTATTTCAGCAAACTCCACGGCGGTGAAATCATAATCGGTAATTCCCAAACACCCCGATTGTACATCACACACCACTGCAGATTACCTACAGGTAGTTAGTTCGGGATAAATTAGTAAGGGCACCGAGAAAGATGATTATATACGCTTTCTACTACGAAATAATCCATTAATATATCATGCTTGGAACAATTTTACCAGAGATTGTGTCGTTTTAGTTGACCTTCTAATCTGACTGATATTTGTCTCCCTCCAAGCTCACACAGACTTTAGTGACCTTCTAGAGTACGAAGGTATATGGTTGGCCTTTAAGCAGGACTTTTGGTGTCTTGGTAACAGAGACGTTCTTTTTGCTTCATTGAGTTTGGGCCATTACTATTCATTATTGAGTAGAGTCTTTTTTTCCACTAATCGAATCTAATCGCGAGCACAAGAGAAATGCGGGAATCATTGGCTACGGTATTCCTTGGAAGACCACCAACAGTTTATGGCTTTGATTGCACCTCGAAGGCCCCCCTTGCCCCCTTCTCGGTTCTCGGAATTTTTGAATCTCCGTGATTTTCTCGCTAGACATTTGCACCCCTCGCACCTCGCACTACGGTAATAGTCCGAGCGAGGGGAAATGTTAAATTGATAGATTATCTAGTTTAATCTGATAGTATTTATCTGATAATCAGTCGTTTGCAGAACTCGCCGCAGGGTCCCTGTAAGTTAGTGTTATGACCGAGACGGTGAATAGCAAGCCCCATATCATTCAGTAACTGGAACGCAATCGTAGTGAATACGATGTTTTGCTCCCACTTGATATAGATGCAAGACAATTTTAGTTTTTGGGTAACTCCATCATTCGTCATACTCCATCACCATCGTGGAACGACCTATTGGAAATGAACGGCGCTGCAGAGCTCCCCTCCGAGGCAAACCCTCTAAATTTTCAAACTCTTTTACAGACGCTGGAAGCTGCCACCTCGTCTTCCTTACTTCAGGTTCGGGCAGCGACTTCACAGCTTCAAAACTGGGAAAGGCAGCAAGGTTACTATAACCTCCTTCAGGTATGTCATATTAGTGGGCGAAGTTTTAAAGAATCGATGCTTAAAGTTGGACTGAATAGGATGCTTTTATCGACAAATCATCATCTGTCGACGTTCGCTACCTTGCTGTCATTCAGCTAAAAAATGGAATTGACAAATACTGGAGGAGAACCGCCTCAAAGTATGTCATTGCGGCTGCTCAGCGCTCTAGCAAGACATTTGTTAACGGGGAGATAGTGTCATGAGCAAAGAAGAAAAGAGTGTCATCCGATCAAGGCTGTACGAGAGTGGAATCAATGAGCCTGATTCTCGTCTTGCTCTACAGAACGCGCTGGTTATATCCAAAATCATTCGCTTTGAATTTCCTGCCGACTGGTACTTCATCGATCTTCAAATCAATCTTGGTATCTCTCCCACTGACGTCGTCACAGGCCAGACGCCATAACTGACATCGTCCATCTTCTCCGCCTCGCGGCCCAGCCTGGCGCCAATCCTATTCACTTGCCTCGGGTTTTGTTGATTCTTTTGCACATAATCAAGGAGCTATCCACCGCGCGTTTGCAACGCCTACGGACGAACCTTTACTCAGTCACACCAGAGACATACCAAGTGCTAGGCCGCATCTACATAGAAAAGGTACAAATATGGAGAGCATGGATTCAGAATGGAGGTGGTGAAGGAGCGGGGTTGGAGGATATTGAAAACAGCCTTCTGGCGATAAAAGCACTCAGGAGACTGATGATTGCTGGCTACGAATTCCCAAATCGGGAGAAGGAGGTGCAGGAATTCTGGACAATTATTCGCGATCAGTTCGGCGACTTTCTGAACATGGTCACCAGCGAACCTCAACAACTGACGCAACCCATTCAACGCATGATCGAAAAACATCTCTTGCAACTCTCCAAAATGCATTTAGAGATGGCTAGAACACATCCTGCAGCATTCGCTTTGCTTCCAGATTCTATCAATTTGGTCTATGCTTATTGGAAATTTGTGTCTAAATTCGGCGAGAACTTGGGTATTAAATCCGCAGCCGCATTACATTCCGACATAGCTGTGGACGAGGAAGAACCAAAAATCCAAGAGAGACTCTGCTTGAAAGGCCTTCTTCTGATACGTGCATGTGTCAAAATGGTTTTCACTCCGTCACCTTCGTTCAAATATCGCCAGGAGCAGGACAAGGAGGAACAGAAGCTCTCAGTCCAAATGATGCGGGCCAATTTTCTGACGGAGTCATTTGTGCGGGAGTCTATGGAAGTTATTGTAACTCGCTTCTTCGTCTTCAGAAGTATAGACCTTCAGGAATGGCAAGAAGACCCGGAAGAGTGGGAGCGTAAAGAAGAAGGCGAAGGTGATAGCTGGGAGTTTTCGATCAAGCCATGTTCCGAAAGGCTCTTCCTGGACTTGGTAACACATTTCAAAGATTTTCTTATTGAGCCTCTGATTAATGTGTTCTACTCCGTCTCATGTAAGTGCTACTTGACTCAATGATTCTGGATTGACTGCTAAACCTCATTAGCTCCTGATAACGAAGATATCTTATTCAAGGATTCTGTCTACAATGCAATCGGACTTTCTGCTGCAGTCATCCATAAATCTTTAGATTTTGATGCTTTCTTAACCGCTACTCTTGTGGCGGAGGTTCAGAAAAGTCAGCCGGGGTGCAATATACTTCGACGGCGGATTGCCATCCTTTTAGGGCAATGGGTATCAGTGAAGATATCCACAAGCAACCGACATCTTGTCTATCAAATATTCCAACATCTGCTAGATGCAGCAGATCCGTACAACGATCAGGTTGTTCGGTTAACGGCTGGCAAGCAATTTAAGAATGTCGCGGACGAGTGGGAGTTTGAGCCAAATGGATTCATGCCATACGCGACGGAGATTCTTGGACGCATCATGGCGCTGATTGAGGAAGTTAGTCTCACGGAGACGAAAATGACACTGCTAAATACCGTGAGCGTTATTGTTGAGCGATTGGAATACCGGGTACGTAGAGTCTGAATAGTCTTGTATTGATCTATGCTAACCGCTTAGCAGATCTCTCCATATGCCGACAAGATTGTCTCTCTGCTTCCGTCACTTTGGATGCAATCAGGCGAAGAACACTTGATGAAGCAAGCCATTTTAACTATATTGACACGATTAATAACTTCTATGAAAGACGATTCGCGTCGTTACCATGAAATGATACTTCCGCTCATTAAAAGTGCCGTCGAGCCTGAGTCGGTGAGTACCATGCGCTAATTTTACAAATATTATATCTTCCAGGCTGACTTTACGGATAGGAGACGCGTGTTTATCTGCTTGAAGATGCCCTTGACTTATGGGCCTCAATTATCGTCCAAACTCCAAGCCCTGCATCTCCAGATGTGTTATCTTTAGCCCCTTATCTGCTGTCGATATTTGAGCTTGGCACGGAGACACTTCGCCAAGCCCTGGATATTACCGAATCTTATGTCCTACTTGCGCCGGGCGAGATGCTGACAGATGAAATGCGAAACAATTTGATTGGGGGTTTGGCATCACTCCTTGGCACTCTCAAGGCGGATGCGAATGGGATTGTCACACACTTAATGGAGGTTGCCATTCGAGCTGCTAACACCCTTGGCGGTGAGCAAGCCGTAGAGGTCATGGGGAAGTCACTACTGGACACCAATTTCCTGGCAAAAGTTCTAGAGGGCCTGCGAGAAAGCTGGGAAGCTCATCAAACTACTGGACCGAACAAGAAGTATTCAAGTATTGATGGAATAGTCGAGACGGATTATTTCAGCGTTTTGGCAAGGCTATCCCTGGCAAGTCCCCGGATATTTGTGGGTCTAATGGAGGCAGCTGGAATGTCACGAGGAGAGAGCTTCGAACAAACGCTCAAATGGATTCTCGATGAATGGTTTAGCCATTTCGAAAATGTCGGTGATCCCGATAAAAGGAAACTCATGTGTCTCGCCCTCACGAGACTTTTAGAATCGGGCGAGACCTGGATTCTCTCTAGATTGCAGGATCTCATAATTATGTGGACCGACGTTATCATAGAGCTGCAAGAGGGAGCTGAGGACAAGGGTGGCGAGTAAGTATACCGAGTATTTAGACCTCGGAAGTTCTATTTCCACTAACCGGACATAGCAGTCTTATATATTGGGACGCCGAGGGACTCAAGCCAGATACACCTGAAGCCCCTGAAGATGAGCGACGAAGAAACGTGAGATGTTTGAGAGATTTAGATTTCTAATGATACTGATTTGCTAACGCGACGTCCAGCTTACTTTTACCGACCCGGTTCATACGATCAATGCCATTGATTTTATCAGAAGCCATGTTCAGCATGCTATTACCGCCTGCGGCGGTCAGGAAGTTTTCCAACAGATGTGGCTTGCCAATGTCGACCAGGACGTTATTGCATCTTTCGGGAAATTGGGCATCGTTTAAATCGCAGGTGTTTGCATTCTAAAGGATATTTTCAATTTTGTTTTTGTGAATCAATCTTTTAGAGATATCATAAAATTACAGCGCGGTTAAATACAGCATAGGCAGCTCCCCCTTTCGCACTGAGATCTCTTCATTTTGGACAATGCGTTGTTTGAATCACTAAGGAAGTTCGCCCGTCCTCGCAGGTAGAATAACAGCCAACATTTGACTACGATCACTTTTTATCAAGCTTTATTTACTGAGAGTGTTTAGGAATGAAAGAAGAAACGAGAATTTACGCATGGCATCGTATGTGAAGACAATTGGATAATAAATTCGAACAGAATGAATGGCTTTTACCTATCAAGCATAACGATTATGATAAGTCAACAGACAACGATCCACCATAAATTTGCAGGAGAGACAGCCATGCTTAGTCGTCGTCTTCGACCTCGCCCATAGGCTCAATACGCGAAGAGTCAATGTCCTCAATGTCCAAACCAGTGTCCGGTGGCACTGGCGTGTGAGTGGTTCTGCTAAGGGGGTCGATCTTAGTAGAAGCAATGGTATGCTCGTGGCCAACGACGCCCGAGGTATCAGCATGCGGTGCTACATGATGATGATGAGCTGGCAACCAGGCAATGAGTCAGCAATCAATAATCAAGGAGAGTTGTCAGAACGACTGCCTCGCCCAAGACGAGTTTCATACGGCAGGAAAATATTGAAACAAGGGCAAAGGATCAACTAGTTACCATGTCCAGCAAGTGGAGCAATCCGCGATCGATCGATATTGCGATCGGTGCCAACAGCTCCACGAGAGCTTTGGTCATGAGGAACCCCCTGCTTCATGGTCGATGCAAGCGGGTCAATCTTCGCCGCCGAAATTTTCTCGTCACTTCCTGTCTTGCAGTCAATACACAAACAAAAGAGGGCCTCCAGCTACAACAGGCAGCAGATGAAGTGGGTGAAATTGGCATACCAGACGCTCCTCTATATGAAATGTTGTTAGAAACACCAGGTTGGCAGGAAAAGGGTCAAAAAGTAGTGCACTTACGAAGACATTGTGTCGATTGTGTTATGTTAAAGTCCGAGTTTTGCTAGAGTGGGATGATGTAGTTACAAAAGCAATGGAGCTTGGAAGCCGGAAATATAATGCTCGGTGGGAGTAAGCTGTCACCTTGGATAGGTTGTTGTGAGAGGGACCACGCTCGTCATAGTGTCCTTATTTGGGTGTCCTGATGCGGGGTGATGCTATGGTGGGATAACCCTCCTAAAGGGGGGAAGCTTATAGGTAAACTTTTAATTGCCACGCATTGTATGCTGCATGTCAAGATTCTATAAGTCTTCATCAATGTGTACTTATGGCGACCTCGTCCGGGCATCCTTTGTGCACCTGTGCTAATTAATTGAGTTATTTGTCGTCATCGGCCTAAGGTTTGCTACGTTTTCCGCAGGCCAGCACTCTGTGGTCATCCGACACCTTTTACAAAAGAGGATAGCTATTGTGACGAAAGAGAGACCCTGATAGCTTGATCTTCCCACGTTTTCCGTTTGTTTCGAGCATGGCGCACTATGACGAATGCTTCCCCTTGCAAAAAGGGTTCTTACTGCACCAAGCAAGGTCAGAATGCAGGTCGAAATGTTTCCCCTTATTGGGGCTTCGGCCTCGTGAGGACTTTGAAACTGACTCTTTCACACAATTTTGGTAATTTTTATATGCAAATGAGAAGACTTGGCATATCAGATGTGCAGGCGCAGAAGGATACAATCCCCGTCGGTATTATTGTGACAAGATAAGACATGGCAGTCATGTGAAATTGCGGGGAAAAACCGGGGTTTGTATCCACGTGACCTACAGTTTGACTTCATCTCGACGTTCAACCATCTTACGTACAATCAAGAATTGCAACTGTTGATTGAATGGTCAAATATAAAGGCTCTGTTTCTGATCGCAGATATGGACCGATATATTTGAGAATCAGCCTGTTCGATTGGGACAACGAGAGGCGTTTTGGCCATTAGTCACGTTGTTTCGTGGGGTCAGCGTGTCAGGGGGGAAGTTACTTGCCATATCAGGAGAGTGCGACAGGCCCCAAGCGCACTTCCCCAGTCTTGTCAGTACACCTTAAACAAACAGCCGGGATATCTGCTCTTTCCGCAGATGACCACATAGTGCCCCAATGCTCTTTCTCGTTTTATATTCATGATTGCGCCGATAGTCTTAAGCACATGTATGCCCTGGTCATCCCAGGAACACGATCGATTCCTATTGTTTCCAGATACGACTTCAATGGCACATCTCATCCGATCAAAACAACCCCTCATCACCGCCCATAACTCCATTCCTCATCCGCCTATCCGCCCTTCCTTTGTACCGTTTGTGCGCTGCCCATTTAACGACATTGGTTGGAGCGCGCCTATCTTGCCGCGAGGGTGAGGAATGCTAGTGGTCCAAACACTGCCGAATTCCTGGCAATATGTCTCATCCGTATTCATTCTTCGTGTCTACTCCGCTATGCCCCACACTCGACAACAGTGAGCCCGCATCACATTCACTCAATGCTTTGGATACCCCTACCAATCTCTCCGAACCTACTCCCTCAAAATTTGCTCGCCAAATTAGGAGGCTTCAGTTTCGCCATGCGGGCGGATTCCGAGGATTATCCATGACTCCCCGGGTCATTACTCCTCCTGCATCCTCACTAAACATAAGCCCATCCTCTAAAAAGACGCCACCTTTCTACGAGTACATACCAAAAGCAGAGCGTTGTGAAATCCCAGCTGAGAGGTCATCCCCACTGTTCGGAAAGACGAGAAGCTCAACGAGTCCGCTTGGGATATTGCAAGAGGTGGGCACCACAACCGTCCGTCGTCGATTAAGTCAAAAACTCTCCCGATCGTCAGAGGTCCTTGAAGAAGATCCAGTGCCCCACACGCCTGCAATCCAAGCAAAGACTCCCAACACCGGGACTCCTTTGTTCGACAGACTCCAATCACCATCAGAGAGAACGTTCAACGGCAGAGAACCCGAGCCATTTCCCGTCCCGTCGTCCCCAAATAAGCCCCAAACATTGGGATCGCCTTCTCTGTCAATAAGCGATACTACACCGCCAGAGGGACAAGAAACTCCAAAAGCTCATCCCCGACCCCGGACATTCAGTTCGTCTTCCGAGTATATCAAGCATCTTGAAGCACAACTCGCAGCAACACATACGCAGCTTGAGCTCTTAGTGTCACCCGCTGCAACAAGAACTCGATCCTCAAAACTCCGCGCCCTTTTAGCCGAAACAAAAGCTCTGAAGCAGGAGATTTATGAATGGGAGAAGAATTTCGACCGAAACTTGGAAGAAGCAATGGCAGAGCGAGCGCTATCTAACGCACGCCTCCAGGCCCGAGTCAAGAATTTGGAGAAAGAGCTAGGGAAAAAGGATGGCCGAATCAAAGAATTAGAGTTCGAGCTTGAGACGGCGACTGAGAAAGTACAGCATGTAGATGAAGTTGAATCCTCAAACTATGACTTGGAGAGGAGATTGGATCTGATGTCTGAGTTGCTGGCTCATTCCCACACAAAATTAGATCTCAGCGTCGGTTCTAATTGGAACAATAATTCCGATAATCAGAAAAGGTCAAGGCCGACATCAATGCTATCGCGATTGCCGTCGTCAATGGAGACCCCTCCTCTTGCGCACGAAGCTGCAGAGTCCGACTCCGAAATCAAAAGAGTTCCTTTGAGGTTGAGGTCTCCGAATCGATCCACTTGGCATGAACAGACAGCCCATCGGCTCGATTACAACCTCAGCGACGACTTGAAGCACCACACGCTTTCTGGAGATTCTGAATCAAACAGCTCGGTGCCTTTATCGGCAACTACAATATCCTCAAACTCATCATTCTCTAGACCAAGCTCCATGACATCGGACAATTCGGCTAACTCCTTGAATTTTTCGATTCCATTTTCACCCCTTTCAGAAACCAGTCCTAAGCCATCTCAGCGAAGACGCAGAATGAGACGTTTCCATTCTGGAAGCGGAACAAAGTCCCTTATCCTGCCGGCGACCACGATGCCACAACCGAACCATCCAGTATCAGCGCCTCTACTCTCCACACCTTTTAGCGAGCACAGCGAATCAGATGTTATGCCATCTCCAGTTTCGCTTGGATGGGATTCCAACTCACCATATGCTACACCTACTCAATCCCGTTCTCTTCCTTGCTCAATGATACGAGATGACGTGCTAAATCTTCTTGAAGGCGGAGGTTCTTCTGAAGGAATTGTTACTGATGCAGAGCGCAGTCATAAGCGGTCTTCTGATCCTACCAACTCTCAAAATGGAAAGGAACATTCGTTGGGTGTCTCCACTGGTCGAAGCCTCATGGACGAGCTAGCCTTGATTGGAGAAAGCCGTCTGGGACTTGACCCTTCCACAACCACGACCTCAGCTTCATCAACCCGACGGAGAGTAACGAACCGTTCATCGCCAGCAGCAGGCAGAAACAATCAAACGCGAAATATATCACAGTCGTACCTTGTTCATCAGCATGCTCGCAGTCCTATCCGGCGAAAAAATGGTATGGTAGCAGCTTGCAAGTTGGCGGTATCAGAAGTTCGTCGGAATCCACTCCGCCTCAGCAGATCGGTAATTCATCATGCTTGGGGCCTAGTAACAGGAGCCAGGACCTTTAGCGACTTTGGTGTGTGGATTCTGCGGATACTTCTTGGGCCTACAATCGCAAGAGAGTTAGTTGGACGATCGAGAGCCTTATGGCAAATGGCTGGGGAAAGAGTAAGACAGCCATGGTCTAATGGCTCGCCAATACGAGCCATATCACCGCAGATTGGGAATGCAAGCGACAGAGGACGTTCAATTGAAATACCCAGACCGCCTATTCTCATCTTTTCCAGTGATGTCAGTTCAAGCGCAGAGAGCGCGGATGGTGGTAGAATCGAGACGGAAAGACATCATGACGATCCCTCGCAAGATTTGTTGAAGAAGCACGGTTCGGATGACCCAGAAGAAGTCAAAAAAGCATCATATTCACAAAAGCTCTTCATGTGGCTCAAATTCTCTGCTGTACTTACCGTTGCTATTGGCATTGCCATCAAGGATGGGCCTGCGAAGCTGTTCGCTGAGACCGATGCTGGCAAGCAGGCACAAGAAACAGAGCCAGATCACCAATTTAATGCTGATCTCCAAGGGATGGAGGCTGACGAGAGGAAGAAGACACTTTAGCCACTAATCATCGATCAGAACTATATTCTGACGAAAATGGCACGGGAGTTTTACCTCAGTATTGGTACTGATTATATTAGATTTCAAGGCGGGTGTTTCTAGAGTTCGGAGATGGCGTTTTTGCAATACTTTTCAATTAAATTGGCTGTCTTGCTACAAACGCAGGATTGGGAGGTTATGATTTAAGTATTCGGCCCTGAAATTAGTCCATACCCCATGCATGATTACTCTAGGTTTTGCATTTTGCTATCGTCAGCATTTCTTGACTTGTATGATTAGAGTACTGCTTCACATTCGCTTTTTCCTATGGCGATAGAGCAATTCGTTAGACGTAATAATCATAATTTTATAAATCTAATTTTCAAGCTCCATCAATTCGTATGCAATGCTCTGCACCGCTAGCACTAGTTGTATGAAAACAATACCCATCTCTAGGCTCGTGGTACTGTACTCTGCAATTACCGTCAAAGGACTCGCTGGCCACATTATCATGGGAAACTGCAGCAAGATGAAGTTGCTTAGAACCGAAAGTCGGACCACCATTGCGGGCCGAGCGCACTAGCTCTGTTCTTCCAGGCAAGCAGCAAAACATCCCACCATACATGCCCCTCCTAACCTGTAGGAAAACACAGTCGGTATTTACGCGCAACAATTATACTCATCTTCACAAAAAAATCACTGCTATATAGTTAAGACAAACATCATGTCTAAATCTCCTAGAGAATATTTGCTTTCGCTCAATGACGGCGCTTTCAAAGCCGCAACCCAAGCGCGCTTCCTCGAGCAAGCAGGCAATGGTACACTCCAACCCGATATTCTTGCCCGGTGGCTTTCGCAAGATCGTCTTTACGCCCAAGGCTATATTCGCTTTATCGGACACATGCTTTCCAAAATCCGATTGCCTGACACGCCGGGCGCTCGAGAGAACGGCCACCTACTCTGGCGCATCACAGACGTTCTAATTGCCGCCCTCGTCAACGTCCGTCGCGAGCTTCAATTCTTCGAAGAAACTGCTGCGCGGTTTAACATTGATCTTACGCCGACGCTGGTCAGTGTCAAGGGGGCCGGACATGGAGAAAGACAAGGCGAAGGTGAAGGGATTGGTGCAAGTCCCGTCACCAGGGCGTATCTCGATTTGTTCAACAATGCAGCCAGCCCAAGCGCATCAATTCTTGAGGGCATGGTTGCCCTTTGGGCTACTGAGATTGTAGGTCACACGTTTATACTCTGATATGCTTTTGTCCTTTTGGATTTGGGGAGCATGATGCAATGAGACGGGATCGAAAGGGGCGGCCGTCCCTGTGGTACAATGATTATGGCTAACGGGCTTTTGGCAGTGTTACTATACCGCGTGGCGTTATGCTGGCTCTCACAAACCCAGCCCTGCGGCGGCAAAGAGCGACGATCCGCTACATGCTGAATTCATCCCGAACTGGACAAATGATGAATTCGCCAAATTTGTAGACGACATCGGTGTCCTGGTTGATGAAATGGGCGCCTCCTGGAAACACGATGAGGACGAGCGCAAGAGGTGTGAGGAGGTTTGGAAGCAGGTCCTATGGCTCGAGGAGCGGTTTTGGCCCGTCGTTTAATAAACTTGAATTGTGGTTTCTTTTTCGAAGTGGGTTTGACTTGATACCTTTCGTGCAATCAGTTGCAGTGGTTTTGCAATGGGAAAAGAAAAAGTCCTTGATCTGAAATGCAGGTTGATCTCTCAGATAATGAAAGTGGGCGGAAAATATTTACTATGCTGCCTGTGTGGTCGGAGCAAATTTCATTAGTCAACATTCAATCTTAAAAATCATCTTCACCTTTTACGCTTTTTGAATTTTAGCATTTGTCACGGACGTCACGTTCTCTCAATTTAATGGGCATCGGCGAGACTGTAATTCCTAAAGCATTTTACTCCGTATTCTATTTCTAAAAATGGTAATCTCTTAGACTTAAAAACTTTAAGAAAGTGGAGACATGAAAACCAGAATGGTCCATAATCCTTCATCTTGCATCATCACATCTTCGATTGGAAAAAAAAAAAGGTCTAAGGGAGAAGGGACATGCCGTTTGATTGAGTTCATGTGGTTGGCTACGGGTTGCAAATTCTCGAAAGGGGGACGCCATGCTCCACCATCGAAGCAATCGTTGATTAAAATTGCAGAGAGGGAGTACAACCTGGTCCGTGCTTTTCATGCGTTACCTGGGTCGCGGAACCTTGGATGTCTCCTTTACGATGAAAATGCTGGCTCACGATTCTCTCCTTGAGCTGGTTCGTCGGCCCTATCGGTTGCTGCCTTGACTCGCTTCGCTTCGTTCCCGTGGTTGAAGCTTTGTTCTCGACCATCCGCTGTTTCTCCCGGCCCAGAAGAAACGAAGGGCACATGGTTGAAGTAGCTCTACTTTTGATTTGGTATTGACTTCGACCGTCCCACACTAAATAGCATGATTATGGGGAGAAGCTACTTTTCTCAGGTACAGTACATGAAATACAAGGACCGGCCCGACTCAGCCACCAATGCCAAGACTGTTAGAGTGTCAAATTTACCACTCTAGGAAAGTTTCATTTCGTCTAATGGACCTCGAGCCAATGACAACCATGATTTCATCTCCACGCGGGTGCGGCGTATAAACGCACCACTGCCTGACCATCTCGGTAGCCCAGGGGTATCTTTGGCAACAACATGGTTGCCCATAGTGTGTGATGGGTTTCATCCTCATTAATAACCCCCAGAGAAATTATGGCTTGAGAAGCTTAGCGCGCCCACTTTTTTCACGCTTCACCGGCTCATTTCACCGGTACGCTATGGACTGATCCCGCAGGTGGTACGGAGTAAATATAGGTTTGAGACAGGGTGTGCTGGAGTACGGCACAGTTTATGATGACTTGAAAAGGGCCTAGAGTCCCCGCTCGCAGAGAAACCTCTCTTTTCTTTCTTTTCCTCTCTTTCATCCACTGCACTCTTTTCTTGTCAACTCCTTGCTTGAATAGCAAAGTCATTCATTTCACCCTTAAAACTTAAGCCGTCTTTTATTTGCAAAGAGCACGACAAGCTCCCTGCATTTCCACTCTTTTTTGTCCGATCTTCTGCCATTGAAAATTATCGCCATTTCCCCTACTTTGCATACTTGGCATTCCTTGGCACTTGCAATAATACACTCTCTTTTCGGCATCAAAACTGCATATCGCGAGCCTAGAAATCTTAGTCACAGCAAAAACCATGCGTTTCTCCGCTTTTGCCTTCGCCTCGGCCGCTCTGGCTACCCTGGCTTCTGCCTACACCACTCCAAAGGGTGACGCCCCTGAGGGCAACCCTATTACCAAGCCGGGGTTGAACGAACTTGTCCCCGCTGGCACTCAGTACGAGATCACCTGGAACCCCACCACCGATGGCACCGTCAGCTTGGTCCTTCTGCGCGGCCCTTCCACCGACGTAGTGCCAATGTATGCTATCGCCGAGAAGATCGACAATAGTGGAAAGTTCTACTGGACGCCGAAGGATGACCTCCAGCCTGATACTACTCACTATGGTCTCGAGATCATTGACGACGCAACCGGCCAGTACCAGTACAGCACTCAGTTCGGCATCAGCAACAAGCAGTACAGCGGCTCGTCCTCATCTTCGTCATCCGCGGCTGCAAGCTCTGCTGCTCCTTCATCCACGCAAGCCCCAACTGGCGCTGCTTCTGCTACCAACACCTTCGTCACCTCCAGCACTGGAACTGCCGCTCCCTTCACCTCGAGCACCGGCTACCCGCTCGCCAATTCGACTTCGTCCTATGGCGCTCAGTCCACCTTCAAGACCATGCCCAGCGCAAGCGCGACTGGAGCTAAGAACGGCACTGCTCTCCCCACCGGCGCTGCTGGCCGGATGGCCATGAACTTCGGCGGTGTTGTGCTCGGTGCCGGTGCTGCTATCGCCATGGCGTTGTAAAGGCGATGTTAACGTTCCAATCGCTCGCCTAGGTCATCTTGTTCAGTTCTTCTATATGTAACATATATACATATATAATAAGTTTGGATTACGATTAATGTCGCTAGTTAATATGTCATCGTGGGCAGTTAAATTTGACTGCACCCTTGTATTCTTGATACCACAGGCTGCCGAGGAATTATGTTACTGTGCTTTGGACCCCTCTGCTTGCTGGATGATTTGCTGATGGACTTTCTTGTCTTGCGATTGAGGCGCTAAGAAAGGTTGAGAGAATGCAGACGAAGTGAAAAACTTCACTATACTCATCGTCAGTTCGAAGCCATCGTACCTTGCTGTCACTTCTTACAGTTGCCATTACGGCGCTTAGTGGGTTTTGCGAAGATGACATCGCCTTTTGATCTTGTGATCTCATCGTATGAATTTGATATACCATGACGAATTGGTCTCCTTAACGGCCGTTTTGGAATCTTCTTTTCTTTCTGATGTGCCATATTATTTTCGTATCCGGCGATATATTCTAAATCACAAGTCACTAATTTCTCGTGCCGTGTGAAGATTATGGGACTGCCATATTATGTCACTTGGCTCGCCCTAGTCGGCAGGTGTTGAGGCAACATTAAGTTATCAACGCGCCATTGCGTGCTACCTTGGGTCACACTCCTGCAACCTTCCCGTACTTCGCCGAGTTCGGCATACAACCGGTGACGAACCCCCGCGATATCCAGCGACACCGGAGGAATAGGAATTGTCTCGTATCGCATCACAATCAATAAGGAAGCTGTCGTGCTCTGCAGCTTCCCGGTAGGGCTTATCGCGCAGGCGCATGGAAGCCTCTCCCCAGCTGGGGGCATTGCCGGGCAGTGGCCCGATTGGCAGTGGAAGCGGTCTCAGTAGTCCTGCAAGCCTACAGCCCGGAAGCTTGAAGAGGAACAGATCTCTCTCTGCTTCCCAAGGAAGTGCTGATGAAGGAGACCCAAATCTATCTCAGGCGGATCGAAGACGTCTACCCGGTGTAAAACGAGCATGTAATGAGTGTCGACAGCAAAAGGTAAGTCCTGACTCATAGTCTCTCCCAAAGCGCCATCCGCCAACGATCCAAGCTGTTGGTAAGAAATTATGATCATGAATGCTGATTGTATGGGAAACTTGTTCGTAATTCTAGCTGCGCTGTGATGTTGTTCAAGATCCGTTTGCAGCCTGTTCACGATGCCGTCGACTGAACCTCGAATGCAAGATCCAGTCGAACTTCAAGCGAATAGGGAAACGCAGTAAAAATGCGGAGATGGAACGAGAAATCATTGAGCTGAAACGGCAGCTTGCAGTCCAAGGGCAATCGCCGAGCATGGCGACGCCGCCGTTGAACATTGCGTTGGGCGGCGCAGCTGCTAGCCCTGGGGTATATCAGATACCGCCTAGAGACGAACAGTATATGGGTTCTCACGAGGCTGTTGCATCGTTGCTTGATCTAAGGCAAGGCTTGGATGGCTCCGGGTCATACATATCAACATCCGATGCTCAGGCCGGGGTTAAAAGACTGGAGACCGTTGCTTTGACTCCAGAGCGGGTCGCAGATCTCTTCAGCCAGTAAGTCCATGGTTCTCCTCTGCCGTCTACAAAGAGATTCAATAAGCTGACGATGCGGTCTCAGCTACTTCACCTTTTACCATCCTTTTCTTCCGGTGCTTGATCCCCAGAAGCCGCCAGATCATTATTTCGAAGTATGCCCCTTGTTATTCTGGGTTGTTATCGCAACTGCCTCCAGGCGGTACACCCTCGACGGGAACCTTTTGGATACCATTTCCGGTCCTGTATCTCGTCTAATGTGGTCAACGCTGGCCAGTGTGCCTCAAAACTACCACATTGTAAAGGCGTTGTGTTTGTTATGCATGTGGCCTTCCCCCATGAGCAGTACGTCCTTGGATCCCACTTTCATGCTCTGCGGGACGATGATGCAGATTGCTCTGCAGATTGGACTTCATCGTCCCTCTCACGCTCAAGACTTCACTAAATTCCGGGTTGAGGTCCGAGATGAGGAGCTGAAGGACAGAGTCAAAACATGGGCTGCCTGCAATATTGTGGCGCAAAGGTTTGTCTTCCTTGCCTTAGAGTTGCTCCTCTTTACAGCCTGAACTATTACTTATGCGGATAACAGTGTGGCAACGGGTTATGGACAGCCTCCAGCGACGCTGTACGACTGGACCCTCGCTCCAGCCGCGAGCGATTCCAGTTATAAATTACCGGACGAACTTGACCATCGGTTACAGATTGAGCGATTCTGTGACAAAGTCACCAAGGCCCTTTATAACAACCCCCGAGACCCAGTTGGCTTATCTGCAGATGATGAGCGCTCGGTCTTGACAACATTACTATCGAAGGATTTCCTGGAGCTGGAGGAACGAGTAGGCGAAACTGGTTCTCGTAAGTTACCTTCAATTCAAGCTGGTCATGAGAACAGGTCCAACTCCGGTGCATTTGGTAGCAAGCTCGACAATGAATATCTTGATGTTGCGAACTAACGCCGTCACAGCTATCACACAGCTCCACTTGAGGGCGGCTGGATTACATCTCCGGCTGGCAGCTTTTTTCGATGCGAGTACCAACAAGGACTACCTTCAAGACTTAGTTCGTTTATACTTCGCGACAACCTCTTTTCTCGATAGTGCCTTTAGCTTCGAGGTGTCAGGCAGCAATGCGCTTCCATTTTCGAGCAATTACATTATGCAAATGATGGTCGCAGCTGGATTCACCTTGCTGAAGCTACTCAACAGTTTCTTTGCCCGCAGCATTGATCTCGATGCAGGAAAAACATACTTCAATCGTACCATCTGGTCCATTCGAGCCATCAGCGTCAATCCCAACGATCTTCCGAGCCGACTTGCCGAGGTGCTCGCCCAGCTCTGGCGCGCAGGTGAGGCGGTGGCAGCCTCACGTCCTACGCAAGCCGCTGTGGCTCCTGACTCATCATTGCAGCTCAAAGTCCGATGCCGCATGAGCATGAGCCTCGTCTTCGACAGTGTTTGGCGATGGCGCGAAGAATTTCAAGCCAAAGGCCGCGGAAATCTCGACTGTTTGTGCCCTACAGCTTTGCTTACATTGTTCTTCTTTCGTACGCGTACTGACCGCATCTTCTCTTACTGTAGCTGCTGTTAGCAACCCTACAAACCCGGACGCTAGTGCTGATGGCAGTAGCAATTCTGCAGCACTGGACTCCATGGGCCCTAATGCAGGTGCGGGGCTTGCTGGAGCTGGACCATTACTTGGTGCTAATTCAGTCAACCCCGTCACTGGCTCATTCTCGGAACCCAATTATGAAGTCTTCGACCCTCTCAATTGGATGCTAGACGGCTTAGTCGACTTTCCGTACAGCCTAACCAATGTTGGCGGTTTAGAGCCTCCGGGTGGCATGCCTTGACGGTCTGTCTTGCTGCTACTTTTCCCTTACTTTATTTTCCGCATATTCGCGGTCTGCCCTCGGCATATTTTCCATTCTGCATGGGCATTTAAAGGTTCCAAACTTTGCCTCCTCATTATAAAATTCTTTGGCGACCAAAATCGGCTACTTCTTTTTGGCAGGCGCAATTTTTGCAACGACGGTAGAAAGCTGCTTTCAGCCATATCAACGTGTGTTACGACTTGTGAATTTTTTTTTAGCGTCTTTCACCCATTACTCTTTTCCTTGAGGTCACTTGTATATATTGATATCCTTTCCCTTATCAACCGGAGCGTTGTTCGGCTAAGCGTTTCAGCTGGATCTCGTCGGATTAACTCATCATTATCCACAGAATGTTCAACATGTTCAGCTTAGCCAGGCCTGTGTGCTTTGTGAGTCTAGCGCGCCACTACATTGGAATCCAGCAATGCCGCTAGAAGCAAAGGAATGTGAATGTAGGCGTCAGCCCAAAGACGGCCGACGATGGGATCACGGAATAGCTTCAATAATTGAGTGGTTAAAGATGATGATAATGTGTTGTATCAAAATTGGTGTTTAACGGAAACATCGAAAGGCTCGTCTTCCATGCAAAAAAAGGTCCAATTGCGCAGAGACGCCAAAACAGACATTGTAAAGCTCTGCGGGATGACCAAAGTAATGTGTGAACTTGGCAGCAAATAGAAAACATTGCAAGCGATTGAAAACCAAGAAAGGACTGTCTTGAGAGCAAATACACCGTCGTCTCACTGGCGACGCGAGTCGCGCCACTCATCTCCATTGCTGACACCATTGGTATGGATTCCGTTCGAATGAGCTCCGTTGGTCTGGGGAGTGACATTTTCGCGGACTTCATCATTGTCGTCGTCATCCACTCCCAGATCCGTGTTCAAGATGCCAGTCCGTTCATGATCGCGTGCGAGATCAGAAGGAAATTTTGTTGTTTGAGGCCGGTCGAACAGATCATCATCTGCTGTAATGGAGATACCCCGTGCACCCCATTTTGGATGGGTCCTGGTTCGCCCGAGTCGCTCGTGAGGCGCTTGTTCTTCGTCAAAGACTGTCTCCTCATCGTCGTGGTCACTTGGACGGGTCCCAAAAATGCGTTTGAGAAACCAGCCGCGGCGAAGATCGTCCGAGTCGACAACTCCGCCACCCCGGAGCTTTACTCGCTGGCGAGTGTAGTAGACCCAGAAAAAGTCAAAGTATAGGAGCGTTTGAATTATTCCGAAAAAGACATCGATGAAGTCAAAGTGCCTCTCGGGCGGCAGTGCTCGGACAATCCAGTTGAGGAGATAGAAAAACCGGTATGATCCGAGAGTCAGGAGGTAGTAAGAATCAATCACCGTTGGCACGGTTGTCTGCCGGAGGAGTACCAGCTGCGGTAAAACACACACGGATTCGAGGATGATCGAGAAGGTTCGAAGGATCTGGGTTTGTGAGGATGAGTTAGCAAAATCCGTTCAGCAGCAGTCTTTTTCAGAATGGCGAAAATTGGTGACTTTTCACGTTCAAAGGGGTGATCCGTAAATAGGAAGGACTCACTTTGAGTGGCCTGAAGCTTTGCTTGCCCTCAAAAATAGGTGTGAGAATTGGAGCAAGTATGACAGCCGCAGCAAGCGCATAGCCTCCTAGTTTCCAAGCCCTCTCTCTTTCCCTGGTTCGTGGAAAGATTCGAAGCATAAGCAGTATGACGTAGAAGGAACTCAGGAGATAGAATATTTTGAGGACAAAGTTCCAGTAGGAGAATGCAGGCGGCGTCGTAAACAGATCGAGATATCTCGTTACGAAGACTGCCGCATAGAGAGCCTGGGTAATCAGAGACACGCCTTTTATCTTCTGTTAGCCTGGGCACACCTTCATTGTTTCAGGGGCCGTAAGACGAGAAAGCTCATTTACCTTCAGCGCTTTTGTTCGAATGTATTGCCCATATTAAAATACATTTGGACGTCGCATGGGATACATCGCCCAAAATGCGAAATGCATTCATATGCACCATGGTGGCTGTTTCGGCCCTGACGCTCCTAGAGACGGAGCATCCAAGGAAAGGAAGGGCAGGGTGGAGCTGATTAGCGAGCCAGGATAGCTTTCACTTTTGCAGCTTCAGTCATTTATACTCGTAGTAACCGTCGCGAAGGGTCCTTTGAGATATTTATCAAACCCTACCCCGTAATGACAGCAAAATATTTTGGATGAAAAGATATGGAGCTGAGGCTGGGGTGCTGGATAATGTGAGAAAGGAAGCTATTGGTCTCGGGCCGTTGAAGCTTCCGGACTTTGGCATGGGCAAGCTATCGGCTAGGTGTTATCTAGGCTACTACAGAGTTATCTCGGTTCATTAAAGCTGTGTGGGCGGCTTCTAGCTGGGCACGAGGTCTTCCCCGCTCCACCCGCTCCACCCTCATCTAGGAAATGTCAGGTCAGCTAGCGAACAAGCTTCCTTTGGTGTTGAGCTGCCTGCACACAAGCATTCTTTTACCCCCTCCTCCTCCTGCTCCTCCTTCTACTAAGGCGTACCGTGTCATCTTCTAACAAAAAGTTGACTACCAGCTAACACAAAAATTCCGGGGAAATGAATAAATAAATATGAAAAAAGAAGAGTAATAATTATAATAATAATTGAGGTGCTTGATATTAACAAGAAATTGTCAAGATGAAATCACTCTCTAGTAACCTCAACGACGAGAAGAGGAGAAAAACCACAAAACATGAAGAGGGATAAAGAAAGCCACTCAATAATGCCGCCACAAAGTCCTCTTGTTGAAGTGCGGCTTGAAGTGGCTAAATCAGCTGACGCCAATACTGTGGAGGGATCAGAAGATCAGACCGTCTTTCACAAGCGTTTTCGAGCCTTTCCCAAGGTGCGTATACATCCCTTCGAACCTTGCTGCTAGGCTGTGAACTTTTTGTCAAAGGCTTCATGGAAGTTTGTGTATTAGAAGCACAAAAAATGTTGGAACGCCTGGTGCTTTCAAGGAAATCAACCAGGCCCCGAGCCAGTGTGACGAACAGCTACGCCACTTCCGTTGAGGCCGTAGCAATAACCCTTCTTTTCCAACATGCAAGGGATTAAGGCCGCAGTTCGTTGCATTCAGGGCTGTGGTGGTGGAATGTTGCTATCATCGATATATGCGTACAAGACTTGGGTCGATAGGGCACGCTCCTTGTCCATCAAATCCATATCCCAACTGGGTCCCGGGATTCCCACTAGTTTTGCCTCAGGCATATTCGGGATGACTTGCTTACTGCCCTAAACTTGAGGGCAGGCTTTGATCCCGACAACCAGGAACGATTGCAAAGCCCTTCAAGGTCAATGACCAGCCTTTGAAAGCACTTTGCTGGGTAGACACGCGGAAGCACGGGCCAGTGGACCGGGGGGGACCGTGGTCGGGCGGGTAGAGGAGACTGCTGACTGGCTTCTTAACTGAAATTAGCAAAAATTAGCAAACATAAAAAGAACGAAATAAGGCATAAGCTGGGGGGATCAGGCCAATGAACGGGGTCAGCGTGGAGATCGCAAAAATAGAAAAGGTAGCTGGGGTGAGCAAGGGCCGTCAGCAAAGAACGTTACTCGTCAGTCCGCACGGGATCCTCCCACTGATCCTTCTTTAGACATGTTCCTTTTCGCTTTCCCCTCAGCCCGCTGATTATGCTGGCCGTGCTAAAATCAGAGGCGACATGCAGAATTTGCCTGGTTGCTAATCCAAGAACATCAACGTGCCTCCCGCACCCTACGAGGGTCCCTTGGCCCCTCAATCTGTCTGTTGACTTTACTCAATCCAGCACGATGAAACACCCGTCATATCGATGCCATGTTTCGGGATGCATGGCTAGCTTCAACCCCAGAACATGTCATGGCAGCCTCAACTGAGTATTTAGCGGTCATTTTCCCACCTTTGGGCTCAGAATGTCTCGACACAGAGCAGCCGCCTTGAAGATCATAAGCTCTGGTTTCATCTTGCCGCGCGCCCATTGATGGAAGACTCCTGAACGGAGAATTCTTGTACGCTTAAGTCTCACCGCACCAAAAGGTTCTCTTTTCCTTTGGTCTTCACCACAGTGGATCAAAACACAATCGATTTGTATCCTTGTTATATTTCTCTCCACATTGGTCGAGTGCACCTCGTATGGCTTCAACAGACGCCTGCTACGGCTTCGTTTCGGACTTGTTCAATCCAACCCAGAACGTGGGGATCATGTCGGGCTGCTCACAAAGCGATTGGGTCTCACCCACTGTGAGTCTCCCTCGCTTAACTCCTTCCGCTTCCCCCTTGCCCCAGAAAACCCCCCCATTAAGCATCTCTCCCGCTATCCAACAAATCCCATCATCCTCTTACTATCCTGACATCTCCAATTTCACCTCCCACTTTGAGCCCGGAAAATGCTAGCCCAAGTGAATGCACTTAAACCATACAATTTCTTGAAAATGAGACTTATGTCTTTGCCCTTCACATAGCTTTCTTTCAACAATTTTACCTACAATTGCTCGTATCCGACCCCGCATTTGGCCCAAGGAAATCTTACTCCTTCATATCACACCCAACTGCTTCAGACTCCAGGATCATCTCCCTTTCAACCTCTCGCCCAAAATGTACCGCTCAGAAGCAGCCCCAACGCTTTTCAGAGTGACGTAGAAAGCATCGGATGGGCTGAAAATCCCTTGCGTATCAAACATGAAGCGATTGAGGACGCTGCTCTTGAGATCTCTCCTACTTTGCCGTCTAGACCTGAAACCCCATATTTCCCGCATTTTCCAGCGTCCTCCACCCCGAAACAGAATCTTGCTCCCAATCGATGCTGGCCCATTTCTGCTTCACCGGCTTCCCATGTTCCGACCGCTGTTCAACAGCCCATGGGCCCACCTAAGCGATTTCGCGACATTGAGGAGTCTACAAATCTTGGGCCGAAAAGACAAAGACGAGCCGATTCAGTCATGGCCAATGTAGAGCTCAATGAGGAAGAAAGGTTACTCCTAAGACTGAAGGACGAGGAATGTCTTCCATGGAAAGACATTGCGATCCGGTTTCACATGGAGCTAGGGAAGGTGTTTCAAGTGCCCGCCCTTCAGATGCGATACAAGAGACTTCGTGAGAAGCTTCGAATCTGGAATGATACCGACGTATGTGCATCCGTTCCAAGAATTATTATCTGTACGCATGTGCTCATCTGAATCTAGGTCCAAGCACTCCAACAAGCTCACGACTACTGGGAGAAGTGCAAATTCGACATAATCGCCTCAAAGGTGAGCGGTCTTGATACCAGACACTCGAATTGCTACTGACGTGGTAAAGATGCTTGAATTCGGTGCCTCAGAGAAATGGCCAGCAAAATCTTGTGCAAGAAAATGGGAAGAATTGCATCCAGAACAGAAAGAAACGCTAGAGAGACCGGGCAACAGTCAGCCAAAATTGCTAGATGTTGCATATGACGACTCCGCAGTATCATTCTAAATGACCCTTCAACCGCAACTGTCTTCGTTCATCACAACTTTAACACTTTTAGAAGAATTCATGGCTTCGCACAGGGACAGTGAACATGGCGTTACTGGCATATTGCGGACTGTTTGGGCATATTTTTCGCTTCTAACCCCCTTCGCTCTATTTTTCTTCCTTTTTTCCCCTTATTCTATCTTTACTAAGCACATCATTCACCTTTTCACCGTTCCCCCCATCTTTTTTCCTTTTACTTCTTTTTCAATGTCCTCTTGCGTACTTTAGTTTCATGTTTGTCATTGATCTGTAAAGAGCTTTAGCTCCTGGGGCTCCTGTCTACATATAAATCTGTCCTACGCTTTTGATGACTTTACTGATATCGATGCATTAAACCTTTTCAGTTGTATTTATTTTCAGTGGAGATGGTTAGGACTGCTTCCAGCAAGGTCCAGTAGATCACTTTCGGCAAAAGCCAACTGGGCGGAGGGGAGCATTTCTGGGATTTATTCCGCCAATTGGCGTTTTATGGCGGTGTTTCATTTTTTAACCAAAATATTTGGGGTTCTTCATTCGTTGCATAGCAGTTCTTTGCATGGTATCTCTATTTTGCAGCATTCTTTGGCGCTTTGTGGCATTTGCATATAGAAAAATGTCTTTCCTCATGAGCTACGGGATGTGCTGGTCTATGACTACTTCTTGGTAAACCACACTTTACCGAATGTCATTTTCTAATATTGGATCACCTTGTGGCATATGCACTCTTCTTTACGAATCTATTGGCTTCATCTTCTAGGGCTAGTGCCTGTCATTGCATATCGGGGAAGCTTATTTCCTCCGGCAAAACTCTACTATTGTAGTGCTCATTCGCTCAGTGTAACGGAGGCTTTATACGGAGCTACTGCTATTTAATTCCCACTCAGGTAGCGTTTAGTACTGGAAAACTAAGCCGAACGTGCCCCATTGGGTGAACCAGGCATTCCCCGCTTGAAATAATTTATTGCTGAGCAAATAAAGTGTGGGGGCCAAATCAATATCGGATCATGCCCCAGACTGAAGCCGGCTTCACGCTAAAGATGTAGACTTTTGGTGCATACCAATAATCTTGCCCGGATATTCTTGGGCTGTACGTACTAAGTAATTCGACGAATGGTTAACTCACGTTATGGATTTCCGCATATTCCCTTTCTGAGTCGAACCGGAATTTTGAGGCGTGGCAATCAGAGCGACAGCAACATATGTAAGATGCCAGAATTAAGGAAAGAAATGGCGCCAATCATATCCCTACTAGGTCGGATCGCGAGAGGATGTCAACATACGTCCACATGGTGAGAAAGGCTGGGATCGAATGAACAGTCGCGAAAGAGGCAAGACAAATAATTCTTGATGACATAATATATTTATGAGAGCCGTTATATCAGAAAAGGCAAGATGGCCGAGTGGTTAAGGCGCTGGATCCAGGTTCCAGTGGGAAACCGCGTGGGTTCGAGTCCCACTCTTGTCAATATTCTTTTTTTGTCTTTTGTCGCAAACGACAACAGATTGCTGTCAGGTATAATTTTTGCTGCGAAAAATTACCTTTTGAATCTGTTTATAATTTTACAATTTTTATTTCTAGAACATTAGCCCGTCTGTTATTCATCTGAGGAGAACGCATGCACAGAGAAGGTACCGAGGACACAAGTCCAGCGGGGAGAGCCGAGACCCAGTGCCATCGCCTATCAAAAGTAGTGAGGGTCCCTTGCGTATGTGGGGGTCCATCATGCGACCACGCACCTTGGTTACGAGCATCAACTCCGCTTGCGCGGTCCTTGAGCGAAAGACAGGCGGATTAACGATGCATATTTTAGCGTATCTCGAATATTAGGAATTTCTTAACACGTCCTTGACCTTCTTTATCGGATCTTGCTACTCCTAATTTAACGCTTACGAGATATTTATTACTTTGCGGGGTTGCATCTGGGGAAGTGGGTCTGGTACCCGACATGGTATTCAAGCAACCCTCTGCACATCGTGGAAGACGACGTTTGACAGCGCTTCTCGCGGTATCATTCGGGGTCATAGCGAGTTATGCGGAAGGTGGAGAATCGTCGCGTGTTGTAAACTTCTCCGATGTCGTGCAAGATGTTAAAGAAATCGCACCAGCCGGAGCAGATTCGAGCAGTGAGCTCCAGATGCTGAATCAAGAGCAGGTCTCCATTATTTTACCAGCCTCGAGAAAACCAGAAATCGTCGAATCAGAGGCCCTTGATTATCAGCCACACGAATCATTCCCCGAGATAGATACTGTCGGGACACTCTCTGCCTTGATAAAAGCCATGGATGTCATGCAATCCCATTTTTTTGAGCTCTGGCAGGGTACATGGCCAGATGCCATAGATTGGACTGCTGCAGTAATGGGAACACACGTTTCTGCATGGCTGCAGACTCTCAGTTCAACACTTTCAGACGATGTTCTAGGCTCGAGTGCGGCAAATGCAGCAGCACTGGGGGATGCTCGAGCGCATGAGAATATAATAAACCGTTATTTCACGCAAATCGGTGCTTTTTATTTTGGGGAAAATGCCTTTAGCTTGAGAAACCAGGCTTACGATGATATGCTATGGGTTGTTCTTGGGTGGCTGCACGCCATCAAGTTTATCTATCATCATTCTTCACTCCATTATCAAGGCCAGTATTCCGGGCCAGGTTCTTTTAACTCAACCGGCTGGTACGGTGCCCAATTTATCCCATCATTTGCTCATCGTGCACGCGTCTTCTATGATTTGGCGTCGCAGGGTTGGGATACATCACTTTGTGGTGGCGGAATGATTTGGTCTCCCTATCTTACGCCATACAAAAATGCTATTACCAATGAGCTTTTCATATCAGCATCGGTGAGCATGTATCTCTACTTTCCAGGGGATAATAATCCTTCACCTTTTGCGTCAGAGCTGCCTCAAGGAAGCCCTCGTCCCGCAAAACCTCATGATCCGGACTATCTCAACTCGGCAATTGATGCATATGACTGGCTTAAACGAAGTAATATGACGAACGAGAAAGGATTATTTGTTGATGGTTTTCACATACGAGGCTGGGGGCATGGAAGCAACCGCACTGGAACCGGAAAATGCGATGTAAGGAACGAGATGGTGTATACATATAATCAAGGCGTACTCCTTTCTGGTCTAAGAGGCCTCTGGGAGGCCACGGGAGCCACAAGCTATTTGGAAGATGGACACAGACTTGTCCGAAATGTCATCGTTGCAACTGGATTCCAAGAACCGTCAGGTATCGAGAACGATGGCAAATGGGCTGGCCTGGGTCGCAACGGCATACTCGAGGATATTTGCGACGCTGCTGGCTCGTGTTCGCAAAATGGACAGACATTCAAAGGCATATTCTTCCACCACTTGACTCTCTTCTGCGCTCCGCTTCCACCCGAACCGGAGATCCCTGGAATAAGCTTTGCGGCCTCGAAAGAACTGAGAGCTCTGCATCGGCGCAGCTGCGCAGACTATGGTCCCTGGATCGCCAGGAATGCTCGGGCTGCTCTTGGCACAAGAGATAAGGATGGTGAATTTGGTATGTGGTGGGGCCACGAAGCATCATCAGAAGCTGAAAGCCTTCCAGAGGGAAGCGTTGACTATCGAAATCTTGGAATACCAGCTGAACCTTTATGGCAAGGAACTAACGGCAGGTTTCTGCAACACCAGAACCCCCGTCCAAGGTCCTTGAAAATGGAAAATCTTCGCAGTCAACGCGATGTCAATGATAGAGGTCGTGGTCGGACGGTTGAAACTCAAGGAGGAGGTGTTTCCGTGCTCCGCGCCCTTTGGGAGATTGTCGAGTCTCAATAAATGATTTTTGGTTACATTCTATTTTATTTATATGATTACAGTTTGGGATAAAATTTTTGGTGCCTACTTGTACATAGTCCTTATCCTCTTTAAAAAGAAATATTCGATGTTCCATTTTCCTTTTTCAGGCACAACTTATATCAGCTTTCGGTGATTTCAGAAGATTTTCACCGATCGAATCTGAAAATGATTATCTCCCTTGATCAAAGAAAATGCTTCTGCGGCTTACTTGAAGCGATTGCAATAGGTGTATGATAGCACAGTGATCTAAATAATTTGAACTCTAGGAGCTTTGAGATAATCGATAATGCCGTAAAGCGCAGATTCCAAAGCATACCTTGAGAACCACTTATTAAATCAACGCAGTATAACGGTTCATGGTTTAAAGAAACACGACCTCACAGAACATACGGAGTACAGTTATCGGGCCAACAGCTGGTTTTAGTATCCGAGCTTCGGAGGTCCGCCCGGACCGATTGGCGGATTTATAGAGCTCCACCACCTGCTCCGTACCTACCCGAGCTTTCTCTGCCTTCCAGTAACATCAAATCTAGCTTCCCCTTCGAGTCATACCTTTCCGCCCAGACAACTTATATCTGCAGCTTCGTCCTGTGCCTGAGACAAAGAATGCTCGCGCAATCCCTGCGATCTGCAACCCGTCGGAACATTCCTACCCTCGTCTCTTCTGTCGCTCGCCGCTCTTCGCCACGCGTTGCTTCCGCTGTAACCTTTTCTCAGCAGAGCCGTACTATGGCTGGCATCACCAGGATCAAGACCGATAAGGCCGCCCCGCGTAAGTATTCTAATTCTTTCCTACGCTTCTAATGAGCTTTCCATTTGGCAGCAATTGTGAGAGCACAATTGCTATGAGCCACATATATTTCCAGAGAAAACTCACATTGGCTAACGTATGAACCTTTGTTTGAAATATAGCTGCTGGCCCTTACGTACGTGCTCAATGCCCTTCAATCCCGTTGTAATTGGTTCTTTTGGATCTTCTATCCATGCTGATTGCGAGGATGACGACGTTCCAAGCTCATATTTTTGTGTGCAATTGCTGACTTCACTTACTTGATACCTGCAGTCCCAGGCTATCCTCAATGGCCAGACCCTCTACGTCTCTGGTCAGATCCCGGCTAACTCAAAGGGCGAGCTCGTGAACGGTACCATTGCCGAGCAGACTGAGCAGTGCTGCACCAACGTTGCGGCCATCCTCGAGGAAGCGGGCTCACATCTCGACCGCGTGCTCAAGGTCAATGTCTTCCTTGATGACATGGCCAACTTTGCGGAGATGAACTCCGTCTACGAGAAATGGTTCACTGGCCGCCCTGCCCGCAGCTGCGTTGCTGTCAAGACTCTTCCCAAGGGCGTGCCCGTCGAGATCGAGTGCATTGCTTACGTCCCTACCGCCTAAAGGTGTTCCGAAACTTGAGGGCCGGATCAAAGATTGAAATTTTCAAGGTGTGAGGTTGAGTCTCACCGATTGAAGTAAATATTTTATTCTGCGCTCAGGAACAAATAAAAAGTGTCTCCCTCAAATACAATTATCCACTTCGTGAGGTCGGGAAATCTTCTCTGGAATCATAGCAGTTATTTTGATATGGATATATTCTCTATGATGGCTACTCTAGCTTGGCCTACGAAATGCGGCCAGGCGCGCTGTTCTGCATTCAGGGCCGGTAATTTTCTTCTTCTTCACTCTCTTTGAGAGCGGAAAGGGGGAATCACATCAACGCCGGTGACTATCATGCCATGCCCTCAAAAAGAACGGGGATATATATCTCTTTCAAAACCGCAGGTTTACCCCAATTTATTCGAGGGAAGACAGCATGCTGTAAATTTTGTGCTTCAAAGAACCTCTCCGGGATCAAATGGTGCTGAACCCCAGATCCCAAGTGCTTCCATTATTCAGCTCTGGCCAGTCAAAAGCGAGTAGACCGGAGCGTTGAGCTTCTCCCGACCTTTAAGGAACTCCAACTCCATAATGAAAATATATTCGAGCAATTTTCCACCCTGCTTCTCGACGAGGGCTCCAGCGGCTGCAGCAGATCCACCTACAAATAAGGGAAAATATGAATCAGCACTGCAAATAATGTAACAATATGTAATCAAGACTCCAAATATTTTCACCAAGCATGACTTACCAGTGGCAATGAGGTCGTCAACAATAACGACCTTCGAGCCCGGCTTGATCACACCTTTTTGCATCTCGAAGAAGTCCTGGCCATATTCCTTCTGATAGGCGGCCACCTCAGTAGGGCCTGGCAGCTTGCCTCTCTTGCGAACGGGGACGAAAGCAGCGTCTAGCCGGAGAGCCAGGCTGGGGCCGAAGAGGAAACCTCGGGCATCCAAACCAACAATCACATCAGGCTTCTCGCCTCCAAAAGTGTTCAAAATGTGGATCTCGATGGCACGCAGCAAGCCGGCATGAAGGTGAGGGTCCGCAAAAATGGGCAAAATATCTTCAAATAAAATTCCAGGCGACGGGAAATCAGGGAATTGTCGAAGAGCCTTCCGCAACCTTATCTTAAGACCGGAGAGTTCGGCGGTGCCGGCGGGAGAGGAGGCGGCGAGTCCCGTTGAGGCATTTCCGGTGACAGTAGGATCAGGTTGGTCGCGAGGAGGGTGAGAAGAGGTCGACTCCACGCCGTAGGAGCGCTGTGCCGAAATGGACGGATCGCTCATCGTGAAGAAGAAAGGGAAGAAAGAAGGACTTTTAGGAGGAGGGGAGGGTTGAAAAAGAACTAGTTCTGGGCTTGCGCTTGTGACGGCGGGAGATTGACACGCAATGCTATGTCAAGAAAGAAAGTGACAGAAGATTGCTGATGCCTGCAGTTCAGGAAGAAACAGGTCGTATCGCAATCGCAATTGGCTTCTGCGCAAGTAAACGGATGGGGTGTCAGCAAGGAACAAGGGCCCCGCGGCGGATGAGAAACAACTTGAGATTTTCGCTTCTGCATCTTCCGTCTTCCGCCATCTCGAACGGGCCAATCATAGAATCGAGAAACAGCAGGCACCGTGGTCGATTTATCACCGTCTCGACGGAGTCATGGCGGCCTAGACATTACGCACGTTCATGATAGCGGGAAACTCCTGGTTCATTGCCCAATTTATTATGAGGTGGCTGTTTGACTTTCTGTCTGTGCCCATGCAAAGTCGTGTTTGCGTGGCCGCGATCAGGCTTGCGGTACGGATAATACCCCTCCTGTAGAAGTCACCAAGTGGGGTTATATGTAGTTACGATAAGACGCGGCATGATCCTTACCAACAATGCTTCATTTCGCTGGATACTCTTGGGTCCGCTCGGGATTCTCGTCTTCGTCGAAGCGTCATGATTGAGTCAACGTTTACTTGATGTTCGTAGGCGGGAAACAAGACCAGCACGGCCTAGATTTGTGGCGCAAAATAGTCGTTTTGACATAAAAGATAAGCATCCGCAGGACTAGTTGATCGGTGATTTCGAATAACTACTTGTACACCAAGATCGAGAGATGCAGCAAAATGATCAACTGTCGGGTATAAATGCTGACTAGGGTTCGTGGCCGAGATCCACAATTTTCAATCAAAATAAACCCCGCTGGGCGCAACCTCCACTCTTTATGGTGCGAGCAAATATATCAGTTGGCTCTGATCCTGCCCTTGCATGTCTGTTCAGTCGGTAAAGCAGGTGTATCAGCCAATGTGTAAAGCACGCCACTGTCAGAGACACTGCATAACAATAGGCATCAGGGATCATGCTATTCGGATCATCCTTAGATCACCGTAAGTGACGGCTGCCTCGCACCGCAGAATATGGTCCCGCCTGCGAGCTTTGATATCCAATGCGGGACACGTATGCACGAGACAATTTCCTCTGTCAAGGAAGATTTCAAGTATTTTCATGATGTACTAGATACGACTTGATGATTAATGTTGGGAGAGGGGAAACGTCGTCAGTATTGAAGTAGAAATTATATATTTCATCTTGATTATTTTAAAAATCATTTGTCCAATCCTTTTTTTTTTTTTTTTTTTTTTGAACCTGGGCACATGGAGGGATGAGATGGATTTCCCTATAGCTTCATCAACTAAACTGATTTAATGCACAAATATTTCAAATTCCTACTTTGGAATCAAACACTCGATACAAAATTGTTGATTCCTACCTTATGTGACGGGATAGTACGAATGTCAACATGCGCTCTTGGCATAACCCACACACTGCATCAAACGAGCTTTTGCGCAAGTGAATAAGATGACAGCCGTACAAAATGCCGACTCAGAAAAGAGTCACAATCAGATTGAAGTGACTTTTGATAATAATTCAATTTGACGCCGCTGCACTCTGACCTTAGGCTCCCTCGACGGGACAAGTGACGGCACAGAAACATGGCGACAGAAGATCTGACCAACGACGTCCTCCGTGCTCTGGAGTCGAAGGACACAATCCTTTCCGACGATGCCTTCCCCACCTTCCCCTCCTCCAGCGTGAAGGCGGCCGTGGATCGTCTGGGTTCCCGTGAAATGGTTACCTATGAGACAATTGACCGTGAAGATGCGGTATTGACGGAAGAAGGCAAAGGCATTGCCGCAGAAGGTAGCCACGAGGCAAAGGTTTTCGAGGCTGTCAGGAAAGCCGTTGAGGGGCTTAAGATTACGGATTTGCCCGTACGTTTTCCGATGCTTATGGAGCAATGCTCTTAACAATTGAGCCTTGCGCGAGGTATCCTAATATTTTCCTGGCTGACTATTATGTGCTCAGGGCATCGTTGGCAAGGATAATGCCAAGGTCGGCCAAGGAAAAGCGTTCAAGGAGGGCTGGATTAAGAAAGACAAGGACCTTTTGAGGGCCAATGTACGCGCTGTCCCTAGCATTTCATTCTCCAAAAATTTAAAGGGCTTACACATTCTAGACCGACTCTATCAAAGATGTTACCCAGGAGCAGCTGAAGACCATTCAACAATCCCGTACCCACCCTGACCCGAAAGTGATTGCGGATCTTCGCAAGCGCAAACTTATAACCATTCAAAAGGTTATCAGCTTCAAGATTTCCAAGGGCCCGAAATATACTCCGGAATTTCAGAAAGAGGAGACCGACCTTACCGTTGAGATGCTTGCCAGGTGAGGAGGATAGGTGACCGGCAGTCGACAGAAAAGTGTACACTAACTGTAGTCTAGCGGAGCGTGGAAGACTGCTTCTTTCAAGCCTTACAACTTCAAGTCCCTTGGCGCTTTCACTCCAAGTGGAGCCCTGCATCCTTGTAAGTGCTCAGCTGAAGTTATTGTCTCTGCGCTGGATCTGACATAGTGCTTTCCAGTGATGAAGGTTCGACACGAATTCCGGCAAATCTTCTTTGAGATGGGTTTCGAGGAGATGCCTACGAATCGGTAAATCTACCTTGCAATTTTTTTTTTGGAAAGAAGTTCAATTTGGCTAAAATGAACAGATATGTCGAGACTGGATTCTGGAACTTTGATTCCCTTTTCGTCCCTCAGCAACACCCTGCTCGAGATCTGCAAGACACCTTCTATATCTCCGACCCTCTTTGGGCAGACAAGCCTCGTGCCGACCCTCAGCCGGCTCAGTCACTGCACAATGTTGCCGCCAAATCCGAGGAGCCTACGAAACCTCAGGATTATGAAGAATACTGGAACAATGTCGCCGAAGTCCACCAGGATGGCAAATACGGATCAATTGGTTATCGATACCCCTTCAAGCCTGACGAATCTCTACGACTAGTCCTCCGCACCCATACGACTGCGATTTCAGCATATATGCTTCACAAATTGGCAGCCAACCCTCGACCTGCACGATATTTCTCCATTGACCGTGTCTTCAGAAACGAATCTGTTGACGCTACTCACCTTGCCGAGTTCCATCAAGTCGAAGGTGTCATTGCCGACTTTGGACTCGACCTTGGCGGTCTTATTGGCTTCATGGAGACCTTCTTTGCGAAGATGGGCGTTTACGGATTGCGCTTCAAGCCCGCATACAATCCTTACACGGAGCCCAGTCTGGAAATCTTTGGCCACCACAGCGGTCTAGGAAAGTGGGTCGAGATTGGTAACAGTGGCATGTTCAGGCCTGAAATGCTTGAAGCTATGGGTCTGCCAAAGGGCCTTCGCGTCTACGGTTGGGGTTTGAGTTTAGAGCGCCCTACCATGATCAAGTGAGTTGCTCATCCTTTGCTCGATTTTGCATTTTTATACTAATTATTGTTTGCAGATACGGCGTCAAGAATATTCGAGAACTACTAGGTCACAAGGTCGACCTTGGTTTCATAGAAACAAACCCAGCGGTGCGACTGGAGAAGCGTTAGAGCTTACGTGACTAGATCTGTTTCAATTATATCATAGAGATACTCTTACCACGTTTTAACGTTTCATGTACACGAAAATAAAAAGCATTGCTTGCTGCCATCTTAGCAGCAGATTTCCTGGATGATAATTCCTTGGCCTCCTGCTTTGTTATATATTATATATATTAACCCTGCGCTAAGGAAGATTTCTGAGCGCTTGAGGATATCATGAGAGTAAAAATAGACTATACTTTTCAATTCTGATTGGAACAGGATATGATTCCGCTCAAAGGCGGAATTAATGAGAACCAAATCGTCATAGATCTGCCCGTGCTATCTGGATCCGAGTATGATATATTGGCAGAATGAAATGACAGGACCGGAGGCATAGAAAGCCAGTAATAGTGGTATTCGGCTCTAACCTGGACGCTCTCAACGAGACGATCTTTCTGCATACACTTTGAAAGAATTCCATAGAGATTGATGAAACTGCAAGCTATTGACTGATCAAAGCACCTGGTTGGAGCCTTTTGCGGAACACAATTCCCCAAACACACCAGGATCTCATGCTCCGGAACCGGCATTATAATGGCTAAACAACGCTTCTCCGTTTGACCAACTCATTAAAGCGATGGTCCTTTCAGAGAAAAGGCAGAGCCGTGATTGTACTACTAATCCAGGTAATCATGTATCATTAATACGGAGGGGGAAAACACCTGGGTAAACAATTAATTTCAGTTAATTGACATCACACGCCCACCACAACCCCCTCGGTTCGGCTCAGCAGGTGTCTTTTTTAGCTAAATTTCTAAGTCAAGTTAGGCGGGACAACCTTAACTGCTTAAGTTGAGGTTTGTAAAAGGTAAATCTGGCCCTTACCGCATGGCACGCGCCGACCGTCCAAACCGCCCTCTCTCTTGGACCGAGTGGGACCCGGGACCCGCACCCATCCTTTCCCGAAACTATGAGGAAGGACAAGTTGCGATCATCATCAACAAACCACCATCACCACCCCCCTCTGACGTCGGAGCCAAACGCGGACGGAACCCGGTTCCGAAGCTGGGAGCAAAAAGCTCGCTCTGATGTCGCCTATGTGGAAATAAAAACATTCCAATTTCTCTCGCTTCTCTCTCGCCCGTCCTTCTGACAAGATTCCATCTGGAGCTTCTGCCGACTGAGATTGATTGCATGGAGAGTTAAAGTATAGCAGTCGTTGCGCGCGCGCATAAATCGATTCAACTCGCCAGAACCTGTGACAGCCTTAGAGAGGGAGAGAGTTCTCTGAGCAGTCTGGTATCCCAAAAGGGCCTTCTTCATCTTTTCCAATCTAGTCTGCTACAGAAATTCATGTCGTCGCGTGCTGCGGTCATTAGGTGCCTGTGATGGTCTTCGCTCGTGCTGGAAATGGGCCAGTCCGATACTCGAATCGCCCGGTGCGCTCAAATGGGTTATCGAGTGCGGAGCTCAGAGGGGGATCAATTTGGGTGCTGGCTACACTTCTGCTCGTTCTCTGCTGCGCGCCTCTAAGGGGTTACTCCATGACGGATGCGCAAATTGCGGCGTTGAGGTACGTTGTTGTGTGAATCCGTGTTGTTAGAAATAAGACACTGTAGAGAAGAAATGGTCGACAGTAGAGAGGGCAAAAAAAGAAGAAAGGGCGATCAATTTGTTATTGCTAAGAAGTTACTATCCAGCGAGTCAAGGATCCTCGTATTTAACGGGGGCTGCGCCAGATGGCTTGATGATTAGCACAACAAACTACACACAATCAGAATTCAGTACTAACATCCTTTTCTGTGAATAGACAAGAAACGGTAGACGTATTTTTCCACGGCTACGACAACTACATGAAATATGCCTTTCCCGAGGACGAACTTCGACCGCTCTCCTGCGGACCATTAACAAGAGATCGCGAGAATCCGGGCCATGTGGCGCTCAATGACGCTCTTGGAAACTACTCATTGACGTTGGTCGACAGTCTCTCTACGCTTGCGATTTTTGCTTCCTCAACTACAGACGAGAATGGAGAAAGTAGAGGGCTGCAAAGGTTCCAAGAGGGCGTCAAATTGTTCGTTGAGCTCTACGGAGACGGTACGGACGGACCAGGCGGCCAAGGGACAAGGTCCCATGGCTTTGATATCGACAGCAAAGTCCAGGTTTTTGAGACGGTAATTCGTGGGCTGGGAGGCTTACTGAGCGCCCATCTCTTCGCAGTTGGAGAACTACCAATTCGAGGGTATAACCCACAATTCCAGCCCAATGGTACCGATTCTGGCAGTGGAGAGGATGGAATTGCGTGGCCGAATGGCTTCAAGTACAATGGCCAACTTCTACGACTAGCACACGACCTGGGAAAGCGCCTGCTGCCGGCTTTTCGTACCCCAACAGGAATGCCTTACCCCCGCGTGAACTTGCGGCATGGCATTCCATTCTACGCAAATTCACCCTTGAACAACGACCCGGAAAATGGACAGTGCGAAAGGAACGGCGGCCGGACTGAAACAACCCCGGTAGAAATCACAGAGACTTGCAGTGCTGGCGCGGGGTCTTTGGTGCTCGAATTTACAACCTTGAGCCGACTTACCGAAGATGATCGCTTTGAAAAGCTCGGGAAAAAGGCCTTTTGGTCAGTCGTCAACCGGAGGAGCGCCGTTGGGCTCGTAGGTGCTGGCATTGATGCGGAGAGTGGCTTGTGGATTGGGCCATATACAGGAGTAAGAAGACATCTTTGCCTCATCCCCCCTTCCTGTTTGGATTGCATCTTCTAACTCACTTCCATGGCAAAAAGATCGGAGCAGGGATTGACAGTTTGTTCGAATACGCGTTCAAATCTCACATTCTCTTGTCTGGGACTGACACTGGAAATGCCTTCCTGACGGAGACCCCTTCAATCGATCCCCGAAGTAATATTTCCATGCAATTATCGGGTGATGAGGATACGCATTCTGCCGACGCATTTCTCAAGGCCTGGGAAGACGCCCATTTCGCGATCAAGCGCCACCTTTATCGAGGCCCGTCGTATCATCATCCGCACTATATCCAAGCGGACCTGAATACCGGAGCACTACGAGCATTCTGGATTGATAGCCTTAGTGCGTACTATCCAGGTCTCCTAACACTAGGTGGTGAGCTGGAAGAGGCGATTGAGACACATTTGCTGTACACGGCGCTCTGGACTCGATTTTCCGCCCTCCCCGAGCGGTGGTCTACCATGACCGGCGACGTTGAGGGCGGACTTGGATGGTGGGGTGGTCGTCCAGAGTTTATCGAATCCACTTGGTATCTCTACCGTGCGACGCAGGATCCTTGGTATTTGCACGTCGGTGAAATGGCATTACGAGATATCAAACGGCGATGTTGGACCAAGTGCGGATGGGCTGGGCTTGAAGATGTCCGCACTGGCGAGAAACAGGACCGGATGGAGAGCTTCTTCCTAGGAGAGACTACCAAATACCTTTTCCTCCTCTTCGATCCAACTCATCCCTTGAATAAAATTGATGCGCCCTTTGTTTTCTCAACAGAGGGGCATCCTCTGATTCTTCCCCGGCAAACCCGGAACTTAAGAGAAAAGGGCACTGTCACCAAGCGTCGACATGATGACAGTCTTCCAGAGGAGACCAACGAGGCTGTTTGCCCCGTTCCCTCGTCCCATATACCACTCAGTATTTCTGCCACAGCTGCCAGAGGGGATCTTTTTCACGCAGCTAGCCTTGCAAGGCTCCATCTTCGACCAAACAGCTCCATCACCGAATCTCCTTTGGTAGAATTCTCAGCTAGTCAGCCAAGCATTTCATTGGCAGACTTACAATCTCCCACGAATTATACATTTTTCCCATGGACGTTACCATCGGATCTCATCCCGCACAACGGAACTTGCTCGAAGATGGCTACCAGACTCACATTTGACATTTCATTTCCTACTTTGCCTAATACGTTCCCGGGCTCGGCCACTCTTCAACGCGTACGGGAAGGTATCCTACTGCATTCCATGAGCGGTACAAAATTGAGCATGATCAAAGAAGATATGCTTACGGCGACCGACGAGGGAGAAGTCGCATCGAAGGACACGTATCGAGTGTCTGCCGTCTCCCACATCATTCTTGGAAGGGACGAGAGAGTATTCGTCCCCAGAGATCTGGTGACCAACTTCAATCCGCTGGATCCGAATTTTACTAGGATCCGCGATGCCGTGTGGCTCGATCTTGTTATCGACGCTGAACCTCCAGAGACGGAGGACCATCTCGAGTCTCCTGTGATTCTGGAGGATGATGGGGAAATCGCGTCCTTGATTGAGCCTACTCTCGTACTCGCCCAAAGTCCTGACTCCATGCAAGATACGCCATCCAGTATGCGTCTGGTTTTCAGCTCGCTCCTGCAGCATGTATCTTCCATGCTCAGCGAGCCAAGTACGGGTTCTACCAATCCGGAGCTTCGAGAGACTATCCCTGCCATTATGCCTTCAGGCATTGGCGCCGCGCCTCTCCCCGAAGTGGAGGATGCGCCCGGTCTAGATGCACCTGGTCTTTCCTTACCCTGGCATAAGATCTATGTAGGGGACGACACATGTCGTGGAAGACTGCCGATGCAGGTTTCTCGAGATTATCAGATTATAGTCATCAAACGAGGTGGCTGTAGTTTCAACGAGAAGTTGAGAAATATTCCAAGCTACCCGCCTTCCGCATCTTCCCTTCAGCTCGTGGTTATTGTGTCATTTGCTGAAAATGACAGGGAATCTGTATCTCCGGGCGAAGAGGAAAGCCTCCCCGAGGGAGTCTTTGTTCGGCCTCTGCTCGATCAGGTGCAGTACACCAAAGGTGGCATTCCGAGACGGCATCCCATTCCAATGATCATGGTTGGTGGAGGGGACAAAACGTATCAGATGCTCCAGCATGCCAAGGCGGTAGGCTTCCGGAGAAGATACAGTGTGACGAGCCAAGGATTACCCATCTCAAACCTTATAATTTTGTAGTCTGCGTTTAAATGCATTTGTCGGCGTTTGGTGCCAATGCGATAATGGCGGCTTTTTCCCCCACTTCAGTCCCATATTGAGACCCCCCTTCTCGTCTGCCTCTGGTTATTTGCAAAATCCGATTAGATGCAAGCGATTTTTGTTGAGATATCCTTTTTCTTCTACAAGTATATAGTTGTTGGAGATGAATAGCAGCATTCAGAGAAGGAAACGTGAAACAAATTTTTGAAAGGCATGCCGATTGGAAGAAAACACATGGTCAATCTATCACATACTGGTGAGCGCATCTCCTTGGCATCTTGGGCCTCAAAGCCGGAAAGGTGCTGCATATCCAGTCCGCTCTGTTGTTTCAATCTATTGAGGCGGTTAGCTTTGAGCTACGAAAAGTACCGAGTAAAAATTGTGGATCGTCACTCGGGACTTCTCCATTGAGCAAAAGTATCCAGGGTTTGTAGCCGCAGACTAAGCTGAGAAGAATTGTCCGAGCCCAATATCGCCATGGGTTTGCCTTGGACCCATTTCGCTTCTGGCTTCCCAGCGCGCTCGGGGCCTTTCCGACAGCCGATAGTGGGTCTTGCCAAACCACGGAGTAAGATGAACATTTGAAAATAGGATGAGAACCACTGAATTGTCAATGCGTGGCATTGAAAGAAATTTTCTAGACCTCATAGTTTGGTTTACTCGACTATTGCCGTAATATTCGGCGTATGCACCAGGTGAAAGTTCACAGAGAGCGGCCAGCCTTGAAGAGTTTGAACTAAGGGTTCCCTGGTAAACATCATACTTGCCAAGACAATCTGTCTCTTCATATGCACCAGACAGCATATAGCTCTCCTATAATCCTTGCTGTGGCGGCTGTTAGGAGGAACACTTCGAAAGCATGTTGAGAATCATCTGCCACTCGACCCTGGGCGAAATCATCAATACGCGAATGGTTAGAGAAGCTGTTCCATAAATGACTTTGGTGCATAGGCAATGCTTGTAGTAAGCAAAGCAGCGGCGGATTTGCAAAACGCATTCGTAAATGCACAGGTTCTGCATGAAGCCAAATCCAAGATATTAGAATATGACTCATTCCATTCATTTTGCCCAGGGCTATCTTGCGTGGTTACTCATGCAGATGATGGTGAAAGTCGCGCTCGCGGCCGGAGCGACCCGGATGGGTGTTGTAAGTCCGGCTTAAGCTTGCCGAGGAACATGTCGTGACGAGCGGACCCGCGGCAGGGTCTGACTTGTGGTCCCTGGCTAAGATAAAGAGATTCGGCAGCTAGCTCCACAGAACCGGTGAGAATTGCTTAGTAGCTCTCTAGACAGCTGTTCATTGCTCAGAAAAGCGCACGAGAAATAGTTAGCAGTAACCTTCGTCGTTGTTGGATAATGATTTGTCTCACATCTCACAGCAAGAGGCATTAAAATGAGTTATGCCAGGCATTCATTTCAAATCCCCTGACCCTTGTCCGTTCCAGTCTGGTCTATCAGAACGATTGGTTACTCTTGTCAAACACTAAGCAAAAGGCGTTCATTGGAGCAATGGACATGCTCGGTCATCGGACAATAATGCATGTTGGACGAAGATTCAATAAGCTAGTCGAGCCCTTCGGAGTGACACATGTAGTTTCCTACGCAGTAGCAGACTCTCTCGACGCCGCCGGGTGGACACCCAGTGGTTGAGATGGCCGGATTGACCTCCACGAAACTATCACGCCAAGATGCCTGAAAATTAGCATCTATCGAATTGAATGTAATCTAAACGAGGCAACTTTACCCCTGGTTTTTAAGCCATCTGGCATGTCAAAGTTACTCAGCTATGAAAGGTTTGGGGATTCGTATCAATCAGCCCGCCACTTCCAAGATACAATATCTTGGTTGAGGGCTTTACCACGGCGGGTTGCCAGATGGCCATGGACCCTGAGTTTCGGTTGGGGATTAGCCTGCTGGTAGTTAGTGGTATCTTCCGCAGAGGACAGCCGAACGTCGTTCGTCAGAGGAGATCGGCCCGTACAACAACACGTTCTAGTGCCGGCGAGTGGGATCACAACGACATTCAGGGAACATTGATTGCAGCAAAAAGGAAGCTAGTATTGGGCATGGGAGCTTACCTTGATTGCCTAACCTGTTGTCCAAAATTATCTTGCAGATAAGCACTATCCACGCTTGCGCAGAACCCAAGATAATAGTGACCCTGCAGGAAAGATACCAGACTTGTCACTGGGGATGTCTATTATTGTTATTATTATTATTATTATTATTATTATTATTATTATTATTATTATTATTATTATTATTATTATTATTCGTATTAGTCCTCTGAAACTGTAGCAACTCAGTATTCAGCATTTCATTGTCATGCACCTTTGGGGGAATATCTTTCTCTTGCAAAGTTAGGATGGATCACATCTCAGTTGACCCTGGGGACATAGCACACAGAGTAAGGGTAGGGGACGTACGAATTGACAACCTCGAGAAGCGAAACATGCATCATTTTCGTAAGCTTCAGGATGCCCGCAGCACCATGCGATGGCCACAGTTTCAATTGGTCTAAATGAGCATACAAGTCTTTTACTATGTCCAACGAAACAGATTTAGCAAATTCCCCGCGCGAATGATCGGTAACGAGCGGTGTAAACGCAGTTTATTCCCGAGACTTACTGCCGAATTTGCACATGAAGGTTGCCAGACCGGTAGGACATGGCCCAGCACGGCGTTCCCGATGGGTGATTTGGACGATATATCAAAAAGGTGCTAAAAGGGAGCTTTTAAGTATCGTTTAACTGCATCACATCCTTGCGATTTTTCTGCGCAACAAGAAATGAGCCGGGATGGATGTTAGCGCTAGTCGGTGCTTAGACAGCCTGGGCTGCAGAGTAAATATCACCGTCAATTCTAGAGGGTTTCTAAATGACAGGTTTCTTATTGATACAGCCAAGTAGGGAACTAGCCAAGGCTGGAAAAATCCTCGTCATCCCAATTGAGTAGGAAAATCTTTCCGGAAGGCGCGGCTGAAGCGAAAAGGATGAGGGTGCCTGCGTGAAGTCCTAACGCTCCATGCTTTGGTACAGCTTCTATCCTCTGACCATCACACCATTACACAGGTCCAGAAATGCTCATATTTAGGAAATTCCCAAACCGGCCTCGTCAATTAGCCGGACAATGCCGTTTCGGCGGTCCCCAGAATGGGGAGAAGGGGTTTCACGAATGATAACCAGCCCGGAAATCATCCCGCCGAGTTCAACGAAAATTCTTTATTTGACACCCTGGTCCCTCTTTGAACCTTCTCTACATTTTGAAAAGATGTTCTAAATACAAAAATGCCCTGTCCCTCTTTCTACCCAGAGAGAAATCCACAGTGACGGGGAAAAGTTGGCCCAAAACGCAGTCGATGCTTGTCGGCTGGAAATGCTAAGCTCATTGCATTTCCATAATGACTTTTCCTCTTAGAGGCTGCACGACTCATAATAGTATAACGAAAAACAAGTCAACCTACCATGCTCGACATCAATAGGAAGAAACAAAAGGGCAATATGATAGGGGAGGAGGGCGTTTCCAATTGCAAAGAACGAATTAAAAGGAAAGAAAAAAAAAGATTACATTTTCAAAAGGCCTTGTCACTCTGATCGCGGTGAGGCAAATGTTGAAGATCGGACTGTGCTACCCCCCTGTAGCACGCCTCAATCATGCCTCGTGTGCTGACACCAGAACAGGACCAAAACCAGGCTGCGATTCATGAGAAGGAACATCAGCCAAAGATGCAGGCATGAATTAAGACAGTCCTTGCGGCCAAAACTCCCCAGACCAAACGGAAGAAAGCGAGTTGGTTTGCTGCAAAGAGAGATCAAGATGCTCAAGTGATTCCTCATTCCAAGACAGAGTCGCGTCCAAGGCCGCATCGCTGCTTAGGATGGGGTCAAACTCTGGCGGGTATGATGATTCGCTAGCTGCGTCAGAAGCATAGCCGACGGCATCGGTTGAGGCCGCGTTCGACGGCGGTTGGCTATACATGTAGCTGTTTGCTGGGTAGTCCCGACTTTGTGTTTGAGGGCCTCCCAATTGGTAAAGAGAGTCGGCGCTCGGTCCCAAATTACCGTCTTGGGATGCTGTCCTGGCATTGTTTTGGAAACGTGATTCATCAGAAAGAGTCAAGTTAAAGGGAACTGTCATAGCTGTAAGTTGACTTATTTGCGCCATTGTCTGCTGAGGAAAATGCTGATGAGCTGAGAAAGCTGGGTCCTCAGTTTGTTTTCCCGTCCTACTAGGTCCGGCAAGCGGAGTGATGTCCCAGGCGGAGGAGTCTCCCAGTGTTCCATCGTGCGAATTAAACAAAGCGCTATCAAACGTTCCAGCTGCAGCCGGATTGAGTGCCAATGGGTCCTGACTGAAAAAGTCAGAGGACGCTTCAGGTATGTGATCCTGCGCGCTGCCAAACTGAGAGTGGTCTTGAAATAGAAGATCAAGTGCGCGCTGCAAGGAGTTTTGTGTTGTTATCTCATCTTGAGTTGGTGGAGGTGCCGCAGCTACGTTCATCGTTGTCTGGAAAGAAAAGAGTCCTTGCCCGTGCGGGTTTAGGAGATCGAAGCTTAAACTTTGACCAAACAAGCCACCGTCAACAGCATATTGCGAGGCTGCCATGGGCGGTTGTTGCGGTTCTTCATTTTTTGATACAGGTGTTGCCGGAGGTACAAGGTTCGGCTCGGAAAGAAATGACGCTTCTGGGGCAATGCTTGAGTCCACCGAGACTGAGGACTGTGACGCTATACTATTCCTGCCTCTTCTTCTGTGGTAAATCCCCTCATTTCCCCATACGTCAGGAGTCTGCGACTCCAACAGTTCCTTCTCAAGCACCTCGATCGAGAGATTTGCATTTCCGGCACTAGATTTCTTTTTCATCTTTCGGTAAAGACGGAGGAGATGATCATATCTAACATGAGAGGTTCGGACAACACCGTTAGGATCCGCTTCAGATTTATCGAGACAGCGAAAGTATCGAAAGGAGTCACAACCATGTGTATCCGCGGAACATACCTATTCTTCGCTGACAGACTTGTGCGACCAGGAAAATTTTGGTCCACAATTACGCGCCATAATTTGCCGTGTTTCTGCGTAGCTGCTATGAGCGCTCGATCCTAAATGACGAACCTGGGTTAGTCTATTCCGACAAACTTGGAACCTTGTCATGTCTCATATTAGGTCTTCAAGTGCATGTTGGAGCGTCCTCAAGACCACCGAAAAGGCTGAGAAATCCACTCCTCAAGTGCAAACGAGCATGCAACATCTTACTGATCGCATTCTCGCACCTCAAAGTTCTTCCAAGCTCTTCCCATGCAATAAAGGAAATGGGATGGTGCGTACTTCTTCGGGGGTCCATGGACTGCGATCAATATCTGGGTTCAAAGCGTCATGCCAGCGTTTCGAGCATTCTATTCACAGCAGAAAAAAAATCAGATTTGCTGCAAATATTAAGTAATAGGACGATCGAAAAGGGCACCTCCAAAGTCAAATATTAGATAGTGCAATATCAGGGAAGCACATACGATCACCATTCCTGGTTCCGACTACTTGTGCGACCAGAAACCATCTATCTCTATATGTCAGTTGTAAATTCCCAGGGTGATCTCATATGGGATCAACTATTTTCGAACCTTGTTCCGTATTTTCGAACCCCGGCTAACAACCGCTCATCCTCAGCATCCTGCCATGAGCCCTTATTTACTTTGGCACCAGTCGAATAATGCCATCGTTTCCTACAATCTTTGTTATTTCGGCCAGGAATATAAGAAGCAATGCGATGCCAATCGAGGTGTTCGCCGTTCTCGGCTAGCCCGCCAAACTTGTCAGTGCTAGATTTCTCGGCAAGCAATTGGCGACCATCAAACTGGGCTCTCACTAAATTTCTGGACCACTTTGCGAAGCATTTCATCTTCTTGCTCATCCCACATGGACCGTTTTCGAGTTGTTCTCTGCTCGGTTTGAGCCATAGCGGGCGGTATACGCCTGAGCTCAGGCTGACGGATGCGGCAATGGCCAGCTGAAATGAAAGTGTTAAGTATGAAGAATTGGAAGATGTACTTGATGTTGGGACTTTGGAGCAACAAATAGAGCTTTCTATGTGTTCGATGTGTTCAATGTCAACGAAAAAGCATAAATCTGTTAGAGGGATCTCAAATAGCTTCCAGGCGATCATTCATATCCTGCGGCCGGGGGCTGATGGAAGATCATAAGGTGGGGCGATGATTCCAAAAAAATTACTGCGACCGCTAAGCACCAGCCATCTTGAGGTGGTTGGACTAACCATTACGATCAAACAAGACAGTGATTTTTCTCAGCCGTGCCGCGAAACTACTCCCTCCGTACCGCTCCGGTCCATGCCTGGTATGGTACGGAGTACTCGAGATCCCGGCGAAGAGTCCCATGCTGACTGCAGGCTCGTGAGACGTTTCTGCTTACCGCACGCAAGCCGGTGCCCTAGCGTTCCTATACTTCATCGTGTGCTTCCGTAAAAACATCTTGATATCTGGGGTGAAGAGAGCGCGACACTTGCAGAACGGAGCAATACTAGGGCAGGCGGTTCTGACGCAACGCGAGCTTGCAACCGGTTCCACGTTGCTCAGACGATCCCCACAAAGAATGCCAATCAGTAAGCTGGAGGACCCACGGGGAAAACCACCATTTGCTTTGGAGTGAGAAAGGACCTCCTACTACGGGCCCTAGTGCCATGAACGAAGCATTCTACAGCGTAACTGCCTCGTGTTAGGGCGGTGGGGGTTGCTTGGAGGGGATGGACCCGCTGAGGGAAGGCCACGCGGTACTATACCCAGCACAAAAGTATACAGGGATCGCCTTCCACAACAAAGGGAACGTCTTGGTTCCCTGACTTGCTCCAAAGTCTATATGCAGGGGCCTGGACAGATTAGTATACCGATTAGGGAACCAGATAAAATGATAATCCATGCATTGTCTGGGGTGTAGGATGATTTCGGCTGCGGCCGATCCATGTCGACCGCCTGTGGATATGATCGCCATTGGACGGTTGATAAGGCGGGATACTGTCTTGGGTGGACTGGAGTCGAACCCTGTGTCGTTGTGTACAGTACAGAAAATCAAAGGGGCATAATTTAGTGCAACGGGTAAACGGGACCCAGCAGTTGGCGTGAAAACCCGGCGGGAGCTTGTGAGGGAACTAGATTCAGCCGAGGGGCCCCGTGTTCTGCCATGAAATGAAGTGCGACCTCGCTGACCAAATGCCACAGAAGATTACCTAAGCTAAGCCAATCTCTTGAACCGTCTCTGCGCCATGCGATTGGCCCAAGGTCAAGCTTACCAACAAGACTGGTCACAGCACACTCTACAAAAGTACCTACACCATAACAATTCATACTCGATTAGCGGCTTCTACCTGCAGTTTGTCCGAGTGAAAAAATGATTTAGTTATTCTGCACTGCCATGCAAGCAGTTGGCTTCGTTATGTTTAGATACCTCTTTCCTTTTTGTTGAGGATGAGCTGAAGATCGACGATCCTGAATTGAACTGATCTTGTATGTCTCTCCTCATCAGCTTGTTGTTTTGGTAACTGACTGAGAACTGTGAACCCTGAAAAGTTACCAGGCAAGAGCAAGTGGAATCGAGTGACTACTCATTTGCTCAAATCCATTTATATGTAAGAGACATATATGACGAGTCATCTGACAGCAAGAAGCAAGAAGTTATCCGGGAAGGGATCACGTGAAGCATCAAACTACATCCCAGTTCACTATTAAACACAATATAAGTAAAAGTACGCCCTTTGTTGGGAGCATGCCTGTCATTTGCATTGCATACCTATCCGGTAGATCCGGCACTCTGCTAACGAGGATGAAGATCAGCTGTGTTGTTCCGGCATATACAAAGATCAAGCTAAATTAGCTATAACATCCTGCTCAGAAAAAGCAAAAAGACAACGCCGACCATGAACCTTAGTGGATGGATGGAAAATCACTACCTCCTCGTTTGCCAGCAATTTCAACTGATGAGACAGCAAAACTACCCACCATATCTAGCTGGTATGGGCTTTCCTCATCTGGCTTGACCTATCTCCACTACTTTCACGCGATAAGTTTAGTCTACCTAGGTATGTATGGACCAGGCACTTTCTCAACATCACACAAACGAACTCCCATGTGAACGACCCTCTTCGCGTAAATGTATCAGATTCACGCTGCACGTGTGGTCCCTTCTTCAAAATGCGAAAATTTCTTTGTTCTATGGCATATGACTCAGTAACCCGATGGAAGCAAACTACCCATTATGTTTACCTAAGTATGTTCGAGAACCCAAAACGCCAAGATCACTTTTCCGAGCTTATGACATCAGAGATCCTTACATTTCCTCAATTCATCAGACTGTTTATCTGGCAACCTGAGACAGTTTTGGCCCACCGCGTTCCTTTTACACCATTAGAAAAGCCGGGCGCCTGCTGCCTTGTGGGGCTGAATTTCGCTTGGTCAAGCTTTGACCGATGTATCTTGGCAAATGACAAAGAGAAAGTAGCTTCGTTTCTCGTCCTACCCCATATCTCGTTTTTGGCCACGATTGCGACAGTCAGCACTATACCGCTAAACAACCCGGAAGCTCAGAAACTTAATGCAAGATGACGATTACCTTCTTAAACTCGATCAGTAATAAATGTCATCACACACTTTGCCGAGATGAAATTTTCCGGTGACAAATGCCTCTGCCCCGTGAGGTGGTAATTCAGTTCAGCGTGGTGGTCAGGAGAAAAGCCCATTGGCACGTGTTGAGAATCTCTCTACAAGGGCGGGGAACGCCAATATTCATTCATTACCTTATTTACCTACCTAGGTAGGCTGACTGTACGGAGTATAACCAAGTATAAATTACATTCCACGTAGAACATTAGGGGTCATATTAGCTGCTGTTCGAGTTCACGTAAGGGATTCATTCTCCTGAGGGCGTTCCCTCTCTCCGCACAGCCTCCGTACCATGTCACGATTCAGGGTTCCCGATCCGGCATCGGTAGCTTCGTACTTTCCTTGGCTACCTTACCTTACCTTACCTTACCTAAGGTACCTTAGGTAGCGACTAACTCCCGTTTGGCTTGATTTAGGGCCCGTCTCCAGTTTTACCGTTTGCGGAGCAACACTTAAAGAGATGATGGAATTTCTCACTCACGACAACTCCCTCCAACACTTGCAACACTACAAGTGGTCCAATTTATCAAGAGTAGTAAATTAAATGACGTCGTTATGGAAGGTCAGTCTGCCCGACACGTGGGAAATGATGTCGGCGTTGAATCTCGTCCGAGTGAAATTTCCAAGAACGTCGTTTTGAAACGATTGCCTAACCTAGGTTCGTAATTCTCATTGGCTCAAAATCTTCGCTGGGCCGTTCATTCCCTCTGAACTTAAGTCCGTCCCCGATGCCCGAATCTTCGTTTATTCACCAGCAAGAGGCTACGATCCTCGTCTGGAGAAGCGACCTATGACCCTCTTTGGCAAACCAACTCCGTCACCCTGCATAATGTCATGGTGAACCCTGACCCTTATCTCCGTTTAACCTCGTCACTTCTCCGGATGCTGTCGGATGGGACAAAGGGCGGTAGTAGACAAACTCCGGAAAAAAAAGATGCTCTCGTAGAAAACCCAACGAACTGCTGATCATCGTCGTCGTCATATCCCCTTTTCCAACCACTTTCAGCATTTTTAATGAGCCATCCCCTTCTTTTTTCTGCGTTTCTTGCCTGACAGACTCTCCAACAACAATATCCGCCAAACTCGAACACTAAGGTTCACGGTTCAGCAACTAGTTAAGCCACCCTGGGTTGCACTCTGCAGAAAGACCCATCTGCTACGCACTGTCGGCGCTTGGCGTCTGCGATCAAAACCCACCAACTAAACAGAGCTCCGCACATACAAAATCCTCCTGTCAGCCAAAATGACTGCTCACGAAGCAGAGTCCAACACCGCTGGTACACCACCCACCGAGCTTGATGAGAGGGCGAATACAGATCTCGAAAAGGAGGCACCGGGTCGCTCCTCTTCTGAGAGCAGCCCTGGGCCACGCCCAACAACATCGCAGCGGGAGCCGCCGAATGGAGGTGTACGTGCTTGGTTGGTCGTCGTGGGAGCAACTGCCTCGCAGATCTGTACCTTCGGTTACATTCAGTCGTTTGGGTAAGTCATTCCAATTTTATTATTTTACTCGGATCCCACCCCTTCCCCACCGCCATCATACGCGAATCATTCTTTGACTTTGAACTGACGGGTCCGCTTTTGGATTAGTATCTACGAACAATATTACCAAGCCAATCAGCTGAAGCACGAAACTCCCAGCAACATCTCTTGGATTGGTTCGCTGCAACTATGTCTGCTCTTCCTCTTGGGTATGGTTAGTGGGCCATTATTTGACCGCTATGGCGCACGGGTAAGTCTACTCTCTTCGAATGAAGGCGATGCCAAGAATCCACTGATTCGTTGCTGACCTCTGATTTCAAGGTTGTACTCATTCCGTCGTCTATTATCATGGTCTTCTCGGCCATGATGACTAGTCTTTGCAAGGAATACTACCAGTTCATTTTGGCCCAGGGAATTCTCAGCGGATTTGCCTCTGGCATGATCTTCACCCCTGTCGTTTCGGCAGTGGGCCAGTATTTCACCACGCGACGTGCGCTCGCCATGGGTACTGTCGTGAGCGGTTCCTCTCTCGGGGGTGTCATCTTTCCGGCTGCCCTAAACCGTCTCTTCAACAATTCTACGGTTGGATTTGGCTGGGCGCAGCGAATTGTCGGATTCATTATGCTCCCGCTTCTGATATTTACTTGCTTGACGGTAAAAGAATTTTCCCCTCATAGACAGGGAGCCATTTTCCTTCCGAAGGCGTTCAAATCGGGCCCCTATATCTTCGCCAACATTGGCTTCTTCACGACCCTCCTCGGCATGTACACTCCAATCTTTTTCCTGGTGACGTACGCTGTGTCACACGGAGCCAGCGTTCCAATGGCAATGTACATGGTTTGCATCCTTAACGCTGCCTCCTTCATTGGCCGGACTTCTTCTGGGTACTTTGCGGACAAATTTGGTCGTTACAATGCCATGGTCGTTTCGACCATCGCCGCTGCCATTCTCGAGTTCTGCTGGATTGCGACGCACAACAATGCTGGTATCATTATGTTCGCAATAGTCTTTGGTGTTCTTACCGGTGCTGTTGTTTCTTTGTATTCGCCCTGTATTGCTGAGGTGACTCCGAACCGTTCAGATATTGGAACGTATCTCGGCATGGGAATGGCGTTTTCGAGCTTGGCTGGCCTTACTGGTTCGCCAATCAATGGTGCCATGATTGAGCATTACGGGGATTACTGGCAAGCCGCTGTCTTTAGTGGGATGATGACGGTGGCAGGAGCAATTGCCAATACCATCGCAAGATTTTGGCTGGACAAGCGGGTATTCGTCAAGGTCTAACTCGCTACCTTTGATTCAATCCTCTGAAGCCTTAGAAACACACTGTATATTTCCTTGAAAAACATCGGCGCTTATTCAACTTGATGGGCTTTACTTGCTGGAATGCATTAATATCCGACCCATAGTTAATAATTGTTTTTAGACATCCATATACTTTTTCTCCATATTTGTGAACAAATGACCATGGAATGTGCGTCGGAATAAAGTCAATCGGCACGACGGATCAGATAGTTGAAGCTATGAGCGACAGCAACTATTTCACTCTCCGTGTCTCCGTTTGAGAGTTGACCGAAATGGAAAAAAATCTCTCAAGATCCCTGCTTTCGCTTGCACGACTTCATTTCGGAGCCCACTTCGGAGTTTGCGGACGACAGCGAATTTGAGTAATCGTTAGTTTTGGATAAATGAAGTGATTCTCTTGGTGAACATGAATTCAAGTTTGGAGTAATGATCGTCGTGTATTTCGGAGAAAAATGGAGATTGTAAGTTACACCCTATCTCCATGATATCTCCAAGGGAAAAAAAGCAGCTCCCTCCTGCATTAGCGTCGTCCTGACTAAACACAGTTAAGTCGCGCCCCACAGCTACGAGCGAGGAGCCGGAGTTAGACCCGACTCTCTTAAACTAACTTATGCATAGCTTCAGGGCCTTGGGCCCACTTATGCAAGCTCAGTCATACGGTTAACTTAATGCATCCTCTAAAGTGATTTGTGGTTGACTAAGCTAGGCCGGCGAACCTGCCATCACTTTGCCGTGCATAGGAAATTGTGCGATGATAATACTCTTCATATGATGATAATAGATTTGCATATGAAAGAGTTTGAAATCGGATTGTACTTGTATAAGCCCATTATTATTGACCATCGACTCTGCATCAATTTTAAGCTCAACGAGGTATGATTATTTGACGACTTCGCCTTGAAAAGACCTATGCACAGCGTCATTACAGCTGCCAAAGTGACTGGTTTACAGCTAGACGAGTCGTTACTGCAATGAAAAATCCATTCGATTTTATACTTCGTAACCTTAGCTGATCCGATTTCCCTCTATGCACCATCTCCGTATTTCTTTGCAAACGGAGCCTAAATGGGTTCATCCTTTGAATATGTTGCCTGTTTCTCGTCAAAGGATTTCGCCTTTGTTATGGAGTTTACATTGGGTCCACTGCAGAGACGACGGACGACCCCGCGAACCTGAACCGACTAAAGATTTTGCCGGGTCTACCACCGACATTGCTCGCTTTGTACAAAAGTACAGAGGTAGATCTCACCTGAATTCTTACCCGACAATGTGTATAGTCAGGTAACTGGCTACCGTAGGAGCCTACCGAACATTTCTCGACTACAGCGACTACCCAGAGAACAGCTCGCTCACTAAAGTACCTGGAATAACGGGTTACTATAGCGAGGTACCCTACACTATAGACCCCAAATGTATCTCCATACCTACCTTAGGTACCTTAGGTATCCTATTCTACCTTCCCTACACAACTCTCTTGCGGGGAGATGAATGATCCCTTTTAGTTGCGGGAAGAAAACATCTAATGACACTTAACTGTCATAATTAGTGGAATGTCTTAACTGGAACCGTCAAATTAAGTCCCCGGAAGGGCTACTAAATAGCCGTGGGCTGCGGGGTTCTAGCAATAAACTAGTTGCCTGACGGTAAGTCCAACTGACGATACTATAGTACTATCGCTCTAAAAGTGGCGTAGAATCGACAGAGGTTTATTTCATTGTAAAGCCAAGCAGGGAATATATGGCAAGCAGCGTCGACGTCGCTGCTCAGTCGCAGAGGGAGTCCCTTCTTATTCCTGATTGGCTTTATCGTCAACTTACAAAGGCCATTCGTAAGATTGGTTCCAGTTATGATTAGGTAAGAAAGATACCTAAGATAAGTATAGATAGGGAGGTACATTAGGTAGATTACCGTCGTTGCCGTGGGCTTTCACCATCCTTGCCTGTGGCTTCCAAGTGACCAGGATACCCAGGCAGACCACCACCCCTTGGCTTTTGGCAATACCTGGGCATTCCCTACAGCGGGTGGCGCTATCTCTTGATGATCTGGTGATGATCCCTGACCTTTTCATTTTGCGTTTGCGCACTGGTTACCATATTGGGCGACGATCAAGTAGTTTCGTCACGCACCTGCACCATGTCCAGGGGGAATGTAACGTTCTCGGTATAATCCTTGTCACCATGACCCTTTCCCCCGCCTTTCCCCATGGGTTAGATGTCCAAGGATAAGGGTTCTAGGGGGTTGCATAGTACGGCTTTTTTTTTGAAGCTATTTATCAAATTGTTGTTAGTCTCGCGCGCGGAATTGCGCGGATTCATGTGCTCAAATTCCCCCGCTCTTCTTATCTTCTCTACGTTCCTTCTCATCTCTCCACGAAGTGATCCGAACTTCCCACATAGTTATCTGATCGATAGGCAATTGGGAATCCACGTAGGGGAACGAAAACACATCCCTGTTTTCACCGCAGACTGGGTTCAGATGGGGATCCTGGATACGTGTGAGAAATGTAGGCGCCGAAGAAGGGATCAGATTTGTACAGACTTCACACAGATTTGCTGGGAACCCTTCTACCTGGATTTCAATCAAGACCCTTGAACTGGTCGGCTGCCTATGTGTTGCAGCAGCATAAGCGAACATGATTTGTATGCAGCGGACCTACACTGCATCCATCCGGCAACAGCATACATTGTTTTGGGGAACGTGCAGAACTCTTGTATCTTCTCTAAAATGAGAACAATGCTTACTGGAGAAACAAAAACGCGTCTAGCGTTACACAACAATATATAACATGCTAGAATTAACCTGATGATTAGGCACAATGATTGCATATCCCCGAGGTATGATTCGGCTTCGTGAAACTACCGTATATCAAGCATCCGGAAACTCACTGGGCCAAAAAGGAACCGAGTTGCTGGATCCCACAGCACATAGCGCGCAGGGAAAAAGAGGTACGTAATTGCATTTTGGAAAACCAGATCCGTCTTTTGTATCGTGAGGATCATCCATCGATCATCCGCAAATTCCATGATCTTCGGGACTTCTCATCAACCTAAATGATTAAGCACTAAGCCGATACACGGCCGGTCTCCGGAAAAGGGGTGCCACTCTGGCCGTGCGCTCATCCTCAGCTCCTCGTAGGGCCAAAGACTTGGCAAAACATAAATGATCATGCTATGTCTCCCCACGAGCTAGTTACCAAAACTTCTTTTTGCAACCCTCTCATCTGTTTGGCTTTTCCAGAGGCAGGCGCTTTGCAGACGGTATTTTGTGCTATGCCGAAGCTCTACAAATGAATCCAACATGCTGCACCTGGCGCGTAAAGTAATCCGGCAGAATATTGCACCGCGAATACGTGATTATATTAATCTCGTAAAGCTGAGGCAAGATGGGTTTAAATTGTGCTGTGCTCAGACGGTCCAAGGTAACAGAATATTCCGATAGTGTAGCCACTTGACGTCATTTTAAGATCGACAGTCAGATGCTATTGTTGCAGTTAGCACTCGTGCGGACCTGATAAAATAAATCAAGCAACTTGATCATAGATAACTCCTATACGCGTGAATGGCTGCAAAAACCTGAGGTCTAGCATAGTCTATTATTCTGACAGCAGTAAGCTGTCTGCGCAGCGAGGATGACAGATTAATCAACCTCCCAGAACGGTAATCCTGTCAGAGCAGAAGACACCGTCGACCGTGGAGTAGCTTACCGGGCTCAGCCACCAAGGGTCTGTTCAAGGGTAGGTGGGAGCCCCGTTGCTGCGTTTCCTTCAATCTGGGGCGTGGGGCCTGCAGCAGTAAGTCCACCTGCCTCAAGCCACCATGAGTGGGGGAGAAAAAGGAAGAAACCTGGGGAAGGCGTCTGTTGATGTGTCTTCCGTCTGCAGTAAAATTAGTACAAAGTGGGGAAATGGCAAAATAATCATGAAGTAAACAACAACAGACCACGCTCTTCCAAATTAGAAACGATGCAACAAGGCAACTTAGCTCTCCAAGGAGAGAGGCTAGTTATGGTAGAAACAAAATAGACGATAGAGAGCCAAGCAAATCATGCCGACCCGCAATTAACGGGCGCGATGGGGGAACTCGGGAATATCCAATAACGCAAGCATCTCCACTAATCTTTTCCAATCTGCCACGCTGCAGCCACAAAAATTGGACAATTACCTTGCGCAAAGTACCGGTACGAACAGCGTGTTCCACGAGCGAAATCAACAAGCTTGTTCCTGAACAAGGCGTCGTCTATGTTGGCCCTATCTTATGCAGCCACTCCTCGATACGCTGGGAAGCGGTCAAACACATGCAACAACAGGATTGGAGCGAAGAGGTGCCTGGTGTGTGTGCGTGCGTGTGTGTGGAGAGATTTGGAGGGGGAATGCATAATGAGTAATCTCGGGTCCTGAGTAAGGTCAGCCCTAACAAATGGGAGGCTTTCCATTTGGAGATCGCGGGCCTAGACCAATATCATCGCCAAGGACGACTCTAGCCTATCCCCTCAAGCATCGGTGGCATCTCCTCCCTCATGTCGTTGGAAATCTAGCTCCATAGTTTGTGGACACTTTACTGCACCATCTTCCTTTGCGCCGAATCCTGTTCGCCGGGTAGGCGGGGCATCACGGGCCGCAAAAAAGGGCCGACCCGCTCTCTGCGTCTTTGCCTCAGCATCTTGCGCCATCTTGTGAAAGTTGAGAGGTGACCGTGAAAGGATAAGGCTGTACTGTCAGTTAAGACGCTAGATTTTGTACTTGATGTTGTTGGTCTTGTTGCACGGAATAATATGTGTAATTTGCTCCATCATACACAATAAACACATTTTCTGTCAGTTACCCCCACCATTCCTCTTATTCGAGATTGAAAGGGAGTGTGGTTGAAGATCAAAGAAGCTGAAGCCGAGCTGACGCCAGCGGCATAAAAATGTCAGGGCCACAGTCGTCTTACAATGCACACGTCGAGCGGTAAAAATGTAAAGCGGTCATGGCAAAAGGCTCCTGCTTAAGCCACCTATTTAACCAGATTTGGCAAAGTGAAACGAGAAAATGTTGAAGGTTTCACCGTAGGCACAGTTCTATGAATGTGATAGAGAAATTTTGATGGTCTTATCAAGAGTACGAGCAACCATTTGATCATACTACGAAATCGTTCAATTCGAGAAAAGTAAACGTTGCATTGATACCTAGGAGAAAAGGATAAGACAGAAAAGTCAAAAGTCTAAGTACAATTTATGTATGCTTTACAAACTCCGTACAATTAGAAAACTCCAATTTCAAACTTGACGCTTTAACAAGTCAAATATCTCATATCTAAGCGGCCTGGACCTTGCCAGCCAGAGCATCAATGGTTGTATCCTGGCTCATCAGCTCGTTCAATGCGACATTAAGACCGAAGCTGGCGGCAAAGAATGTCCTGAGCTGTGATGCAATCATACTGTCCAAACCATAGCTGGCCAGAGCTTTCTTGACACTAATCTGCTCGCGAGCAACGAAGAGAAGCTTAGCCATGGTATCGACAATGGCATCCATGGCAACCTCCACATATCGTTGATCGTTCTTGTCGATGGTACTCAAGACTTCACCCACCGGCACAGACTCGGTACTCTGCTCAGCGTTCTCAGAACTGCTCTGGAGAGCACGAATCATGGCGCTAACGGCAATATTTTGGGACCATGGGACGTCTTCACCAGCATCTGTGTCGGACTCGACAGGAAGTTTTGCCTTGCTAGGATCAAGTCCCAATAGCAAACTGCTAGGCTCTGCCAAGGCCTCAAATTCCTCGGATTCATTGGCCTTGTCGGGAATGCCGTCGACTATCGCTGCTTCCAAGAGTTCTAGTACTTCATCTATTGGTCTTGTTGCCAAGCCAACCTCCGCATTATCACCTTCCTCCTGGACGGGGCCAAGGGCGATGAAGCGGGCGTTGAAGCCTTGGGATCTCCATTGACGTGCAATTGACTCACGCAAAGTGTCAATGAGTGGATTAAGAGTCAAACCAGAATCACCAAGGACAGACTTGATGGAACCAAGCAAAGTGATGAACCGTGGCGGCGGGCCTTCCTTGACAAGTTCGTGAAGACGCCGTAACTGGTAGCTTTGAGACCGGAACGCTTTTTGATATTGAGCGTGATCGAGACCATCCAATGATTCATCCTATCCAAATTAGAATTGATGAGGAAAACGATGCAGTGTATGCTCACCTCTAGATTGGCCGGTCCTTGAATAATTCCTCCAATGGACTTGCGGAATTTGACCTTCAGCAAATCGACATCGTTAGGCTTCGTCATAGAGCTCTCTACAAATGACAAGGAGACACCCAAATCGGCCAGCTGCTTAGAGTAATCATCAATCCCGGACGCATGAGTCGAGACGGTTTGTGGCTGCGAAATAAAGACGAGGTCTTTTGCACCCTTTTCAGCCAACCACATGCCGATTTCTCTGCCCAGATGGGATTCCAGACAGCCAATGAGAATATAGCTCTCATGTGGACTGCATTTGAGTGTCCAAGCATGGGGAAGAGCCTGGTATGTTCATAAGCGAGAAGACATAAAAGTATTGGTTCGTTATACTTACAGTTTCCTGAGCGGATTGATCAATCCGTAATACTGATTTGCCAAACTTGACGGCATCCATCTCTGGGAAGGACTCATCTCGGATCGCGGACATTGGGAGTACTGAAGCCGGACTTGGAAATTGAATAACTCCTTCGCGATAGAGGGACAACGTCTCCGCGAGGAGGCTACAGCAATGTCAATATGGGAAGAATTCCAGCCAATACGGAGAGATATTTACCTGGAGAACACTTTTGGCTTCTTGGACACGATAAGATCCATATCAAGAGAAACCAAGGCCCAGTTCTGGTCTCGCTGACGGTGCCATAGCTGTCGCCCTTGGTCCTTCTCAGCGGCTATGCGGACGACAAACCCGAGCGGCGACACCATTGCGGACAGCTCATCCACATAGCCCTGGGACTCATGTGCAACTATGATATCAAAGCCTTTTTCTTTTGTGAGTTGAAGCGCATCGTTGACAAAAGACCCTTCGTCTGGCTTGAGCACGTTCTCCACGGGTATTTGGAGCTCGCGCGCGACGGCTTCAGAGCTTTGGTTAGGGCCAATAGAAGCGAAAACCTTGTAAACATTGTAAGCACATGAGGACTAAGGTAATATTGAAGATTGGGAAATTCACCTTTGCGCCTTTCAACTTGGCAATTGTGCTCATGGCGAGGGCGATGTCTTCATCGAGTATGTGCAGAAGCAGGTTCTGTAGAGCGTAATTAGAAAGGCACTCTCCATGTCTGTATTAATCAACTTACATCACCGGCGGAAACCTTGGCAATATGCTTGATCAGGTAAAGAGCCGAACAATATGCAATCGGCATAGTGGTAACTTTTTCAAGGATCTCCCCTGGCCGAAGCAGTTTTATTAGGTCTCGAGAGACCCTCATCTTGGACTGCCAGCCACCTCTGGCAAGTGCAAAAACATTGTCACCCTTGTGGAGCCCAAGAATTCTTGATCCGACACGAGTCACGGTGCCTGTACATTCTCCAGTGAGGGAGAAGCCGGGAACTCCGTCTGCAGATCCAGAGTGTTTAAGTGCAACCGTCTTGAGGTCAAACTCAATCTCTTCGGGTTCGAGTGGCTTCGAAGTGTCGATTCTGTTTGTGAGGATCTCAGCAATGTCATCCGCATATCGAGCCTTCGCAGTAGACTTAATAGCCGGCGGAGCAGTGGGCAGAATACGCTTGATCTGAATCAAGCCATCCAAATAGGTTAATTCCGTCTCCGTTTCGGCCGGTGCTGAAAGTCCTTCGGAGAGTATCAATTTTGCTAATTGACTTTCTTCACCTCCTTTAATGTCAAGCCTCAAAACGACAAATGGGAGTGTCGGATTCTGTGCCTTGATGGCTTGCGCAAAACCAGTAACGAGAACAGATTTCGGAGAATCCTCTGGCTGGAAGCCCGATGGTGTAACCCAGACGATAGATTTCGCATTATCGGACAGCTTTTTCAAGTTGGTGAATTCAGTCTCATTCATGTCTGGGAAGAGAGGTCGCTCTAATTCGGCAAGCATTATGACTTGGCCAGACACGTCTCCAAGTTCGGATAGAGATACGACGTTAATAGAAATGCTCTGTTCTTTAGCAAGGTTTTCAACTTCCGATGCAAGCGCAACTGTCTGATCGCGGTATACCTAAAGACACAATGTTAGCTTCTCAAGCGGACTTCTTCAGAGCAGCATCCTTACTAGTGTCAAAGCTTCGTCCGCCTTGTCCTTGGACACGGAATTCACTGGCTCCGGCTCAATAGCTGTAGAGACCATGACATTCATGAACTGGCTTGGCTGAATGTAGTCGTCCAGCTCAATTGCTGGCCTGGTGAAACCGGTTTCTTTAAGGATAGTTTCCCATTTAGCCACCGTCATGAAAGGAGAGTTGGGTCTTCCATCAGTGTGACCCTTCCAGTAATCTTGGAACCCTCCCAAAACAATCGCCAGCCAGATTGGTTCAATGGTTGTCTCAACAAGGACTAACTTTCCGCCTGGCTTCAGAAGCGATCTTACGTGGGTAAGCGTTTCCTTCATTACAGTTGTGGCATGGAGAACCTAATACACATTAGTCAAGTTGTTCAGGCCAATCGAGGTAGTCCCCTTACATTCGCTGCAATGATAACGTCCATTGAGCCCTTCTCAAAGCCCTGATCGCTAACGTCGCGCTCGATATCGATGGTGGCGTATTTCATGCCGCCATACTCCTTAAATTCTTCTCGAGCTCCACTCAAGAAAAAACTTGAGACATCAGTAAAAGTGTAGCTCCCATAGCGCCTGACTGGATCTTTTCCATTCAAGACAGCTAATATCTCTCGTGTCGCACCACCAGTGCCACCTCCAATTTCCAGGTAATTTGCAGCCGGGGACTTGTGGCCTATCAAATCGATTACCCGTCGCAACTGGACCATAGATCCGCTTGCCGTAGCAGAGTTAGTATATAGCTTGGGCAGAAGCTCTCCTTCCATCAAGACTTCGTGTGCCGACGCTTCATTGTTGAAAATTCTCTCCATATTCTGGTACATCCGGTGCATCAGCTGAGCCTCAACCGCGACAGGTCCAACTTCAGTACAAATCTTGTCAATCAGAGTATCGCGACTGGAAGGGGAGAGTGCTAGCGCTTCCTTTCCGTAGGCAATTTCTCCGCTTTCTGCTTTCTTGACTGTGGCATGCATCCAATCCCAAAATCGTACAAGACCAATGTCAAGCTCCGAGCGATCAACATTAGGTGCAATCTTCGAGACAAACTGAACCAAAATCGCGATGGATGCTTGATCAATCTTTTCGAAGGCCTCAGCGGCCTCGAATGACACGGGAGGAAACATCTCACGCGCGCGCTCTGGGAGAAGCCTGGTGTAGTCTGCCTTCCAGACGGGATGGGTAAACGGAGTAGCACCGGCATTTTCAGCCTGCCTAGAGCTTTTCACAGGCTCAGCCACAACATTACCAATATCCATCACTACTTTGCCAGAACTAGAGATGAGCTGAACACGGGCCTCGAGGTTTCCTGTATCCGTTTGCTTGCCCCAGGCCATTGCCGAACCATCAATATCTTCGATCGCCTCGGAAGACACAGGAATTGACAGTCTCGATAAAGTTATAGGCCGAACCAAGTTATGGGCATTACGAGGCTCGCCTCGTTTTGCTGCAATTAAGCCAAGCTGAATGCATGCATCAATTGCAGTGGGATGAACCTCATAAGAGGATTCGCCGATAGGCCGACCTGTGCTTGGGAGGAGTGCAATTTGTGCACCTGCCTTGTTCCCCACAGGGTTGGTGCGCAAAAAGCTCATTGCCTGAAAAGCGGGCCCATATTCTAGACCGAGGCTCGCGAATCTTGAATACCAGGCGTCTGCTGAAACCGGCTTCGGCGTCTCAGCCATATTAACCTGAGATTTTGTGCCTTGAACGCATTAGTGATGGGCATGCAATCGTAGGGACGATGTGACGTACTGATATTTTGACTCTGAATGCTGACAAGACCAGAGCAGTGTACTGTGGTGCGGCCGTCCGCGATAGAAACAATCTCAAATGCCTGAGAGAATCTTGATTGACTAGAACCTTGCTCATGAAGACTTATGACGAGCTCAGTGTCGGAAGCCGACACACCTAGGAGAACAGGGTCCTCAAATGTGACAGCCGGAAAGTGATATCCTGAGATACGTTCGTTGCCTTCTTTCTCAGAAAACATTTGCTTCACGGCTTCCATCGCCATAACAAGGAAGCATGCAGGAGAAAGCGTTGTGGTTCCTCGAACCTGGCATTGAATCAGCCCAAGATTAGTCTTTAAAATGAAATCTTTCTTGCTCACCTTGCAATCCTCAAGCCATGGAACATCTTGGACAGTAATAATATTTCTCCAGCTTGGGCTACGCGGGGAGCAGCCCGGGATTCTTGAGCCGAGAAGGTCATGCCGTAGAAATTTGCGTTCCTTCACCTCACGATGAATTCTGTTCTCATGCCAGAAAATATCTTTATACTGGTATCGATAGGTTGGCAGGTCGGGAATAACATGTCCCTTCCTCTGAGAACCGGTTTTCTGGTCTCGAACGGCGTTGATCTCATCAAAATTGATGTCGACGCAGCGAGTGAATAGAGTTCCAGCAAGAGAGAGAGCGCATGTTACCGCATCCTTTCCACGTGTCAGGACAGAGCTATAACCTGGAAATTTCTTGCCCTTTGACTTCAGCAGCGACTCCAGTTGCCGAATGGGACCAGCAAGAGCTGAATGAGGGCCAACTTCAACAAGCATGTCCACAGGAACGTCAGGAGTTGAGACGAGATCTTCCAGTGCGGTCGTGAATAGCACTGGATTCTCAAGATTCTCTCTCCAGTATGCTGCGTCAAGACCATCTCCCTGGAAGCGCTTGCCATACACGGAAGAAAAGAATGTCTTCAATGGGCGTTGGAGCCTAACACGGTCATTTGCAATCTGTTTCAGGCCATTAGATGTTGCAGACTCGTAATATTCCGAGACCTCTTTCATGTGGGGAGAATGGTACGCTTTGCCTCCAGTTTGGAGGACCCTTGCAAACACGCCCTCTGCAGAGACATCCTTGGTTATCTGGTCTATCGTCTCGGGATCGCCACTTATAGTCACACCCTCGGGAGAGTTGACTGCGGCTACCTTGACTATACCGTCGTAGTTACTCAGACGGGGCTCGATCGCATCTCTGCCAAGACCAATAGCAGCCATTGACCCCTTCTTGGTAATCTTTGTGACTGCCTTTCCTCGATAATATGCAGCGACAATTGCTTCCTCGCCGGTGATGATGCCGGATGCATATGCAGCACCAAGTTCGCCAGAAGAATGGCCCATAGTAGCCACTGGCTCAATATTCCAGGAGGCAAGCAACTCGACCAATCCAATCTGAAGGGCTGTGCAAATTGGCTGAGAGATATCCGCATTATTTACACGACTCGTCTCCTTTGGCTCTTGGAGGAGATCGAGAAATTTCCATGAAGGAGGTTCATCCAGAGACTGGAGAATGTCGTCCAAGGTCTCAATGGTTTGCTTGAATATAGGGAAGCGGAAGATGAGCTCCTTGCCCATTCCAGCCCATTGCGCTCCTTGTCCCGTAAAAATGAAGCCTAGACTGGAAGGCTCCTGGATAACGGTGCTCGCGTGAGTCACGTTGTTTGCTTCAAGGCTTGTAGAGAGACTGTCTTGATCGGAAACGGCAAAAGCTTTATGAAGGAAACGCGACCGACGCGCGCCAAGCGTATACGATAGGTCTGCGATACTATACTCGCTTGCAACATTTCGTAGTGCCTCAATGTTGTTTTCGAGAGAGTCTTTGTCATGGGCAGAGAACGGTAAGAGGTACTCGGGTGGAATCTCTGAGGAAACGGGCTTTTCTCCCGAATCGACAAGGCGCTGTCCGTGCTTGTAATTTGGAATGAAGCTCTCGACGCCTTCAAGAATAACATGCGCATTGGCGCCACCAAACCCGGAGGAAGCTACACTCGCACGGCGAACAGGAATATGCGATGGCCATGCAGTACTTTCAGTGACGATCTTGAACTTATTCGCGTTGAAGTCGACTGGCTTCGATTAGCGCCAAGCTTCAGACAAAGACAAATATGGAACTCACTTCGAGGATTAAGATTCGTCACACCCGTTGTAGGTGGAATAATGTTTTTCTCGATGGCAAGGACGGCTTTCATGAGTCCTGCAAGACCGCTTGTTGGCTCAGAATGCCCGACATTCGTTTTTACCTAGATATATTAGAATTGTTCAAAGGCCAAAGGTGGGGCGGAACTAACTGATCCGATGAGAAGAGGTTTGTCGAGAGTCCTTCCTTTTGAAAACACCCGTGAGATAGCGGATAGCTCAAGCGGATCTCCGACTGGTGTTCCAGTGCCATGGCATTCGTAGTAGCCAGTCATGTCCGGATCAAGCGTGCCAGCACGCGCATAAGCGTACCGCATAGCGGCTTCTTGGGCTGCTGCGGACGGATGAGTTATTCCGCTATTTTTCCCGTTGCTAACCATCCGTGTTAGCCCGTATCCAAGTGTCGGACAGGCAAAGAGGGGAATATCATTACGTACGCATTTACAGCCGTAGCTCTAATGACGGATCGGATTGGATCCCTGTCTCTGACAGCGTCTGAGAGCCTCTTCAGATAGAAAACGCCAAAACCATCGGCACGGCCATAGCCATCGCCGCTAGCGTCAAATGTGTGGCACTGAGAAGTGGGTGAGAGGGCGCCTAGTTTGTCCAAAAATATCTGCATATCTGGTGACAAGATCAAGTTCGAGGACCCAACCAACGCCGCTGAGGACTCGCCGGATTGCAAAGATAAACATGCCAAATGTAGTGCGTAGAGAGAAGCAGAACAAGCAGTGTCGACAGTCATACTAGCGAAAAGTCTCAGCGAAATCTCAGAGAAAAGAAGGATGCTTGATAGCTCACCTCGGACCTGTCAGGTTAAATACATAACTGACGCGGTTCGACAAGAAGGGAGCAATTGCACTGGTGGCGGTATAGGGTTTCGTGTATTCGGAGTCCCTGACCTCGCCAAATAGGTGATCATGATTGAAATTTCCCATGAAACAACCAGTGTTAGTGCCAGAGATTGACTCCAGAGTTGCACCAGCCGATTCCAAGGCTTCATAAACAACTTCAAGGATTTTTCTTTGGGCGGGGTCGAGGGTCATTGCCTCAACCGAATTGATTCCGAAAAAGGCAGGGTCAAAAAGCTTTGGGTCATCCTGAATGAAGTAACCGCCTTTTGTTGTCAAACTTCCAGGCCGGCTACGGTTCGGATGGTAGTAAGCGTCGATGTTGAATCGATTCGCTGGAAAGTCACTATGTGCAGATCGCTTTTCCATCATCAATTCCCAAAATTTGGAAGGATTGACGGCGGTCCCAGGCCAACGACATCCTGAAAACCGGAATCTAGAGTTATTGTCGATTCTCATATTGGGAATGGTAAAGAGATTGCAAACACTTACCCATGCCAACAATTGCAATAGGCTCCGCAATGGGGACTCTTGGGGTCTCCATACTAGCCACGCCGGCCAATGCCGCATTGCTATCAAATTCTTCCGGCTCCATGGTTGACAGCAGTTGTCGACCTAGGCTGCTGGTAAGAATGGAGAAGGAATAATTGAGACTGCGGGTGGCTCAGGTATTTTATCTAAAGGGCGAAGGTACCACTCGGCCCAAGCCGGCTTCGTGGGACAGGAGTATGGGCTGTTATCCAAAGCGCGTCATGATTCCTTGTTTTCAATTTTTTTTATAGTGTATCCTGAGCGTCACGTAGCGGCATAATGCCGTAAAGGAACATTGCCATAAGTGGCAAACGCTGGTCCATGATTCGCTATGTAAGTGTACAGCAAAAAGCAGAGCGGTCGTCCAAGCATTGCATCAACCGATATCATTTCAGACTCAGGAGCCAGGTAAAACTAAGCTGGGGTCAGTCAGATTCAGCTCCGGAAGCAAATTCCACCATAATGAGTTAGGAGTAACTAGCACTTACTCCGGCCGTATAGGGTTCCCCCACAAAAGTGAATGTGGGGACAAGGGAGGGTACGCGTATGAGTGGTGTGCGGGTGTGGTCCGCATCGTGTTACATTTCAATTTCGTAGGCATATTTGTTGTATCAGCCTTATTACTCGGATCTCTTATTGTGGTTCACCACGCTGAATAGATGCTTGAGATATGCTGGAGTACAATTTAGCCGATGAAAAGCGGCCGGGGTGCCATCTCCCGCCACAAGGGGGGACCGGACCGCATCCGGCTGCCGTTTTTAGGGCCGTTCACTCGCTAAGTCCCCAGTTAAACCCCTGCGCCAAGCACAGGCCCTTATTTCCATAATCCAGTTACGAACAGCAATGCTCTCACTCATGCCATTCCCAATGCCCTTTTCCTGATGATAGTATACTAGCATCATTTCTCGGACAGGCGTGTCACTATCTGTAATTTCACTTTTGCACCATCGTACATATACAATGGCAATACTGCAATGCATTAACCAGCGGAGCCGGAACGCCCCCCAGGGTTCGTGTCCGCATGGGAAATGGGAAATGGCAAATGGCAAATAGTATCTTGTCCAATAGACTCACTCGGATCTCGAAGGCTCCTTTCGTACATGGGTGGTGCTACTCTGAATGATCTTAGTATGGACGGATGCTAAAGTCTGTCAACCTCTTTGGCGCTGACAGGCTTGCTGTTAGGGTTTGTGGCGCTCACTCGGTGCCTAGGATAAGGCCCTACTGAAGGTTGACTACGAAGAACTACGTTTGATGTGGGGCATCACAGTCAAGGAGCGGGTCGAGCCATATCACCTCCCCGCATCTCTCACACATTGAACACACGTCTTTACTGACGGCCGTTGCCATATGTCCTGGGAGACGAGTGATACTGGTTAGCTTTTGCAAGACCTCGGTCACTCAGTGGAGCGATGACGCCCATTACTCTCCGCCAATATCGCTGGTGCCAAGAAAGGCATAGGCTGATGTTCCTTCTGTGATTTAAAATAGATGATATCATCAATTTTTATGTTCTGATATCCCCTTCAGGAGATTGCCACTCGTTCGTCAGCCCTTTATGAGGATGAAGCCGCAACCTTAGACTGCCATCTGGAAGTTGAAGACTCTTCTCAGCAATCAGTAACCATGCTGGGGGCACGCCTGAATTTGGCCGTCCTTGCTCTGTGCGGGATCTTTAGCCAAGGTATTGCAGTGAACCGTTTCGGAGGCAATGTTGCGACACCTAATAATATTGCGGCCGATGTCAAGTCTGTCCTGGGCCCAAAGCTCTCCCAAAATGCTACGATAGCATTGCCCGGTGAGCCGCTCTTCGACGAGCTTATTACCCGTTACAGTGACTATGACCGGCCGACCTTTAGTGTATCGATTGCAGTCGCTACAAAGGAAGATGTTCAAGCAGCTGTATGTGTTTCCCCGACAGACGTGCTGAAGAGCTTTTGCAGAATAACATCATTCAGGTTGCATACGCCCGCTCGAAGGACATGCCATTTCTTGTCCAGTCAGGTGGGCATGGATTGACTACTTCGACCCAGACCGTCCAAAATGGGATGCAAATTAGTATGAGGAGATTAAACTACACCATTTTTGATCCGGAAACCGAGATCATGAGAGTTGGAGGCGGCGCCGTCACAGGGGAACTCGCAAACGCATCCTATGCTTTGGGATATGAAGTTAGTAAGTAATTATTTTCTCAATCTTTGGGAGAAACCATATCAGCACAGGAGCTGATTAGAGGGGAATAGCTGTCGGCTCCTGCCCTTGCACCGGGGTCATGGGCGTGGGTTTGGGAGCAGGCATTGGACGTCTTCAAGGCATGTATGGCCTTCTGATGGATAACATTGTGGCTATAACAATGATGTTGCCTGACGGTACCATTGAGAGAGTGACCGCCGAAAGCAATCCGGACCTCTGGTGGGCAGTCCGCGGTGCCGGGCATAATTTCGGAATCGCTCTTGAAGCCGAAGTTCAGCTTCATCCCCAGGTGAACGACGGCATGCATTATGTTGCTGATATGGAGTTTCCTATCAGCAAGACTGTGGAAGTCTTCAAGCTATTGAATCTTATATCAGCCAACGAGATTCCTAAACAATTAGCTTTCTTTATTACCGGGCATGCCCCGGGGCCTGGATCCGGTGTGGTGAGTACCGATACGCAGACACTCGCTGGAAATGTGTTAGAGCTGATAGCAATTTGTGATAGCCTGTCATCAATATCGATTTTGTGTGGCACGGTACGAAAGAGTCCGCTCGAGAGCATCTGCAGCCATGGCTTGACCTTAAGCCTCTGTATAAAAAGGAAGAATATGTGAACTGGGCGTCCCTCCCCTGGGTCACCTATGGAGGTCTCAACAATATCCTCTGCAGTCAGCCTGGTGGACAGCGAAACTTCTACGCAGCAAACGCCGCAACGTACGATATCTCCGCCATGGCAAGCCTCTGGAATGACTGGGAAAAAATGAGCATCAAGTACAATGGAACGGCCAAGTTCCTGCTCATGTTCCAGACCTTCGCTCAACAAGCAGTCAAATCTGTCGACCCCGACTCTTCTGCCTTCCCATGGCGCAAGGGCTCTGAACATTTCTTGTGAGTATAATGTTCCTAGAGTTTCGACTTGATATTCCTATAATTTGAAGCTATTTTCGCGCGGAACTCGCATCATGAAGCAAGCGCAGACAAGGAGTACTAACTCAAACCCATCATAGGCTCATTCAAGCCAGCTATACGGACCTTTCTTTACGTGCTGAGCTGGATATCTGGCTGCGTCAATGGCAAACACTCTTTGTTGAGACTAGTGGCTATGGTCGGCTTCAGCAATACGTGAACTATGGACACGGCTACCGTGATCCCATGGAGGCCTTGTACGGGTACGACAGGTGGCGAATTGAAAAGCTATATGGTCTGAAGGAGAAGTACGATCCTGATGGACTTTTCGATTCGTACCAACCCATCCGCACAGACAAAGCATCTCTCCTTGCTGCGGCTCGTCCGCAACTCCACACATATAAGCCGTTTGGCCAAGGTGTCGTTGACCAGGAAGTTTTGCACACCGAGTTGTGAACACAGCAATGTGAGAGTGGATTCCGACGCACTTCTGATACCGCCAACTTGCAAGCTGCTACCATACCATTTTTTCGCCTGGCGAAGGCAAAGAGTAAATATGCATCGAATGGATTCTGAAATATCATGCTCAGGAAAGGAAACGGATGCTAAACGAATAAATGCAAATATAGACTTGGCCGTGTCTTATATTTTTCTTGGTTTCATGGAGCAAAACAGGGCGTTGAATGGGTTTCTTTCTGGATACTTTAGCGCTCCTTACTATGATTTCTCTATTGGTCAGCCACACTCCAGAAAATATAAATATAAGTATGGTTAGATGTGTTGCAAGAAATGTCACTCTCTCTTTACCCTTGAAGCCGATTAACTGCCGCTTCCCATTTTTCTTTAGCCGGATTGACCGTGAGAAAGTTCGTACGCAACAGTATTTACTGAAGTGATGCGTCATGAGGATTCGAAGTGTACTTAGTACCACACAATCGTGTGCTGATACAACGGATCTTGGGTCGGACCGGTTCTAAGTCAGTAGAAAGAGTATCAATACTAATTCAGCTACTCTCCGAACAATACAAAGTCATTACAAGCTTGAAGCATGACAAATAAAGGACACATTACTCAAAGCACTTGATCTCCCATATGTCACGACCATCATGCACCGGCAGCAATAGTCATAGGTTCCCAACATGCGTACGTTCGCGCTTCATCTCGTCTCGCGGCAGATTACGTGGATATCAGCGAGTTCTAAGTAAGCATCTAGTCAGTGAGCAGATGTCTTTTCTTTGATACCCATTGGATTGAGAAAAGACACAAAGGTTCAGCCGCACGACGGTGTAGGATCAAATCCGGAGGATTTGTCGCTTGCGAATGGGTAGATTTTCCAGTAGAAGAATAGGTCCCCAGATTCGATACCTAGACTAGCTTTATTTACTGATTAGAGAGTTGAAAGATATGAATGATGATTTGGGGGCATTAATGTATTCAAAAGCAAAAAAAAAAAAAAAAAAAATAGCAGACAAAATGGAAATATCGATAGCTGGGGATCCTATCGCAGAAAGCCTATGACGCGAGGGAGGGGAGCACCAAGGCCTGGCGTCGAGGCTGTTTAGCCGGATGAAGTAAGAGGCGTCTTTTCGCTGTCGAGAACGTCAGTCTCGTGTTCAGACAGCGCGACGCTGGAATGATTGACATCGTTTCTGCTGCCCCAAGAGGTCTCGAGAGAAGTTAGTTAAGTAAAAGCAAAAGAGGGATAGAGATACATGCCACAGAGAGTGTGAATAAGGCATAGTACTTGATCAATCCATGGAAATATCCGAAGAGGATGGTGATCGGAAAGTACACCAGGTCGAATGGGTATCGAGCGAAATGAGGAACCAATTTGACAGCTTTGCAGGACACGAGCCATACTAAAAACGAGGTCATCAGTCGAACCCGATTCAGGGGAGACACGTTCTCAGAAGCCCGATAAAGCGAATAGATGAGGGCTGGATCGTGGACAAGAGAGCAAGAAGCAGTGGTGACTTGAACAGCGTACGTTGACCAAGGTTGCTTCCTGCTAACGTTGTTAGTAATTTACTTCTCTTACTCTTCAGGGGAAATAAGCTCAACTTACTTCCAAATGTGACGCTCAAGAACAATGCTCTTGTAGTTGCTACGCCAGTTGCTGCGGCACCAACGGAGGCATTGCGAAAGAAACTTGGAATTGGTTTCGAGAGTCGTCTCAATCTCTACCGAAGATTGAAAGCAGATTTTCCAGTTATGAGAAACTAAGAACCGGGTGACGTAGTTGTCGTCATCGGCGTTCAATAGATTTCCGTTCCAGGTTTCGTTGCAGTATCCGTGGAGGAATTCGGCGCTCTGGATGATAGGAGTTCGAATGACGACGGTGCGGCCGGACAGACAAGAAATACCGCCGTCCATGTGCATAGTAGCGGTGTTCTCAAAGTTTCTGCGCTCAATATAGCATGCACCAAGGTATTCCCAGATTCTGCCAACAAAGGAAAGATGTCTGGCCTTCCGGATGCGCTGACTGGTGCCAACAGCTCCAACCTTGGGATCTTCAAAAGGTGCAAGGACATGTGCCATGAGGCTGTCAGGCCATATCACGTCGTCGTCGGCAAGGATAGTGATGCGGGAGCGTATCATTGGAATTGCCTGGCGGAGCTGGAGTCGCTTGTTACGCTGACCAGCGGTAATCACCCGGATCGAGGGATCGATAGAGTGTACCAATTCCTCGACGTGGTCTATGCAGTCGAGAACAGTGACTACAATGATCTCTAATGGAGATGATTTAATGCAATTCAGGATGGTTCGTGTGAATTCGTGCATTTTCCCCCTCTCGCAGATAGTTGGGATGATAACTGTGACATCTTCTGAGGTATTTGAAGGATATCTGGGAAGTGGAATGGCGTTGAAGGTCCAAGATGCAATGCAATTGACAATGAACCGAACATAACGTATCATCCTAAATGAAGGTGAGAATCTCATATCATAATCAAGCTCACAGGAGGCTTTACCAAAGGATGAGAAACACTCCTTGCCATGAATTCATATCGACGTTCTTTAGCAGAGGAATTGTTCTTTGAGTTGGTGACTAGCTTATTGATTGTCAGTGTGGTGTAACATGGATATGGCACTGAGTTCTTACGAGAGATTTAGACTGTCTTTAGATGTTTCAGACACGTCTCCTGTATGATTTGACACTCAGTAGAAGTGAGATGAAGAAGATAAAGAGGAAATGAGACTGGACAATCTTGAAAGAAGAGAAAATGCGTGAAAGGCACGATGCAGCATGAACAATATATAACAATTTTAGCGAACAGGTGCCGAATTTTTGGAGACGAACTATTCACTTGTCTGCTTTTCAAAAACATTTTGGGCCAGAGTTGCTGTTGAGTTTAAAATAAGAATGTCATTACCAGCCGGGTATTCACGAGATCTGTGAAATCTCATGGCAGCTTCAATCTAGAAACATTCTTTTGCTGGCAGCGCAACGAAGCAGCCCACGGAGGAAAATAGAAAATAGTCACTGATTCACATCAATCACTGTATACCAGGATTCCATAACGCGAGATGAAGAAATACATTCCCATTGAGAGGAATGGTCAGTGAGCCACTAGAATGGCATAGAGATGTAGAGTGATTTGAGATGAGAATAAAACTATAGTTTCAAGCTTTTTAAACGTTGAATCGAATGAGATCATATGAGATTCATTGATAGCTTCCCACCGGCGATGACACGTTGGGGGCTGGAGGAATATTGCATATTATCAACACTCTTTCGGACTGCTGGATACACACGCCACAATGACTTTTCGAGCCTTTTTTTAGTTAGTAAGCAGGTAAAGGCTAGTCAGGAAGGCCATGACAATTTATCGATGGCAAGTTGTCTTGTTTTGGATTTCCTTTCCTCGTATGACGAGTTATGCCACCATCCTCGAATCGCATGGTGAAAGCTAGGCAAACGGCGTCCGATGTGAACAACGACCTGTCTCCTATTGGACTTGAAAAGCAATGTATAGAATAATTCGTTTGTCTCATGCGATTGCAACGAATAAAGGGGCCACGAGCGGCAATCAATTGGTTCGTGTCCAATGACGTCGTTGACTTCTCAAGCTCGAAAATCGGACGTCGGCCTCAACGGCCTGCATCTTGCAAACCAAACAATCTCGCTAGGCCAAGAGCAAAAATCCCCCAAATTAAGCGCAGGCGCCAGAAACGCCTGTCGATCAACTGCGGCTAAGCGAAGAGGTATCTCACGAGTTGACGAATGTGAAAGGTCACCCCGATCGGATCTTCAATATCAACGTCAATTCTAAAGGAAACACCAGCATCTTTACGATCGCCAGTTCACGAAAGACTGTCAGAACCATTACTGGCGCCACAAATTTCTTCAGCAGCACAGATTTGTCACAATGGCGACCACGACGTCAGAAATGGACATCGATGCGCCCGCTTCGCCGACGGAGCAGCAGGCCCAGCCCGCGCCCGAGGCCGCTGCCACTCTGACAGCGAGCCGAGCAACTGCAGTCCGAAGTATTGAAGGCTGGATCATTGTGGTTACGAATGTCCACGAAGAGGCGAGCGAAGAGGATTTGCAAGATGTCTTTGGCGAATACGGCGAGATTAAGAACCTCCACATGAACCTGGACCGCCGGACAGGCTATGTTAAGGTCTGCTATCCACTTCCAATCCTCTCTCGACCTGTTCACATATATTGATATCAAACTTCTCTATTTTAGGGCTATATCCTTATCGAATACCCTACTCTAAATGAGGCGCGCGCGGCCATCGATGGTGCGAACGGCACCAAGCTGCTTGATCAGACTATCGGCGTTGACTTCGCTTTTGTTCGACCACCGCCTGGAAAAGGGCAGCAAGGAAAGGGTGCAAGAGGAAGGGGCGGCCGCGCACGAAGTCGGAGTCCAGGCGAGGGAATAGACAGAGATGACGGTCGGAGCGATTAAAAAGCCTGTTCATTAACTGGCGAATTACGATCACTATCACGAAAAAATCATCGTCGCATTGGACTTATGCATTTGGCATCTGACGCTCATCTCACAGAGGGGTATAGCGCACTAAATTATTCGGGTGCCGAGTGCCCTGTCCCTGTCGGCCGGCTAGTTGTTCCTCAGCTGATGGGAGAACTTGCCGGCACACGCATACAAGAATTGATGGTAGGTTTGAATCACAATATCAAGCCCGTCTGGAGTAAATACTAAGTCCGCTGATCTCACGTTAGCTCGTTTTTAGCATGCAGCAGTGACGGAACGTTGGAAATGAGCTGCTTGATATGCCCAGATCCATTTGGGTGTCAAAAGCACCAGAATATTGTCCAGTCTTCCACAACTTTAGCTTGTAATGATATCTCAGTCTAGCAAATTTTACTTCAAAAGCATAACAATGAAACTTTCATTTTATTCTGTTGAATTATTAGGAGGTCAGAATCCCCAGGTCAGAAAGCTAGATACGCTCCATCCATTGGCCATTGTGTACTCGCTGCTCTTCGTGGTACCATGAAGTACGTCATAATTCTTTTCTCCTGTGCAATTGCCCTTGACGCATGAAGCAATGAGACTACCGGCGTTCTTGCCTTCATAGTAAGCGGCCTGAAGGAAACCAAAGTATTCAGGGCTTGTGGCTTCTCCAGCGAAGTAGAGTCTGTCAAGATTTGCACGCAGGTTTTGGTGCATCTCCAGGGTGGTGCCCGGAGGCCAGTTCGAATAGCTTCCGAATGCCCATGGCTCCTTTGACCAACGCGGATACATAAAAGAGGTAGGCACGGGCACATTCTCAGGACCATACATCTCTCGCAGGACCGCCAAAACCTCCTCCTTTGTTTGTTCATCGTCTTGGCTCTCGACGCGATAGGATTGATCTTGGACCACGGTTACGAAAAGAATGCCGGAATCTGGAATAAACCCATCCAAATCGAGTGATTGCCAGACTGGGTAGTATCCGCGTGTAGTAGGGGAAGCGTAAAGCAAGAACTGATAGGAGGTATTCCAAAAGACTTTGTCCGGCGGAAATTGGAGGAAGAGTTTGGTGTACGTCCCCATCGAGAAACTATCAATGGCTTCTTTTTTCCAGTCGGGTAAAGGCGGGTCAAATTCAACAACATCGTTCTGGAGCACTCCGACCCTGATAAAACGTTAGCCAAAATCTTGGCGACTGGTCGCTGAGAGTCCCGTCCTTACGAGAAGGTACAAATAGCATAATCAGCATCTACACAGCTACCATCTTTATTATATATGGTGACTCCCGAGTCACTGTAAGTGATGTCCTTTACAATGGTGTTCAATCGGAGCCGCGAGTCATTTTTTGCGAGAAATTCTGACGCTTCACCTTTGATAAAAGCATTGAATCCTCGCTGATCAACGACAAAATTGTTCGCATCAGACCACTGGTAAAATGTTGTGTTCTGCCAAGAGGTGTGAGCTTTAATTTTCAAACATACAAAGAAAATCTTACATAGTTGACGACGGCAAATTCTTGAGACGATTGCTCCTGTTCATAGCATTAGATTGATGTCTTGATACTGATCGACGATTGAAGCCTACAGGGCTGTACGCATATTCCCAGTCAAATTCCCACCATTCGACTGCCTGTGCTTCCATGTTCTTTTTTGGTTTCCAGCCGGCCAAACTCAAGCCGCTGCGGACGCTGCGATCCTGCAGATTTTCGGTAAGTATGTAACCAGCATCTTGCTCAAATGTCGCATAATAATCTTCAAAATCATCTAGGAGCTGGCTGTAGTCGGCATAGCCCGAGGCATTGAATGTTTGTATTGACGAATAATTGCTGTATGTGTTGCTGATATTCCACTTCTTGGCCTATATCCCCAATTGTATTAGCAAACTATGAGTTCAGGCTTTATGAAAGACATACTAGAGTCCAAATTGGATTTTCAGGGCCGCCTTCAGACCCCAGTCCTTGTACCTAGAATTCGCTCGAGTGTGAGTATGCACACCGAATGGCAGCCCAATGGCGACGCACCCAATTAGCACCTAGCTCGACGACGTATGGTTTCCCATGTTTATCGGCACCAAAAGTCGTGTGAGCGACACGACCGCCAATATCTCCATTGTATTCGAGAATTATAAAGTCGGACACGGATTGATTGGATAAAGCTTGCTGAAGTGATTTTAGCTATAGATCTGGTTATGAATTTGACGAGTGAGCAACCTACAGCGGCAGTGATGCCTGTAAGACCTGCTCCCCTGATTTAGAATTAGATGTTGGAACTTTCGAGGTTGCAAGTTATGATTTACGCACAAAATTGCCACAGATGTCTTCTGACAGGTCTCATTGCGCCGAGCTAATGGGGGACTGGCGGCAGTTCCTAGGCTAGCAGTTGCTAACAGCCCCAAACACGCAACCTTTCCGGACAAAAACATCGTCAACGAATTAATGGCCTTGAAAATGGGACAGGCAAATTGAGTAGAAGACGAAAGCTACCTTTATATTTTTCCATCTTCTGTATTAGAGAGATAAAGACCGGAAGATGGGACAACAACAGCCTGTCGATCAATCTGTGCTTATCGCGTCCTTGCAGCTTACCGGAAGAAACTCCAAGGCATCGCAACAAGGGTCCCCCTGGAAAGGAAGTTGGTGTTGCTTTTTCGCTAACTGAAGAAAGCAGTCCATGCCGGTTCCTGAACAACCAAGAACCGACCCCCGGCCAAGCGCTGCTCCGATAGGAAGTCCCATGCGATCTTCTATCGCGCACCTGAAGGAAAATGGAATGGCGATTTAAAGTAAGAAAAACAAAGGCAACAGTTCTAACACCGCTTTATGCAGCTATTACTATAATGCTGAGACAAAAGCTAAACACATAAGATGAGATCTAAATAAAAGCAGCTGAAAATTGAACGTGATCTCCTTTTTGGAGAGACTCTCCTCTACTGGTTGATCACTTCTAATCTATCCTTCGTCTATGCTAAAGTCTTTTCCTTCAAGTCGTCGCTGCGGAATGAACCATCCCACCAGCGTACTCGATCAGACTTTCTACGCCAACTTTCTTTTATCTTTTACCGACCAGTTTTCTTAAGCTCATACCACCGCATGGGTGGGTAGACGAGAGCCGCCCATGAGAAGCCGACGTAATTGCCAATCTGGAAGAAGGTTAGCTTGATAGTAATAATCATTGCCGTCGCAAGGTAACTTACATCACCACCGTAATCGCCAATGCGAGCCGCAATAGGGCCGATATACCAAACTTGAGCCATGCAGATAATGGCACCGGCCCAGCCGATAAGGAACGCTATCAATGCAGCAATGCCTATTGGTAGCTTCGAAGAGTCATTCCAAGACTCCCAGGAGTAGCCTCTTTTACGGCGGAAGATAAAATGTTCTTCAAACATGATGGCCACCCAAATCGCTACCCAATATCCCATCAACGCAAGGAAGTTGGTAAAGATATCAGAGAGTGAATTTCGTCCTGCAAGGGCGCAGACTGTGTAAATGATGACGCCAATAGTATTCCAGATAACACGTGGAATTTTCTCGGCATAACGGCCAAGAATCTGAAAGTCGACGCCGGAAGAATAGGTCGGGGCAACCAAATTACCAATAAGACCAAGAGCGACGATGACCCCACAAAACTTTCCGAAATCACCCAGAGGGCCAAAGCCAGATACAATGAGTGCTCCTTGGGAGGTATTGTAAGCCGACTGCCAAGATTGGTCAGTCGAAGCACCTGAGCCGAGACCAATGCCCAACAGAAGGGCAAATGAAAAGCTGAAGGTCAATCCAATCATCGACATAAAGAAGACTTTCCAGCGTGGAGTGGTCTCAGGGTAGTATACAAAATAGTCTGCAGCCCCTCCTCCGTAGGTGATTGCAGCACTAAGAGCAAGTGAGAACCAAGAGATTCTATCTAATCGTTAGTAGGCAATCTAGAGACTTCTAGAGGACGGAATGACGCACCGATTTCCAATAATTGTCAAAGAATCCCCCTGAGAAGGCAAAGACGTATCAAATTTGGGGCCAGCGACTCCAGCGAGGATGCAATAAACCATGACCTGGGGAAACCAGGCATATCTATAGGGTCAATTAGATAACTGCATCAACAATAGCCAGAGATTGAGGGCAAAGGATACCTCTCATAATAGTGAAAAACCTCGTATCCAAAAGTAGTAATAACCCATGTTATTACTGCTACAATAATGATGCCTGACAACTGTTAGAACGACAGAGAAATTTCGCAGAATAAGTAGCTCTACGTACCGACGACAACGGGAAGACTTCCGTTTGGAGAAACGGCCGAGAGAATCTGGCCCGCAACGACGCAATCAATGAGGGAATATCCCAGAGAAACGATTAGATTCAGGATAACAATCAGCTTGCTAGGCCACCAGCCCATTGCGTAGCGAGCAAAGATCTAAATTCTTGGTGAGCGGAATTGGATCTGATTTATCTCTTGTGGATTCATACCATTGTCCGGTTTCCAGATATAGGACCAAAAGTGGCAATGTAGGCCACCGGCAGACTGCCAACGATGGCTCCAAAAACCGCACACATTGCCGAGTCAAGGAAGCTCAGTGTGAAGGTTTGCGAGGCGAGCATTCCAAGGGTGATATTATTAGCAGCAAGATTAATCGAGATCCAAAATAGGATGATCTGCATGTATCCTAATGACGAGGTCCCATGTCTTTCATGGTCCTCTACTCGCTGGATGCCTCGAGCCTCTAGGTTGTAGAGCACCAATTGTTTCTCAAACTGTTGAGTATACCAATGAAAGCGCTCTGCAAATCGTGGAGAGGATGCCGGCTCCTCAGAAGAACCGGTCGCTGTGACATCATTTTTGACATCTTTGGAGATGGACGGCCCATCCCCTACATCGATAGGATCATGAGGAGCCGTGCCCTTCTCTATGTCGGCTTGGGTATGGGGAATGGTCGCCATTTCGACCCTAGAATTTCGTCAGTTTGAAAGAGCTCCTTCTGGAAAAAAATTAAGAAGCATGATCCTTTCGCTGGAATTATCCAGATCAAGTTCAACCGTATGATCTCAGAACAGGAGGGGGCACAAGGAGAACCCAAGCAGACACTGAGTGTTGCCACCATGAGGGTGGATGGGTCACCTTGGCAGCCTCCTGAACACCGGTTTCATGCAGGTTGGTTTTTGAGGTACCTTGATCAATCGATATTCCGATGCTACTTAATGTCATGATTCCTGAGGGCAGACGGAAGACCTTACGACTTTTCTATGAATGGTCTTGATTAGTAGGGATTTTCTCAAAAAAAAAAATACGAAGTTGGTGTTACACGACTGAAAGCTCGTAGCACAGATGACATACCTTTCGATACAGATCAATTGAGCGACCTGAAGCTGTTTGCAAAATCTGCACGCAGGAAATTTTTGCGGAGACGAAGTGGGAGATATAAGAATTGAGGGCGAGGGCAGAAAAGGTTAAGTTACTTAGCGGGATATATTCCCGCCAAAAAATGAAATTACCTTATCGTGGTGGTCTCATTCCGCGGCACCATCTCATGCGAGGAAGATCTTATCATTTTGACGTCGTCGGGAGGAGCAGGCGGTCAGCCCCGAAAATCGGCAGAAAACTGTGCTCGCTTAATCTTCTCCTCAGGCCACCACCCAGGGAGCGAGGGGAGCCACGTGCTGCTTCCCGGCCCCTTTCTCGCAATTCGCCAGGTTGGCTACAGGATTCCGCTGCGTGATGCTTCTTATGGTTGTTTGTTCTTCTAGTCGTGTTTGACCGCGTTTGGCTCAACCGCGACATTTGTTGTAGTCTTTTCATGTTATTGCTTACTTTCCTTGAACGCATTTTACTCCTTGTGGGTGCCCTTGTCCTCATTGGACAAGCATATCTGAATTTCTATCCCTCTTTACGGCGCTGCGCCTTTGCGCGTCCAGATGCGGGAGCACCCAGGCATGCTGAGCATAAAGCCACGAGCATTAACGTGGCCAACCATAGTCTCGCTCCTTTTCGTTTGCTAGCATTAGGGGATCCACAACTTGAGGGAGATTCTTCACTCCCAAATCCCAAAGAATCATTGCTTCAATCACTTGTGGATGTCTGGACGAATCGTGTGAATTATGACTCACCGTTTGGGTTCGCGCGTGATTTTCGTCAAGCCTTTTACGTTTTATTGACCGAAGACCTGCCCCAGCTTTTCAAGTACTATCGAAAACGCTTGGATCTTCTCGGAAATGATTATTACCTTGGCCAAATATACAAGACCATCCGACGAACGACGCAACCGACGCATATCACCATCCTGGGTGACTTGCTAGGAAGTCAATGGATCTCCGATGAAGAATTTGGAAGGCGCAGTAACCGATTCTGGGCGACCGTCTTCGCGGATGCGCTAAGGGTGGAAGATCATTTAATGATCGAACCCAGCACACAAAATCTCGGAGAAGACCTCAATTGGAGTCGGAGACTCATCAACGTAGCTGGTAACCACGATGTTGGGTATGCCGGTGATATGACCGAGGAAAGAGTCCAAAGATTCGAGTCTCACTTCGGGAAGGCGAATTGGGAAGTACGATTCCAGCTACCGTCTGAACAACTAAAAGATGCGCACGACAAGATTCAGAGCGTTCCTGAACTGAGACTCATTGTCCTCAACTCTATGAACATGGACTCTCCCGCCTTTGATGCCAGCTTGCAACAGCAAACATATGACTTTCTAAACAAAGCTATCACAACGTCTCGTCCAGTGGAGGATAGAAGCTCAGCCACAATTCTCCTCACACATCTTCCTTTGTATAAGGAAGCTGGCGTGTGCGTAGACGGCCCAATGTTTAATTTCTGGGGTAGCGAATATGGCGGCGGAGTGCGAGAACAGAACCATTTGAGCTATGAGGCGGGAAAAGGCATCCTCGAAGGTCTCTATGGGATGAGTGGTAATGCCAATGCTCCTGGGCATGGTATGGGCCGTAATGGTGTCATTCTTAATGGACATGACCACGAGGGCTGTGATACATATCATTATATATCGGCTCACACCAACGGCAATGGAGGCGAATGGAAGGCAATGAGGTCTAATGAAGCTTCCAGTATAGCCAGCGACAATCATGTTCCGGGTGTTCGAGAGATCACTGTTCGAAGCATGATGGGCGACTATGGCGGAAACGCCGGCCTATTGAGTGGCTGGTTTGACACGGATATTGGAGAATGGCGATTTGAGTATAAGACGTGCCCTCTTGGAAAGCAGCACATTTGGTGGGCCGTGCAAGTGCTTCAGTTAATCGGTCTTCTACTTTGTTTCTGCATTCTCATACTGCTCGTCTCCAAAAGAGCTAGACGGCAATCGGTGCAGGTCACTGATGGCAAGAAGGCAGGTCCGCCTGCCCGAAAAATTCCTACTCGTAATGGGTTTTCTACAGGACTCGACGCCTCTGTTGGTCGCCGGGCCAATGGTAGAGTGCCTAAACCTGTAAACAGACAGGCTATGTCTTAATGTTTCTGCCAATGCGCCAGAATCATTCAATCTAATATATCCGCCATGTGTAACTGACATGGAATCTGCATCTGGGAAGCTTTTGGACATGGGTATGACAGCATATGTACTGCATTTCTGTAGAATATTTCCAGACAATTTTCTGAGACCACGCTCTTGTATAAGGTACTTGATGTACTATCTAGCGTTCAAAGAATTGAAAAACGAAGAGAGGGGCATTCTACCTCGGCATTCCCTGTAGTTTTTCTTGACGAGCATGATAGACAAAGCTCCAGAGTTATAATGAGGTGATGTCAGATGAATCAGCGAGGCGCCAGTAACGAAGGGACGAACAGACGAGGCTGCTCAAGCGCGACTTAAGCCCATAGCAAGGACAAGTCATGCCTTGTTCTCGAAGCATCTTCCTTTCATTGACTGAGACACCAACGCTAGATTTGACGTCGGTCATATGCCCGTCTGTCGTTGCGCTTGGGCGGTCACGCGACTTGAAGCGCACGTCAAATGTAAATGGCTTTTGTTTGCCACCAAAAATGTTGCAACAACAGTCTATACAAGCCCTAATTAATGGGCTGAATCCCTGCTTCGACGCGCTTGGATGATCACGACGGACGAGTATGAAGTCTCTTGATTATTCCGAATTATGATTCGTGCCGCTAGGATCATCAAACTCGCTGGTTTATTCGGAGCACACCAACCCATTATTGCCACGCTTCGCGATTATTTTCTTGATGGTTGCTTGGAAGACAAATTAGTGCCATCTTTTTACTACGTAGGAGTCCGCCTCAGATTGTATAGGCGGGAGCTGGCGCCATCTATACACTATCAAGCGAACCGTCCGTAGCGCTACCCTGCGACATCAAGCCATCCATGGGAACCTGAGAGCATTACTCCGATCTCCGAGAAAGACTTCACCAGCGCAAGAGCTTGAAGAATGTGTCTGCGCAGGTACTTTGTTGAGATCAGCCAATGACGGAAACCCACCCTGATCGCTGGGCCACGAGCGGCTCAGTTGATGAAGAAGATGAAAGCCCTCAGAGCGTACGAAGTGTGCCGTCCAAGGAACCCTATCGTTTCTTTCAATTTTGCAAAGATGTCAGTAGTCAACCATGAGTTTTCTTATTACTCGCGGATGTCTTGAGAAGATGACTTCCCATACCCAAACACTATATATATACATGACCTCGCATGTCTTGAGAAATTGTGTTACAACTTACAATGTTTTTTTTTGGGGGTGGATGGATGTGGAATTGGGGGAGAATGATGTACGGGAAGAGTCTAATGCGGCATGATTCCAGTTCGTCCTTGTCGGTCTTGTTAAATTCTCTATTCAAATCCATCCTGCTGGGGGAACAGCGCAGACACCAAGCCCAGCATATCACACACCAAAGGTCACATCCATCAAAGCAAAGGTGTATCTGCCTCCCTCCTTCTCGTTATATCCAGGTGGGCACGTTGAAAGAGGCGGCGGGGCGCAAGCGCCCTCAAAGGAAGAAAGAGTGGCAAAAATACGGTACCATGGATGGGAAGGCCTTTTTAGTCTAAACGTAGAGATAACCATCTTTGGACAACGAGAAACAGCTGGATATTTAAGGGAGGGGCTCGATGGGCAGACCGTAAGTGCAGACTCAGCACCGAATCCTCGAAAGGTCGTCATAAAACGAAAGGGAATCGGAAGAACATACGCGGTTCATTTTGACGGCTATGAAGCTCGGATTGGCGGCGATACACTTTTCTGGAAGGGAACGAAATCGGAGCTAGCTCTTATTCAAGATCGAACTCATTCCAACAACGGTAATCTGAAATTGATCTCCCCTAATCGGCCAGAAAAGGTCCTCGCCGTGTATCAAAACCGATCCGACCCAACCATCTTGGGTACTCTTAGCGTTTTGGAAGAATTCGAGGAAGGCGCGGGTGGTCTCCTGGAGGAGATAATTACGACCTGCTTGGCAATCGTTGTGGCCGAACGCTTGTCGCGTCGAAGTACTATTGGGGGTTTCTGGAAGCCAAGGGGTAGAGAGGAGTAGAAAGCAAAGGGGCCTCGGAGAGGCGATTGGGGCGCATAGGTAAAGAACATTTGGATATGAGCTCTTCATGGCGGTTGCTTTGGGCATTGAATGGTGGGCAAAAGTCTATGTGCGTTATTCATTTCCAAGATAAGAGATAACTGAAGGAATGTGACTGCTAATGATATTCGACTGTGGTGCATTTTTGCCTCATAAAGGGTATAAACTCTCTTCAGTGCATTGGGTATAATTCGGAAACAAAGTTGACCGCCCACAGGATAACTAGGGATTATAGTTTGTCAGTTTTGGAAAGTGATAGTCTTTGTCTTCAAAAATTCGTTCAAACCCCAGTCGGCATTGAATCGGCCGTAGCCGCTACTCTTAATGCCACCATGGGGAAGACTAGGCTCGTCATGGAAAGTCATTGCATTGATATGCACAGCTCTGGGTCAAGTTAGTAGCCATAATTTCTCCACCTAGACGTGGCCATCTTTCGACCCAGCCAGGACACAACTTTGTTACTTACCCGCTCTCTATCTGCTTAGCAACGCGCAAACCAGTCGCTAGATCCTCGGTGAAGACAGCGGCACTCAAGCCATATTCTGTGTCATTCGCAATGGCGACAGCCTCAGCTTCATCCTTGGCCGCAATTACACTGACAGTTGGGCCGAATGACTCGATATAGAAGATGTCCATTTGATTGGTGACATTCTGGAGCACTAAAGGTCGCATCTGAGCAGATGAAGTCTCAATTTCCTCTATTTTTCCAAATAAGAGGTTGGCACCTTGGTCGAGCGCTGAGTCAACAAGCTGGCGCACCTTGTTTACTGCTGCGCTATTGACAAGGACTTGAGGAGGCTGGTCGTGAGGAAACATCTCATTTAAAGCCGCCTTTAAATGGTCACCAAATTCTTTCTCAATTGAAGCTTCAACAATAATGCGTTCGGTACACATGCATGTTTGACCGCTCTAGGTGACGTGTCAGAGTGAGACAGAGGTTACTTTGGCGACGGCAAAATAGAGGGTGGTTGGAAGACGTACATTCAGGAAAGAACCCAGAACACATTCTTTCGCGGCTTTCTTGAGGTCGGCACTCTTCAAGACAATTGCGCTCGCCTTGCCTCCAAGCTCGAGTAAAACAGGCTTCAAAGACTTTCCAGCCATCTCCGCAATAATTCTACCCACTGCTGTGCTGCCTGTAAAATTGACCTTTTTTACAAAAGGATGTTTAATTAAAACTTCGGTAATAGCCGCGGCGTCCTGAGGCCGGTGATACAAGACATTCAAGCATCCTTTGGGAAGGCCGGCATCTGCGAAGACTTTTCCAATTGCCCAAAAACATCGCGGTGTGTTTTCAGAGCCCTTGAGGACGACTGTGTTTCCCGCTGCAAGGGCAAAAACTGCAGCTCTGAATCCAAGAATGTATGGAGCGTTCCTACAATTCTGACTTGAGCACAATGATTGGCAGGAGGGAATGCGAAGAAGCATGTCAAACTTACCATGGCGCGATCCCGAGGACAACGCCATAGGGTTCTCGCGAGACCAAAGCCGTCGTGCTTTCATCCAGAGTGGACGGCAGGCTTCCCTGTATGGCCGCAATTCGGCCGGCTACATCGCGTATGATTTCCGCGCTTACCCCAATGTTTATTTTTTCAGAGAAAAATTTTGTGGCGCCGACCTCATCTTGCATATACTTGGCGAGTTCATCTGCTCTCGATTCCAGAATTGCAGCCGCACGCAACACTATGTCACGCCGCTTGACCGCACGTGTACGCGCCCAATCTGGGAAAGCAGCCTGAGCAGCTTCGACAGCTTTAACAGCCTCGACTTCCCCAGCACTGCAGCTATACGATACTAGCTTTTGGGTAGAAGGATTTTTTACCTCAAAAGTTGTCTTGGTGCTTATTTCTTGACCGTTTATCAACAAGGGAACGGCGTTTACCGAGGAGCTGATCCGATCGATCATATTGATGTTGCTTCGTATTTTCACAACGAAGGAAAAAGTTAATGTAATCAGTGGCTGGGCAATACCCGTTTCCGAGTCAAAATATTAGTTCAATTCAAGTACGACCGGAAGTGATCGTTGCCTGGTGGACTCTTGGAGAGTTGTGGCGGACGGTAGCGTAATCCAACGCTTGGAGAAGATGTACAAATCGGTCGTGCCATGGCATAGCTAACACTTGCAGAGACCTCCGGGTGGCACCAATTACCCCTCTGTGAGCGACGTTGGAAAAGCGGAGTCATTGTTTTGGTTTACTATAGCGCGAGAAACTAAAGGTCTAAGCTAGGTCATTCACTTATCCCTTACTCCGTAAGTCCTGGCGAAGATAGAGCGAAAGGTATCTCTCTCATCGTAAAACGCACTGCACTCGGTTTAAACAATTTTTCGGAGTCTTACAAACCTTATGAGAAGATTTTCAGGGTTTAGATTTGAATTTCAACTGCTAACGAAATGTGTATCATATCTTCATTCAGCCACAGATTATCGTCAACACGAGGTGATTCTGCTATGGGGTTACGTTGTAATGGAACGGCGTTCTCCGCATTTGGTTGAAACGCGACGTTAATAATAATCTTGCTAGAAGAGGGCAAACAACAAGCAGCTCCACCAGTGGAAAACGAAGCGAATTGTGGGGGAAAGTTCTCTGCCAGCCGAGGTACTGTGGAACTGTACGTCCTGACGTTCGACTCGGCGACTCTGCAAGGAAGTCGTCACTTGGCAATTGTAGTCCTGAAACAGTGCAAGCAAGACCCATGGTAACTCTATAGTCATTCTCTATAACTTATGAGTTGTTCTAGCCCATTTTTCAGCCATGTTGTTTTCTGAGCCAACGATGCGGTGAACTGTTTTACTAATCTTATTCATAATCATACCATTATGCACGTGAAGAGGGAGTTTTATGTCGTTACCGCTCTTACAGCAGCGCATCCCTGTCTTGAGGTGTCAAACAACTACATTTAAGATCTAAGGGTAAAGGCCGATGGCAGTTTCTCGTACTGTTTTAGGAAGGTCTGTCAAGATCCGGTTCGCTTCGGACCAGAAGAGCTGGCATTGCATACGGAACTCCGTCGTTTCATAACTGACAGGGAAATGTGCTCATCTGCGCTCCCAGCTAGAAGTAATCCCTGCTTTTGCTTATGCCGGGGGGAATATTTGTTTCCAAGGCAGCGATGGCCCCGTATAGTATCCTCGCTGACCACATGGCTTTGCAAAGACTGATCGACAGAGATCTTGTGTTCGACGCAGCAGGGATAATAACATTCACGATGATCTGTGCATTTGGGAGCGGTCATATGTTGAAAAGTATTCCAAAACTGGAAAAGGAAATGGAATATCAAAAAGAAATCATGGCGATGGATCAAAAGGGCAAGTATGGCAGTGTTGTCGCGACATAAGAGAGCAAGTTTTTGAACTGCAGTTCGGACCACTTAAGCCATGCAAGGTTGCGTGTGACCGTGGAAACTCAATTGCCCGACTTCAAATGACTGATCCTTTTCAAAGTCTTCATTACTCATTCGAACCATGACGCATGCAAATGAGTTGGTAGATTTTTGGCATTGCAGCGACATGAATCTAAGCGACAGAAATTTCTTATTGGGCAGCTGACTGAGGGGCGTTTTGAAGCTTGGGCGGAGCAGGGAAAGAACAAGGTTGGTGACCAGTAAGGATCATCAAAGCCGACTATTGCCGGCGTCGCCGCCCCAGCTCACGAGGATGATCCGGGAGCAAAAGAGATTGTCATCAAAACTGTAGGTGATGCCGGTAGAAGCAATAGAAGACGGGGCTTGCATGATCTGGTGGTATAGCCGTCTCAAGATTCGATTGGGCGCAGGCAGAATGTCACCCTAAGGGTTCCATCCCATGAACAAAACAATACCCCGGCGCGCACATCCCCACCCAATCCCTCAGCCTTGGAAGGACAAAAGGCGGGGAAGTCTAAATGGTTTGGGATCGCTGATCCTCTCCCAAGGGCGAGTAGTTTCTGCATCTTTCTGTTTACTCTAACGTCCTTAGATCCACACTCTATTGGGCGTCGCGAAAGGTCCTGGGCTTGGCCGACCAACTCACCAAGGACGTATTCAGGTTAGCTAGGCTCCGAACTGATTAGAACAGTGAGCCCGGGCGAATCCACACCTGCCACCTGCCATCTGATCCTAGGCATCCTTCACTACGCCGTCGCCGTCATCCCTTTGGCCTGATTGGCTCGACCGCGATGATTTGCTAGACAGTTTCAGCGAAGGGTACCTGGCGGAGTTTCGGCCCAGAGGACCCTTTTGTTTTTCTACCCTCATTGTCGTCATGGCCATGTTGCTGCGACCTCCCCCGCCGCCAATGATCACCTGCAACTGTTTGCCAGCTAAAGGTGAGAGCGGATGGTTAAGGGATGGGCCTACAATAATGATGGCGTTGCCAAGGATTGGCATGTGCTGGCGCTCTACTTAAAGGAGCCAAGGAATGCTCGTGGGGATGAAAAACATTCCAGATTGAATTAACTAATTCGTCCGACGCGAAGCCAGGGAGTGAATTGCAATTTTTTTGCTCATCTGCCCTTTGCCTCTTATAGGCAGCTATATGGCCGCATCTCAAGAAATTTTATGAGCTTCGAACAATCTTGAATGCAGTTTGCTCCCTAGCCATTGCAATCATCATTGACCCTTCACGATGTTTTTCAGCCGTCTGTCACTCGGCAAGCTAGCTGCAGTCGCTCTATTGTCTCCAGCTTTAGTGTTGACCGCCCCTACACTGTAAGTTTGCTCCAATTTACCATTGCTTGTTTTTTTATTTATTTATTTAATTTTTTTTTTTTTTATGTTTGCTATTTGGAGAAGCTTTCTGACTGGCTGAAGCCGGCTGGTTAATCGTGACGTGTCATGGGATTACAACGACGGTATTGTCCGTGGCGTGAATCTCGGTGGTTGGTTTGTCCTGGAGCCTTGGATTACACCATCAATGTTCCCGGATGATGGTAGCGCTGTGGACGAGTACACGCTCTCTCAAATTCTGGGCGGTGATGCTCAGACTGTCCTGAGCAACCATTGGAATTCTTGGATTACCCAAGACGACTTTAACCAGATCGCCGGGGCAGGGCTCAACCATGTCCGCATCCCGATTGGATATTGGGCTATCGCGCCTATTGCCGGTGATCCGTACGTCCAAGGCCAGCTGGACGTGCTTGATCAAGCTATTGGATGGGCTCGAGATGTGGGCCTTAGGGTGATTATCGACCTTCATGGAGGTAAAGTCAAGCACTTTACTCTTGATTTCGTTGGTGCTGACCAGATATAGCTCCCGGCTCTCAAAATGGTTTTGACAACAGCGGCCATTATGGTCCTGTCGAATGGCAGCAAGGTGACACGGTGCAACAAACCTTGACTGCGATCAGGGGCCTGGCCGAACGCTATGCGAATCAGGCCGACGTTGTCACAGGCATCGAACTGGTCAATGAGCCACTCGGACCAGTGATTGATCTAGATCAGCTGAAGCAATTCTACTATGATGGATGGGGGACAATTCGCGACAGTAATACATATACCGTCGTCGTGATTCATGACGCCTTTGAGCAACCGGTGGAATTCTGGAATGGCTTCATGAACACTCAAGCGGGCGTCAACGATGTGATGCTTGATACTCACGCATACCAAATCTTCGATGACGGACAGGTGGCCATGGATCTATCGGGCCATGTCTCAACAGCCTGTTCCTTTGGCACTAGCGAGGTCAGCCCCACCGATAAATGGACGATTGTCGGGGAATGGACTGGTGCCATGACAGACTGCGCCAAGTGGCTCAACGGACTCGGAAAGGGGGCAAGATATGATGGCACATTCCCTGGCAGTACTTATGTTGGAAGCTGCGACGGCAAATATACTGGCACTGTTGCGGGATTGTCGGACAGTGATAAAGCCAACATTCGCCAGTACATTGAGGCACAGATGGACGCATACGAGCGCCGAACCGGTTGGTTCTTCTGGACTTGGAAAACGGAAAGCGCCCCTGAATGGCATCTTCAGGACCTTCTCGGCAATGGCGTGTTCCCTCAACCCCTGACCGACCGACAGTGTAAGTGATGTCTAAAACTTGGGAAACAATTTGCACATGATGGCTAACGTGGCATCTTAGATGGAGACCAATGCGGTTACTGATTGCGTGGCATTTTTTTTTTTTGGACCATCTGGTTATGATCACTTTTTGATACAGCAAAGGATTCTCGGCATCAAATACTTGCAATCTACTCTGATCTCACGACTCGGCCAAAGTAAGGCTCGACCCCGACACAAAAATTCCTGAGAGATATCGGCTCTCTTCTGTCCGTGCCGTTCGAAAATATCATTCTTTACGTCTATAAAGGCTTCCTAAATCCCCTGGCGGCAAATCCTTCGGTTCTGCGAATGAGGATTCTATACTTGACTGCATTATCTTCATCGGATACCTTGCCGTTAAGAAATGGTGGCATTATAGCGGCCTGGTTCCAGCCGAAATCGCTGTTTTTCTTTGGGTGTACAGTTTGTGTACATATTCTATTCAGCCATACAAATTTAAATTTTTTCGCAACATCATCCTAATGCACTTGCCATACAGTGAACGTTAGCTTGCACTTATCCAGCTTACCTGATACTGAAACCACCAATATTCAGCTTACAAGACAGTGGCGCATAAGATTGTGTCTACATGTAATTCTCAAATCAAATATAATCAAAACACGTTTCTTATTCATCCATGGGAGATTGGAAATTCTCTGTGCGAAAACATCTTATTCTGCATCCCAAAAGGTCCACTGCATTCCAAACTCAACAGTTCCAACAGCTCCCTTGCCGAAAGAGGAGTTTGTTAGATCTCGGTTATAGCAGGCGGTTCGGAACGGGCGGGTGCTAAGCTTTGCCAATCGGCCTCTCGGTCTCAGCTAGAGACTTAGCTCCCGACGGTGCCGTCGAACCAGCATTCCCCGGATCATCTTACGCGTCCTGACCTATCCGCCCTTGCTGGTTTATTTTGGTTTTGGCGAGCATCATTTTTCGTCAGGCATGCTTTGGATAATTTCATTGTGCACTATTCTGCTGAATTGAACAATAAGCTCCAGCAATTCCAATCGATAGGTTTGGACAACGGAATTCTCTCTTCACAAAGCGGGTGGCAAATAACTAAGACAAAAAACGAAGCGAAGCGTTCGTAAATACTGCAGTCCATGCCTATCAAAAATGCTCAATTCATTTTTCGATAATCAAAAACAATTCAAAAGATACTCACGCCATGTCCTGCGATTCAACATGCCTGCTGGAAAGTTAAGATGGGCCGGGCCAGGCCAGTATTGCCACTCCATGTATTAATTCAGCAATGAAGACCTGAAGCCTGACTCTTCCATATTTAAGAGGAAACACGCGTCTATAATACATATAATTGGAAATTGTGAAGCCTCTCAGTCACCGCATAGCTAAAGCTGTGTTTGCAACGACTCGACGAGCTTCTTCAGAGATTTGTAGTGTTTGAACACATTCTCCTCCCGGTCTAACATTAATATTTTGGTCGAAAAGTTTTACCAATTTGCCAAAGGTGAATCGAGGTTTGTATCACAACATAAGTTCGTACGCGCGCCTTCCGCGCCGCATATTATATTGCTCTGTCCCAAACATTAATTCTGGCAAATCATGCTCATCTCCCCCGATGAGGATAAGCGTCCGTATCTTGCAGTTGGTCCGTGCTATTGTTTGGGTCACACCGCCATCCAGGACTATTCATGAATTGGTAAAGATACCTAGGGAGGTATCTTCAGACAGAAAGTTGTAGGAGTAGCTCATTCTGCCTTGGCTGCTGTAAGATCTAGGTAGATACAAAGCAGTGCATTACGAAGCCAATGGTCCCTGTAGCGAGATCCTATTTCCTGTGTAGCCCCTGTATTGACTAGGGCAATTCTCTAATTCCGGTAGTGATTACAGTATCTATTGTAGGTTTTGTGGTGTATTGTCCTATTTTTGTTCATATTCATGGGTAATTTTATCCTAATGAGAATTTATAATCCAAAAGCAAAATTCATAGATAAATTCAAGAACGTGATAACCAACGTGCAGCAAAACGTAAAGATACTAATAAGGTAAAAGGGAGTTGCAATTTTATAGAAGCGGACACTGTTCTCGGATTCTATTTTGCGTAATTTATCGTTTGTTCTCAAAGCCAAAAAACTGTAAGGCGGACTGTGTATGGGCTGGGGAAAGTGTGAGTACGATTCTTTTCCTATCGGTTTTGGTCATGGTGGATGAGAGTAAAGATTTGTCACAAGATAATAACGGTATTCAATATCTAGCTATGCCGCGTCATGTCTCTGTCAAAATATATCAGGTCCGTAGATGATGTTATAGCCAGACTGTAAACGTACGGAGGTTACCAAAAGCCGACATCGCCGACGCTATCTGGTCTTCGCCAATTGCAGTAAAGGAACTCGATCCCGCTAATTTCTGACCAGCTTGGCACAAGGCCGCCTCTTGACATTCATCCTCACCCCACCAACCTGACACTTCCCAAGCTGTCAGATAATAGCAGTCTCCAAGAAAGCTCAAAAAATATCTTAAAATCTGACTAAACATGTGCTGGATCTCTTTTGAAATGCGAACCTCTGATAACGGATTCAATTGAACCCTCTAATTTCTGACTCGACGTCCTGTCTCATTGAAACTGCTTGTTGTGAACGCTATCGGCGAGCTACCGAGAGTGATCGACCACCAGTCCAGCATGCCTAGTGATTTGGAAACCAGATTACAACATGGCCACGGGGCCGTTGATGACTGGACCAGAACAGAGGATAAGGATCTTCGCAAGAGGATACAAAATAGGCTTGCTCAGCGGAAGAGACGTATGTACTGGACATCACTTCGTTCTTCTACGCTTTCATTGCTTTTCGGTTATTTTCGTTACATACAGGATTGCTTATTTTTAATTTCGTTGATATGACTCTGACACCAAAGATTGAAATAGGGGAAAAACTAGCTCAAACACATTTCCGGGCGAAGCGGCGAAACCGTGCAGTGGGTCGCGAAGAGGCCGATGGGGATAGCAGCTCTGCTTCTCCTTCTGAGGTCATTGAAACAATCAACCCCCAGCGCATTGTCTCATCATGGAACAAGAATGATAGCGTGGGTTTGAAAATTCAGAATATGATCGTCGCCACGGGGTTGGCAGAGCATCGATTCATCAGACTAGCCCAATATTCTCTCCTTCGGGCGTTCGTTTCGAACGCAGCAATTCTGGGACTCAGCCCAGCTTTGTTGGCAGACGACGAGTCCATCTCCCCCTGGACTATTTCGAATCCTTTCAAGCCTGCGGAATATGCGACAGAATATCCGCATACACTCCGACCGACCCACATCCAACTGAGCACATATCATCACCCGTATATCGACCTCATCGCCTCACCTAACTTCCGAGACAATATACTCTTGGCTATGTTGACTGATGAACAAGAGGATCAGTTTTGCCATGATTTCTCGAGCGATGCGGTCAAAATCTGGGGCAGCCAGCCCTGGAATCCAACGGGCTGGGAAATCTCACAAGAATTTTTAGACAGATGGTCGTCCTTGATTGATGAAGGTACCATCCGAACTTCCAATTTCTGGCGACTAGAGAGAGGCGAGCGCCCATTGGCACTACCAGCACCCTCGACGACATCTGAAACCGATAATCAATTGATCGCAACAGAGACCTTCTAAAGCCTCGCATCTTTTTCCGATGAAGTCCCATAGACACGCCGAATTCTTGGGAGAATTCTGAGCGGTTTTCGTTCCTTGGATAGAGGCTCAGAGTTGCCGTCGTTCTCTTGAAACACGATTCTCTTGAGCATTCACATCAATGGTATCGCTCCTTTAATGGCAAGAATGTCGCATACCCTGTCCCTTTTATTTGGCTAGTCGTTGAAATTCCTCGGTCAGCGAAACCCTCGAACGAGCTGGTAGTGCCCTGTCCCGGATGAATTTGCGTCAAGGCCGAAGTGCATCGCAGGAACTTGATCACCATGTAATCAAGATTCAAATGTGCTAACAAAGGGTCATCGAACGGGTGTGAAACCGGAAGTTTAAATGCAATTACTTTTGGTATCTATATTGCGAGAGTCTATGACATCACATCATGGAAATATTCATAAAGGGATCTCAAATCTGCAGATTCCCCATGTCCGCATTTGGCGTATCTTCGGTATCCTCAGCCTCCTCCTCTTCGTCAAGGTCTTCCAACGGAAATGTCAGAATAGCTGCTATTCCTCCCAAAGCTTCAAGCCGCTTTCCACTTTCGTGCTGGCTGCTCAATATGCGAACCTCGCCGCCCTCCTCGTTAACCCTGTCTACCAGAGAAACCCATCTTCGCCGCTCACTCACGCTTTGCGACCGGAACAAAGAATTGGAAATCAGAAGGATTCCACCACCTCTTCCAACCGCACTTTTATCAACTGCTTTGGAAACCTCATTCGGCCCATACCAGGCCCTTCCGTCGTCTTTCCTTAGGAGTGTGAAGAAGTCATCCATAAGTCGAGTCTCTCGAGCGTATTTTGTATCCTTCAAGCGAGCCAGCACTTCTGGCGACTTGAGAACTTCGTTCAGGGAATGCAAATGCCCTGAAGATGAGTGGACAACAAGAAAGTTCGACTTGTTGGCGAGCAATGCCTTGTCGCCCGTAGAGGTCGCGGTGTCGATTATATACTTCTGGAAGCTTGCAGCAGTAAATCCGGGGGAGGCGAGGAGAATAGGTTTTGGCGCGGATAGATCTACGTGTCGCAGAAGGGTTTCAAGTGTAGTCTCAAAGAACTTCGTCAAGCCCTGTTGAAGTTAGAATCCTAACAAGTCAACTGAAACCAAGTCTGTTTTTCCTCTAACCTTGTCGTGATCTCCTGATCTTCCCTGCCTCTTCCGCGGAATGTTTGACTCTATACGTTGTCGCAAAATTGTCTGGTGCTCGGTAATTAAGCAAATATTGGCAAGACCCTCTTGCATCACCACTGCTGCAATATCCGCTCTCTTCTGGGGGTCAATAGCCTCCCGTATCACGTCCAGCGCGACGCTGTCCCACCCTTCGCCTTTTTCCAAGGTAAAGTTCCTCTGTAGCTCCAGATCAAGCGTATGATATTGACCGATTTTGACATATTTGTTTTCCTCCGCGATTCGACCAGCAACATGTAGCTGTCCGGCTTGTGGATCGAAATCAATTCCAGTAACACGAATGGAAAGGGTCGTTTGCACCCGATGCGAGGCAGTGCTGCCAGTCGAAGACTCTGTTGTCACTCTGCGGAGTGCGGAAGCTCGAAGTAGATCATTTGGTCGTATCAGGTTGTAGGCGTGCCACTATCCAATGTGAATAAGATGAATTGGTAGATTGTTCCGTCTCAAAGCTTCCTTACCATGTCCTCGGGTTCTTCCGGGTATAGCGTTACGCTTCCAGAGCCATCGCGCTCTATATTTTGCTTGATTAGCCTCATGGCTGAATTTTCTTTTGTTCAAAAAAAACACAGGCTATGCGAAGTTCGAGAGGGGCGTTTGTGAGATTGGAGGGGTAGAAATGCTTTCTCGCGAGGTCGGGTGTTATTTGGGTCGCTGACGTTGTTTCTCACCGAAGCACTGCCCAATCGATAAGATGGGGGGCCGACCCTAGGATCAGTACGCCAGTGACCCTCTGCTAGCTATTTGTCCCGTTTCTCCAAGCTATTGTTGATTTCTCAGATCTTAATTCTTGCCAACAACAACTTCTTAAAGGGATTTTTGAATACGGTTTTACTGATCAAGAATTCCATAGCGTGAATTCTTTCAATTTCCTGCTGTTTCGCATAATGTTTTTTTACTTCCATTCGCTATTGTCTTATTATGTCAATGGCATTCGTAATTGTCCCCTTTTTGCTCCCTATTGATGATACCATAACCTATTGGTTGCGCAAATGCTTTTTTGTATATTGAGATGAACAATTGTAAAAGATCTAATCATATATCAGGATGATGATTCCTTTCCTTCATTCCCTCGGAGATGGAATTTCTTTGGTGATTAGCATCCGAGATGGATGCGAAGACGCCTCCTAGGTTCCTGTTTCGAGAGCAATTCTATGCCAAAAATGGGACACGTTATGTAGTGAAAAACTACGTTAATGAAGCGACGGGAGAATTCAGGACAAATATATTCCTGCAGCCGCCGAAGCAAAATGAATTCAGGACACCTGAGAGATATGTTCCTCCTCATCCTTTTTGGCTGGTAAGCAGAGGGTCAGAACAAAATGTAGTAACGAAAATTAATGGTGGGATAGGACCAAGAGGAAGATGATCACAAGGCTCATCACGGCTTCAATATCAGCACCGATCCACGTCGACCGCCGAAAAAGCGCAAGCGGCGTCTTTCTCCGTTTAGCTTGCAGCAGCGAGGATTTGTAGGAATAAGTAGAAAATATCATGAACGTATAGTTGCGGTAAGTGTGCTCCTCATAAAGTTAATAATCAAGACACATGCTGATGTTTGGAAGATCCAATGCCAAAAAGTACTAGACGGATTGCTCAAAGATGTAATGAAAGCGTACGATGCGAAGAAAGAACAGGAAACGGAGCAGGCTCCAGAAAATGACCCAAATTGCAATGGCTTTTGTGAGGAAAGGAGAGGCCGAAAACAAACGAGGTCATATTCGAGTGGTGTCCTTAACAGGCCTCCATTGACAGCGACAAGAAAGGGCTCTCAGATGGATAACGAGGATGAAGAAGTTATTCTTTTTAAGGGCAGAGGGGCTCGAAGGATGACAATTTAGGCACTATTTCGATGACGAGCTTTCAATATTTTCTGCATGATCTTGTAGCAATTGTAGCCTTGAATTGTAATAGGGAGCAGATAAGAGTCTAAGTGGGATCTCATAAGCCAACTAGATCTATTTGGTTAAGACTATCGTTAATCAATCAGTTAAGTCTGGATTACGTGATAGGGAACGTGGAGTCCAACCGCCATGTAATGACGTTAGCGCAACCCAGATAAAGCTTACCATTAGAGCTAAACACTCATAATAAAGGCCACATCTCCTACAATGAAGCATGTTTAAATCTTTATCAAGGTTAAATCTTTTCCAAGCTCATATCAGGAATTTCAGTACGATACCTACGAAAATGACCAAGTTTGACATCAACACAAAATACAGCCTACCTTCAGGCTACGAAATTCCAGTGCTCGGTTATGGAGTAAGTTCCCCGAAAACAATTGAAGCGTAATAGCAATGATGCGTCTCGAGAAACATATGCGCGGTACTTTGCAATCATACTAAATTAATTTTCACTTTCAGGTTTATCAAACGTATGTGGTTGAACAATTAAATTTGGCATTCAATTCATTAATTTGTGCAGACCCGCCGACCAGGCTGAGGAGGTCACATCCTACGCACTGAAGCTTGGGTACCGTCATGTTTGTCGCCCGTCTCTTGGACCCTCTTTCTGATTGCGACATGCTGTTAACAAAACCATATTATAGGTCGATTCTGCAGTCGCCTATCGCAATGAAGAGCCGTCGGCCGCAGCGCTCAAAAAGTCAGGTATCCCGCGGAATGAACTATTCTTCACCTCAAAAGTTCCTCCGAAGCAGATCTCTTACGAAGGAGCCAAGGACGCAATTAAGGGCACGTTCGAGCGTACTGGACTAGAATATATCGATCTTTACCTACTCCATGCTCCTTATGGAGGCAAGGAGGGACGTTTAGGTGCCTGGCGCGCTCTTGTTGAAGCACAGCAAGAGGGTAAGATCAGGTCAATCGGTGTATCAAATTACGGGGTGCATCACCTACAAGAGCTGGAGGATTATATCAAGTCTGTCGAAGCGAAAGAAGGAAAGGGCAAAGGTGGTGTCATCAGTGTTGGGCAGTATGAGCTTCACCCTTGGCTCACCCGTCCGCTTCTCGTGGAATGGTGTAAGGCCAGGGGTATTATCCTCGAGGTACGATCCTACTCGTCAAAAGGTAGACAACTCGAGAGACTGACAACGAACAGGCATATGCTCCCATAACAAGAGGCACTCGGTTCGAAGATCCTGCGCTGCAGAAGCTAGCCAAGAAATTCAACAAGTCTCCGGCGCAGATTCTTTTGAGATGGAGCTTGCAGAAGGTAAAGCGATTTTTTTTCCCTCGTTGCAGCATTGGTTTGGTTATTAATACTAATTTCGATGCTTATAGGGTTTCGTGCCGTTGCCCAAGTCTGTGACCCATAAGCGTATCGAGGAGAACGCTGATATTTTTGACTTTGAGCTTTCTCGTGATGACCTTGACAGTTTGACAACGAACGAGTATTCTCCATGCTGCTGGGACCCTACTACCAGCCAGGATTAAATCGGTCATAGGTTTTGCTTGATCTCTATATTATTTCTTAAGAATGGAAAAAGATATTTGCAGAATTTTCTTGTATCACTCTACTCAATTTTCCAAAAGTCTCTGTAAAACACCATACAGTATTGGGATCCTTTGTTATTACTGGGCGATCCTAGGTAGTGCAGTAGAGATGCATGGTGCATAATATGCCTCAGCTCTACAGAATCATAACGCTGTGACTATGAAAAAAAGCTCGTTCTAATACTTCGTACCAAAATGACGAGACCACAAGCTTTTTACAACACCTCTCGGCAGATGTTATCATCTTGGGTCGTATATTTTACGTTTGTAAACACCTGGGTTTTATTCTATTGACTACAAAAATATTTCTTTTTACTTTCAAATGCTTATACATCTTTATAAAAGCTTTCAAGAATTCTCACGTTCCAATATAATTACAAAAATAAAACTCCCTAGATCCTCATCGAATAATGTCAGTACACTGCAGAAGCTTATTTTATTCTCCCTGTTTTGTATATACGTCGACGCCAACCTCCAAGGTGCCCAGGTTGCCCCTCCAGTTCTCGCTAAAGAGCACGAGGCAGAGGTGCAGTATCACCGGATCAATGAAACACCGATGCCGACCAAAACAACATCCCTCCCAATTCGTCACCCTCGCTCACAACCTCGTGATGTTTATTCACGATTCACGCGATTTTTTGTGTCGTCTTCTCTGATACATCCTTTGCTTGTGCGCTATTTACGTTTGGTTTTTGCCTTGGAAGTCTGTGCTGAGATGCATTTGCACTTCCAAAAGGAAGCCTTGGCTACGCGTGCTATGCTTTAGTGCTTGCATTCTTTGCTCGGCGCTCTCCACGAGTCTGGAATCTGTATCGGGCCACAGCGGGGCGACATCTGTAGGAACAATGCCCGGGGAAGACTCTTACTACAAGCCACAAACAAGTCGACAGGCCAAGCGTGCAGCAAAGAAATCGACGAAAAGCATATCCGAGGCCGAGCGCCGCAAACTGGTTCGTGCTCAAGAGCTGCATGAAAGGGCGGAAAGGCTGCGAGAAAAAGAAAGACGCCGGCAGGTAAACGCTCAGAAGCGGAAAGAAAAAGAGCAGCGCGATCGAGAGACTCGAAAACGTACAGGTGTCGTCGACCAGAATGCGTCCAAGTTTCCATCCTCGCAGCAAAGCCTGGCAAAGTTTTGGGGTCCTATGGGAGCCGCTCAGAAGGAAGTTGACGTGGATGATGAAAATAAGGAAAATATATTAGATGCGATGGAGAATTTGGACGACCAAGATTCAGCGTGTGCAGATGTGGAAGAACAATCCGATGGTGAAACCAGCGAGGAGGGCACCAGCTGTCTTTTGAAAGGCGACAATTCGAGTGATACGGCGGTTAGCAAAGACGCGGAGGCCGATCATAACGAGAAGCATGTCCGTGGAGAAAGACAGCCTCTAGCAGAAGTCAGCGCTGCTGCAGTGTCTCAAACTGACCGGCCCATCGACAAGTCGTCTCAATCTTCAGATGATCGATCGAAGTGTGGCAGAGACACGAAACAACAAGAGACGCCTCACTTGTCAGACGATTTTATATTTTATGATCTCGAAGACTTCTTTGTTAGCGGAACCCAGCTTCAGCAGGAACTAGCCAAAGCTTCTCCGCCGACACCTCGACATCAGGTGCAGCGAAGCCCGTCGGCTTGCATTGAGAAGAATGCTTCGATGCCACCACCGCCCGTGCCCTCCACAAGACAACCAGAAACAGCCATCCCGGCCTTGATTTCCTCGCAGGATCTCGAATTTTCAGAGGAGGATTTGCAAGAGCTTTTCAGCACTGTGAGTGAATCGAATTTTCTTTGTCCAGCCACGTTTGAAGTCTCTCAATGCAGCTGCGCTGTTGATGAAATTTTACACATTCCCGTGCTAAAACCTTTATAGGAGAAAATAGATTCGGGTAATTCCAATGATTCCGCATCGAAACGTGAGACAACAACTGCAAAGGAATCGAAGACGGAAGGTTCAAATTTAAATACGACCCCACAAGAGCCAAAAGAATTGCCTAAAGCGCCCTCGGCACCCAGCATGCCTGTTTCGGAATCTCAAGCAAATCAAGCGACTGAGACTTCTTCTTCTTCGCTCCTCTTCTACACGGCCGAAGATTTTGAATTTTCATCACAAGAGCTCCGCGACTTACTTTCCTGACAAATTTTACTGCAACCGAAGATGATATTCTTTCTATCTGTCTTTTCTTATCTTATCATTTCGCAATATTTTCATTTCACAAGGGGACAAGAGTCAAGAACTCGCGGCATCCTGTCTTCCATCTGAAGTTAACAGACTGCGTTATTTACCTATCTCGTTTCACAATCTCAAGCATAGCGCTGGCGTCCAAGGTACATCCGGAAATCATAAGGTCGATATGGCATCGTTTAATTACAACGACAACACTGGAGTTGGAAGATGGAAATCAAATTGGTTTTTCTTAAACATGCTTACCTTTTCATTTTTTTCTTTCTTCTCTTTTTCGATATCAAGACTACATCAAAACCTTTTTGGGAGTTGAATCACTTCTGATGGGATTTCTCAATTCTACATATGACACATCATGGCTTCATTTCCGGCAAAGACCATTTTCGGAGATAAATAAGTACCTGCACGGAAACTTGAGCCAAATAAACAAAAATCATTTCTTGGTTCACCTCGCACAAATATGAAACGCTGGATTTCAAAGATTCTCTAATTATAATGAATTTAATTTGATTATTCCAGTCGACCACTAATGGCGACCGGTGAAGAATTACCGAAACCAATTTCTCCCGCTCAGACAGTCTAAGAGTTTAAACCCGGAATCACATCCCTGCACATACAAACCTACAGAATATCTTGAAGTCGAGAAAATATTTAAGAGAAACACTCGAATCCAAAGCAACACAAGTTTCACCGAAAAAGGGATTATACGACCGGAAAATAGAAGGATTTGATAGCCGATCCTTATTGTAGATTCCTTCTCTTAAAACAGGTCGGTCATAGCGCCTCTGCTCGCGTCTGAAACGAGTGCAGCGTACTTTGCCAAGACGCCGCGAGTGACGGGAGCACGCGGGGGCTTCCATTCCTTGAGTCGCTGCTCAATCTCTTCACTGCTAATATGCACATTAAGCTCCTTATTGACAGCATCAATGGTAATGGTGTCGCCGTTCCGGACAATGGCAATGGGTCCACCGACAGCTGCCTCAGGGACAATGTGGCCGACGATAAAGCCATGACTGGCGCCAGAATACCTGCCGTCCGTGATCAAAGCGACATTGTTGAGTTTGGCACCCATGATGGCTGCAGACGCTTTCAGCTGTTCCGGCATACCGGGTCCACCTTTGGGGCCTTCGTAGCGGACGACGAGGACGAGATTCTCGCCATGCTTGATATCGCCGCGTTTGAGCGCGACGTGGAGATGGGATTCCTTGTCAAAGACCATGGCTTTCCCAGTGAACGATGTGCCTTCCTTGCCGGTGATCTTGGACACGGCTCCGCCAGGGGCAAGATTGCCCCGAAGGATCTGCAAATGGCCGGTTGCTTTGATCGGATTGTCAAGCGGCCGAATGATGACCTGGTCTTGTGGCAGGCTGGGGAAGGACTCAATGTTCTCAGCGAGCGTCTTTCCAGTTACTGTTGGAATGCCGCCGTCAAGGAGCCCCGCCGCGACTAGCAGTTTCATTACCGAAGGGATGCCTCCGATTTCGTACAAATCTGCCATGTAGTATTTCCCTGACGGCGCAAGGTTTGCGATAAATGGGATCTTGTCGCTCACGCGCTGAAAGTCGTCGATTGTCAGATTGACATCTGCGGTATTGGCCATGGCGAGAAAATGCAGAACACCGTTGGTGCTACCGCCAAGGGCCATTGTCATGACCATGGCGTTTTCAAAGGAGCGTTTTGTGAGAAGTTCACGAGGCTTGATGTTTTTCTCCATACATATCTTGATTGCTTCTGCTGCCTTGTGACATTCCCGCATCTTTGCAGGAGATTCAGCTGGAGTGCTGGAGGAGCCAGGCAGGGTGAGACCCATTGCCTCTATGGCCGTGGCCATGGTGTTTGCTGTGTACATTCCTCCACAAGCGCCGGCGCCTGGACACGCGTGACGCTCAATATCACTCAAGATATCGTCCTTGGACTGGGATTTGTCGTCCGGATTCGAGAGCGTGCCAAAGAGATATGCGCCATGAGCTTCGTAGCATGTCGAAATGTTGATTGGTTTCCGAAGCAAATTGCTGTAGCCTACTAGGATTGTTCCTCCATAGATCATGAGAGAGGGCCGATTGTGGCGAGCCATTCCCATGACAACACCTGGCATGTTTTTGTCGCAGCCGGGGATCGCAATGCACGCATCGTGATGCTGAGCGCAGGTGACAGTCTCTACACTGTCTGCGATGATCTCACGCGTTTGGAGCGAGAAGCGCATGCCTGAATACAGTCAGAATATTTTGGACAGATGAGATTAAGCGCAGGGAGTATAACCTTCTCCACCCATGGTGATAGCATCTGATACTCCAATAGTATTGTATTGCCATGCAACCATATCCTGCTTTTGCACAGCACCTTTTACGGTTTTTCCGAGATCCAGCACTGAATAATCCGAAAAGTAGTTATTAGCCACAATCTTTCCCGGATAACACAATATTTAATACGAATGACTTACGATGCATACTGGAATTCTCGTCAGCGCTGGATCCATCAGATCAATTGTAATCGGCTTCATTTCTTACTTGCAAGGATTGCCTTCCCACCATACCGATGCCACACCCACTTGGGGATAGTTCTTCATTGCTTCCTTGGTCGAAATCCCAGCTGCGTACAGCATTGCCTGTGAACAGTCTTTGATTGGCATTGAACCTATACAGAAACTCTAGTAGCGATTCCTACCTGTGCGCCAGGAAAGTCATGGTCTTTTGTGACGGTTGAGGAATATTTATTTAGAGCTGGCTTGCCGTCTCGTGTCGCGCCATCTGGGAGATGTGGAAAGTCAAGAAACTTAGGCACTTCAGGTTGCAATTCCTTTTCTTTATTGGAGAGATCCATTATGGGCCAATTGGACAAATCCAAGCAATCCAAGTTCTAGTATCGACAGAAAATTTGGAGATTTTGATTTCCACAAGAGCTGTCTAGCTTGCAATTCCGAATGCGGCTTGCGCAGGGAGACGTCAACTTATCAATCAGGCGCAGGGCCCCGGGAAACAATAGATTGTGAGGTTACACGATATCTTTTTCACTATCACGTCAAGGTCGGAAATCGTCGAAGGCTTTTAAAGCTCCATATCTTGTGATGAAGAGTCAATCTCCTTTGCTGTGCCGTGTCAATTGGCCGATTTCTGCCCCACAAAAGCTAGAGCAATGATTGAATAAGACGGCACTAGCCCCGCCATTGACAGAGCGAGAGAGCCGACGAGTTCAGCGAAATATTCGATAGCGGCTGCGTTGCCCCTCCTTTCCCCTCAGTATTGATCATGTCATTGGGGTTGTAGCGCAATGGCGGGACTGACGGCCCGCAAGTTCGGGGGGTTGACACCGAGCATGAGACGGGTGCTGTGCAAATAGATCTGCTCTTATTGGGTCTATTACCCTCGTACCCTCGTACCCTCGTAACCCCGTGTTTCGGGTCGTCATAAGCGATCGCCGTTGCCGTTCAGAGGATTAGTGACAAACCCATGGGGAACTTGGACCGAGCTCTGAGACTTGTAGTGCAGCCTACTCCTCTATATTCGAATGGAGACTTTGGAGATATGCGTGGATTGCACACTATGTAGTAGACATATGGTTCAAGGTATTTCAAATACTTCAAGGTTTACTGAAATATCTGCTAGGCGTTGGCTTTCCATGTATTCAAGGTCATCTCGTGGCAAGTAATAATACGCGTTGGGGAATAGTTAAGAGACTGAGAGGCGTTGTTATCGATAAAGGATGACTAATCCATAACTGAAACGTCACCTAATGTTGCGCTCGCAGCTGAGAGTAAATGTCAATCATAATCCCATGGTGTGACTTTGTTGACAAGTCCAGATATCCATTTCATCGTAAACCATAATGGAAGAGCAATAAATTATATACTGCAATATCACATCCATATTGTGTGCTGTTTAAATGCTTAGTTCTTTAGCCTTTTCGATCATCACCTCATGCTCCGTGTTCGAGTGGCTTGATGTGGCTTCCCCAAACAAACGAGCATCAGCTCCTTCCTCCCCACGTCATTGGTCGCGGGCTAAAATCGCTCGCGGGAACACAAAAATTTCAGGCTGCTGACATTTTATGGAAGTAACACTCGGGTCTGCATGGAGATGGTAGGCGCCTCCTGGAGACGCCTGTCTTCTTGCTATGGCTTCGTTGTCTGCACCTGCCTCGCTTTTGCGCGTGCAGCAGAAAATTCCGTCGCCGCCGCCGCAGCAGCAGCAGCAGCAGCGACTGATACAACCGTAACTACCCCGGCTGGAAGGCTTCCAGCATCCATGGACGCTTTAAATCGTTCCTTACAAGCCGCGCTATCTGTATTCCTGCGATGTTTCCGACAATTGGTTCTATCTCTTCACCAGACTCTTGCGCGCGCCTGTACTGGCCAACTCAATATCACGGATGTCGTCCGACTTACAGTCCTCTGCGGCGTTCTTCCTGGGATTTGGCTGATGAAGCAGCGCATCTGTGGAGCCGACGACAACTCAGCTATGGCGCAGCGCTCGTCTCTTTCTGCGAAAGGCAAGGATGACAGAACCATAGATGGTGACGACGGCACTGCCAACGTTAAATCCTCAAATGGTAAGTGAGCCCTCTCGATCCAGCTCTCTCTTACCGCCACAAATGCTTATTTGGCGTCATTTCCCAAGATTTGTCGGTTGAAGGAGACCCTCCGTTATTGAAAAAGCATTCTTTCTGGAGAACTTACGTAGCACCCGTCCCGAACATCCAGTATCGCAAGATTCGTATCTTCTACAAAAATCACCCGCAAATTGACAAACTGCCATCAAAACCGCGCCCCATGCCCTTGTTGGTCTTTATTCATGGATTGGGAGGCTCGATTGCCCAATTTGTGCCGCTTCTCAACAGTCTAGTCAATATAGCACCTTGCCTCGGAATCGATCTTCCGGGCTGTGGCTTGTCCGAGTTTGCACCCACGTCTTGGCGTGCGTATTCCATAGATGCGCTTGCAGATCTGGTTGCTGCAGTGATTGCAGAGTATCGCGACCAGTTCGCCGATCAGGGCGTGATTCTCATTGGCCACAGCATGGGATGCTCGATCGCAACCTTGCTTGCTTCGTCAACATCGAAACACCCAAGCCAATTGTCAAAGCACATTTTGGGCTTTGTCGCCATATGTCCGCAATCATCACCACCGCCTCCGGAGAAAGTATCGCTTTTTCGCAAAGCATTAAGCATTCCCACCCCCATCTTCGATCTGTGGCGACGCTGGGACCGCCGAGGTGGTACGGAAAGCCCAAGCGTTCAGCGGTTCGTTGGCCCTGATGCAGATCTGGACACCAAGAAGCTGCAAGTGCTTTTTAATGAACAAAGCAAAACGGCAGTGTGGAGGCGTATGGCGTGGGGAGCCCTGCCACGCTATCATAACGGCATTGCCAAAGGAGGGTTGCCTGGAAAAGACACTTGGGCCGGTCTTGACGTGCCGGTTCTTCTTATCGCTGGAGATTCAGACAAAGTCACGCGGCCAGAGGAGGTTGACAAGATCGAGGCCTTTTTACGGAAGCCTTCCTCGACCGATGAATGCAAAGCGAGCATCTCATTACCGGACTCGGCCGCGCCAATCGACACTGCTATCTTTGAAAAAGCTGAGGACACGAGCGAGCAAAAGGAGCCGGACCACGACAAACTTCCAGGAAGAGATATTGACGAGAGCCTTGCTAGTAGTAGCTCGATAGAGCATACCCCTCCGTCCATTTCAACCGTGGCATCCTTGAAAAAACCACCAAAGGTAATTAAAGTGATAAAACTACCATCCCCGGCCTCACATGCTTTGCTCTATTCCAGATCTACCACTAGGACCCTCATTGGCTTGGTGACAAGCTTCCTCTCTAGTAGTGTGGACTCACGCCTCTCGCAAGGCTGGCAGCTTCTTCATCTATCGACAGGAGGAAAGTGGGATGTCAAAAACTTGGTCAAATGGCAGGCCGTTGAACCTGTTTCGGGCCCCATTGGAGGAGTTTTCCGAGCAATGAAGACGCTTCGAGCAAAGGATGAAAAGCATTGTCCAGAAGTATTTGTAGACGAGTGGGATGGAAAGGTGAGTTGCGTGGTCGATATAAGCTTAGATACGCCGGTATATGATACTGCAGAACTCGAGAATGGCGGAATTCATTACCACAAGTTTCCTACTGTCAGCAAGATTCCGCCTACGGTGAACGAAGTGAAAGACTTTATTCTCTTGATCGACAGTCTCAAGGGTTTGGCTCCTGATGGAGATGGAGGAGAAAAACCTCTTATCGGGGTACACTGCCACTACGGGTTCAACCGTACCGGCTTCTTCATTGTTTCTTATTTAGTGGAACGGCAAGGCTTCAAACTCCAAGACGCCCTCGACGAGTTTAAAAAGCAACGGCCGCCCGGCATACGACATGATCACTTCATCGATACACTTTTTATGAGATACTGTTCCGGGTTAAAGAGACATCCAACGTTATGATTTTGGAAATCCTTGAACTTGCCGCTGCATCGGTCGCTACTTTACTGTTTAGAAGCGGTTGGGGAGTTTTTCTGGTGGACATTCAAGGCGTTGGAAACTCTTCAAGAGGATCGGAATAATTCGCGAAGTGAACTGAATCCATTGTTTTAAATTCTTCAGAAGTCATACTTTTACAATTGGCGCTCATAAACAACAATTTCACGAGGCTCATCACCAGTAAATACGTGACGTTGGATATTGGGAGTATATTCACAGATGTAGCACAATACTAGAAGTTCGTTAGGGCTATAAACCCTGTCTCGCCTAAAGTGGTCTAGCGAAGTTCCCACACAATCCGATACTCGCGAAATTGCAGATTGGCCAGCCCTCCGCGACGACGACGACGACAAGAGAACCTTCCTCGACACCAACGGCCCAGACGCTTCTCAATCAAAAAATACCGCCAAAATGCCTGGTGTCACCGTCCGCGATGTCCAGGTACGTGGAAATTTTCCCTGCCGAAATGATATATATTGGTTGTCAAGAGGAGGAATGCCGCGCCATAATGCGACGATGGGCTCCGAGCCGAGGGAATCACGACCTTTTGAGGCAAAATCAAAACCGGGAATTATGGATATTGGCAGAATATAGGGATTGTCTCGGTGTCAAGGCTAATTTTGGTTTCTGAGTTCTAGGCGAACAAGTTCATCGACGCCTACGCTGCGTTCTTGAAGAGGCAGGGAAAGCTTCCCATCCCAGGTTCGTAAAAACCCGATTCGACATAAAATCCACACGATATACCATTACGGACGCAGACGGAATTTTGTTTTTCGGCATCGGACATTTTATATTAAAACCGACACAAGTTTGGTAGAGAATACGGCTGATGGAGAAACGCATAATAGGATGGGTTGACACCGTGAAGACCTCCAACGCCAAGGAGCTCCCTCCTCAGTCGATTGACTGGTACGACATCCCCGCACCCCATTAGGTTTTGACGTGTGTTGGAATTTTCTGTGCGCACGAAGCACGATGATGCAGAGGACTTTTATTGAATGACGACCCAAGACTTACACGGCCTGATTGATAGGTACTACGTCCGCGCTGCCGCCGTCGCTCGTCACATCTACCTCCGCAAGACCGTCGGTGTTGGCCGCCTACGGAAGGTTCACGGCTCGCAGAAGAACCGTGGCAGCCGGCCCAGCCACCACGTCAACGCCTCCGGTGGCGTTGACCGTAACGTTATGCAGTCGCTTGAGAAGATTAACGTCCTGGAGCAGGACGAGGAGAAGGGCGGTCGTCGCATCTCCCAGAGCGGTCAGCGAGACTTGGACCGTGAGTTTGGCCTTTTCTACGATGTTTTATGGATGTGAAACCTTGAGATGTGGTCTGGAAGGAAGGCAACATGAGAGACCGAGCTTTGATACCAGGACATGGATCGGAAAGGAGTTCTTGGAGATATCGGCCTGAACACCAGTACAGTTCAGCTTGTTACATTTGGCACCAAGATCTTGATTTACTCTCGATCGAAGAGGATCATGGCGTAACGGTCATCATAACCTCACAGCTCGAAATCATGAGTGCTTCCAGAAACATTCTCAAGGGCTTCTCATTCACGGACATAAACCATGGGAATTTGAAACTAACAGTATTCGCGCTATAGGTATCGCCCAGACCACCCTCGAGGCCGAGGAGGAGGACGAGGAGTAAATCTAAAATTTGGCGAAACGGAAAAAGTGTCTCGAATCGCGCGCTCGGGTCCGCTCGGGGGAAGGTAAGACGGAATGGGTCGGGGTTGTGCATATTGCATTGACAGAGGGACCGGGTTGGCTGGCTATACTACCTGATTGATTTTATTTCTTCTTTCTACATGCATTCGGAGTAATAGCAAGCCCTCTCCCTCACTCACGATTCTCGTTCTCAAATCTTACATTCCACTTGGCTGCGAGGTGTATAATCATGAACCATTCCAAAAAAAAACCCTCTATGATGTGCCACGTTATAACTGTGTTTTGCCATTTGAAGATATGAATATTTATAGACTGGATATTTTTCCCTTTCCGGCCAGGCCTCAGGCCACCCATCATGTCTCTGGCTGGTTTTCGATGCAGTTGCCCTACAGGGCTGATAGATCGACTTACCCTGCCTATTCCCTGCGTCTGCTCTTGCAACCGCTTACGTCCAAGGCTAGAAGACGGTGCGGTTTTTTCATTTGGATTAGGCGCTGCATGACAATTGGTAAGTAGTAGAATGCCCTGCTAGAATTTGCTGGGGAAATCTTCCGTCGGTGTGCCACGTGTTGTTCCATGCCATCTTTCAAAGGTCCATGTCCATTGTGCATGTACTGTGAGATCATAAGTGGCAGCTTGGGCAGTTAAGCTACATTTCGGAAGCAAATTGGCGATGGAAACCCCTCCAAAATACTCGATATTTCGACAGTTTCGTCTTCTTCACATGTTCAGGCCTGGGGAATTTAAGATTAAGACAATAAGGTCTACCCAGGCAATGTTAAACTTGGCTCACAAAGGCATGAAGAAGTAAAACTGTATCGTGGAACTTGACGTCTATTTTGAATTTCCATAATAGACTTTTTGCCTAATGCATTGAGCCTACTCCATTTTTATCCGCTAGTGGGAGGGACGCAGGTTCAACCCAAAGCAACCATCAAACCACCGGAAACTGAGACAAGAAACACCGAAGAAGAGGACACGCTTTACATCACAACACCGGAGTTGCTGGCAATACGCTATAAATGCAGTTAGCACGCTACTGATCATTCAAATAGAGGGGTAAGTTGCACTACTAACCGGCCAGAGCTCGGCAGCCTCCTTTCCGACGGGGCCGGTGATGGCAGAGCCCTTCATCTCACCCTTGGGGTTGACGATCTGAGCAGAATCGAGTCAGCGGTTTATTTCAAGATGTATTCTCCTCGTTCCTCTGAGGCATGCGTCGGATCTCGTTCCGCAGATCGCCCGTTCCGAGAAAAGAATATATCAGGTGACGGTAAAAGAATATCCTTTTCGGATCATTGTCGTCGAAAACGTTCTTTTCCTCAAATGGAGAATCGATGGCAAGATCGAATACGGGTACGCAATCGGCTCAGAGGATCCGAGGACGAAATTTTCTTTCGAAGGAATAAACTTACAACACCGGCGTTGTCCTCGAAGTAGAGGTACATGCCGTCAGGTCGCCTCCAGGGCTTGCTCTGACGGACAACAACGGCAGGCATGACCTTCTTCCTCAACTCAGGCTTTCCCTTCTTGACGGTGGCCATGACCATGTCACCAACACCTGCAGCCGGCAGGCGGTTGAGACGTGCACCAATGCCCTTAACGGAGATGATGTAGAGGTTACGGGCGCCAGAGTTGTCGCAGCAGTTAAGAACCGCTCCACTATTCGAATGTTAGCACTCCTACTCCTCGGGCTTCTGCATGCAGCCATGATTTTTCGCCTCGAACAAAATCTATGCCGATGGTATTCCTATCGAAGGTCGAGGAAGAATAGACAGCGAGAAATGGGTTTTCAAGCGAACGGGAATAGAGAAAGGATTATGCGTGCGAGAGAGACGTACACAGGCAGACCCAGGGTCATCTTCAGCTTGTTGCCGGGAGCACCGCGACTGTTGAATGGAACCTCGTCAGCATCGTCTGATATGCTTCCCAAAGAAATCCGAGACCCTCCGAAAATGACGGGAGTCTCAGATTCAGCATTTCGATCTTAACATACCCGCGCTTGGACGACATGGTGACGTTTCTGGTGGTGGATTGTCGAGGAAATACGGGTGAAAGGTGTCGTCGCGATTTTCGTCAAGTCGTAGAGGTCGTCGGTGTCGATTTCGATATGTGCGGGCGCTAAATCAAAGTCTTGGCAAATTAAGCGAGTTAACCCTAGATCTGCAGTCCTTGTCACTTCGCTGACTGCCAATGCTTAACGTACCCCAAAACAGCAAGAAATTGTGAGAAATTATATGTTCATTCAACTTTTAATTAGAATACACTTATTGTTTGATTCTCATCGTGCTTATTCGAGCGTCCAATTCTTAACCGTTGGTTGAGTTTTCCAACACAAGAACTGCTCTGCCCACCTTGTAGCCCCTGCAAGCGAGTCACAACGAAGATGTCTTAAGGAGGCTTGATTTGTTCGATGATCCTCCTCAAACGGTGGCTTTCGAGTATTGATTAAAATTCGTTTCAGCAAGATTCTCTATAATACAAGATATCGTAGGTGTCATTCAAAATAAAATAAAAATGAAAAGAAAATATCCCAGCGCCGCCATTGAAACGCCTCGACACCTGCCATTGGCCGTGGATGTTTGTATCAAGCTCACGGCCATGAGATAGGGTTCGGCATGCACTTTTTCAGGAGCTGCAATGCTAGCTTTCCGATGTCTGTATTTCTTCCGCTGCTTTTTCCGTAGGTTTTTCTTCCGCCTTTTCATCTGAAACTTCAACCGGCTTCTCCTCTGCCTTTTCAAGCACTTCCTCAGCCGGGGGTTCAGCTGGTTTTTCAACAGTCTTTTCTGCCGGACCCTCACTTGGCTCTTTTGTATTTTCCTTTGTTGGCTCCTCTGAGGTATCCTCAACGCGCTTTTCTGCTTCAGTCGCCTTTTCTCCTGCAACGTCCTCGGTTTCCCGTTCTTCCCGCCCCTCCTCTTTAGCAATAGAAGTGTCATCTGCCACCTCTCCTTCTGCCATTTCTTCGTCTTCATTTTCGGCAGTAGTGGTCGCCTCTGGCGCTACGTCGGCTGCTGGTTGAGGCGACTCAGGAGGAGTCACCTGAGCACCGGCCCTTTCGGCGGGTTGATCCCCAGCGGGTCGGCTATCCTCCATATCAACATCGCCGTCATTGTCAACAGCTTCACGAGCTGGCGACGCGGGCTGAGATGCTGCAGTAGATGCAGCTGTTTCTCCGGCAGCCACTGGAGTTGCGACTTCAGATGGCTTTTCTTCGGGGGGCTCGATATCCATTTCTAGTTTGCCTGAAGTGGGTGCGGCCTCATCCTGACTTACAGCCACATCTGGTGTACCCATTCCACTATCCTCCCCGAATTCGGGAGCAGAGTAAGGGTTCTGGTAATCCATGATATTTCTTCGCCTGGTCGCACCAGGCTGCTTCCGGAGACCATTTTGACCGGCAATGTCCTCGTCCTCGCTGTCGCTCAGTTCGCCTTCCTTTTCGACAAACTTGTCCCATCTCCGTTGTGTATGCCGAACATCTTTGTTTTCATCCTCGTCAAGATCATCAAGAGCAGCATCTGCCTCGTCATCCATTCCTTCCGGGTCACGAGGGACGTCAGTCATTTGAACGGAAGGAGCAAATGTCGTTCGCTTCAAATTTTCGAACACTTGATTCCTAATCTTCTCGAGGTATTCTGGTGTGTTGGCATTGTCCATATTCGAGGGCCTTACGTTCAGCTCATAATCGGGAGCGTAATACTGTTAAATGTCAGTTTGCGATGTGAGAACGAAAGATCTATCGTCCAAAGGAGTATACCTCGTAATAATCGTTGTATGGAAGCTCTGGGCCAATTGACTCCCCAACAACGACACCTGTCTCGAATGCCCATGTTCTAGCAACGTTTCTCATGGTATAACCTCCCCCTCCCAACACTAAAGTAGGCAGGTTGAAGCTCTTGACAAAATTGACACAGTTTGCGTGGCCCTTCATGCTTAGATTGAAACAGCCAAGACGATCTCCAGAAAGGCTGTCACCGCCGCATTGCAAAACGACGGCTTCCGGCCTATAGTACTCCATGACAGCTTTGATGATAGGCTCAAAAATACTTTTGAAGGACTGGTCTGTAATGCCGTCGCGGAGAGGGACATTAACTGAATAGTATTTTCCAGAGCCTACACCAATATCGCGAAGTTCACCAGTTCCAGGGAAGTATTCTCCGTACTTGTGAAAAGAGCAAGTCATGACTCGGTCCGTGGTGTAGAATGCTTCCTCCACTCCATCTCCGTGGTGGACGTCGATATCAATGTACAGAACACGCTGTTTGTAACGTAAAAGTTCGATGATACCAAGAGCGATATCTTTACGAGTGTTAGTCGTATTCTTAGAGCCCCATATCGTGAGAAGGAGGTTCTCTCACCGTTGATGTAACAGAAACCACTGGCTTCGCTCTTCTTCGCATGGTGGAGTCCACCAGCCCAATTGACCGCGATATCACACTTTTGACGGTTTAATCTCGCTGCGCCTTCCATACTTCCTCCGGCGCTGATTCCACAGAATTCGAATAAGCCGTCAAAGATCGGGCAGTCATCTCCCACATTATATTTGCCTTGTTCCTTCGCGTAGTTGTCCATATTGTCAGGCGTCACCTTCTGGAGGAAGTCGACGTATTCGTCGGTATGATACTGCGTCATTTCAAGTCGTGATGCAGGCTTTGCGCGCTGTGTCAAGCAATTATTAGCATTGCTGCAGTATCACGGACAATTAGGTACAGGGGACCGTAGGTCTTCGCTCATGAAGGTAAAAGACATTATTAGAACTTACGTATATCTCCATCTTTTTATAAAGGCCATAATTCATAATCAGGCTGTGTGTGAGCCGGACACGATGTGGTTTCATGGGATGACCAGCAACGTAGGCATAGTTGCCAATATCGGAGTCGTAGAAGTATGCGACCTTCTTCTTACTAGCTGAGCCATTTGTGAGAGGCTCATCGAGAGGAGCGAACGCCGCCATGGCAAAGCCTCCCTAAACTTGTATGCAAAGTAGCAAGCTGGTCAATGCAGAATGGCAAGCTGAGAGGACGCTGGGACAGCGATACGCTCGAAGGTAAAGCACAATAAGCTCGGTCTGGCGAACCCAGTATCGCGAGAGGCCTCTGTGTTTGGCCGTATCTGTCCAGGTCAAAAGTGGACAAGGGGTTCTCGCTTAGTATTGGCGCGACCAATATCCTTTTGGAAAAGCTAACTAATGAAGCAATTCTGCCATTAGGTCAACATACGGCCGGCGATAAATTCTCGTCATGCATTATCATTATGCGGAATTGCTACGGTAGCCCATTAAGATCTTTCACGCAATCGACGGCGATTACCTTAGCTAGCTGACCTCACTGCTCATCCATTTGAAAGCCCGGCTTCATCAACTTGCAGACTCGCAACCCAAGCTCAAAGACCTAAGCATCTTCGAACAACAATAGCAACCCTCTAAGACGACTTGAATCCGAGAAGTTGAGTCTCTGAGATGGATAATAGGCTCGGGCGGATGCTGGCTGCTGCCAGCGGCATGGGCGGTATGAGTGCTGCTGGCCCTGGCCAAGTAAGTCATATCTCTATATTTTCGAAGTTCAATTTCATCAGATTCATCCCAACTTTGCTTTTGGAAGATTTATATGCATCACGGAATGAGTGCTCTGCAGACCTGGAATTGCTAATCTTTGTTTCGTTAAAGGATACGAACCTCATTGATAACTCGGAAACCGTATATATTTCTTCCCTCGCTCTACTCAAGATGCTTCGTCATGGTCGCGCTGGTGTTCCGATGGAAGTAATGGGGCTCATGCTTGGAGAGTTTGTTGATGATTACACGGTGCGTGTGGTGGACGTATTCGCTATGCCTCAAAGCGGTACTGGAGTCAGTGTCGAGGCAGTCGACCCGGTCTTCCAGACGAAGATGATGGACATGCTGAGGCAGACTGGAAGGTTGGTATTTCTGTTCCTTGCGGTCTTTCCGGGACTTTGCTAATTGGAGGTTAGACCTGAAACCGTTGTTGGATGGTACCACTCGCATCCCGGTTTTGGCTGCTGGCTTTCGTCCGTCGATATCAACACACAGCAATCTTTTGAGCAGCTTACACCAAGAGCTGTTGCCGTCGTTGTGGATCCCATTCAATCCGTCAAGGGCAAAGTCGTCATTGATGCCTTCCGATTGATCAACCCGCAGACCCTGATGATGGGTCATGAGCCCCGTCAAACAACCTCGAACTTGGGCCATCTCAACAAGCCATCAATACAAGCTCTCATCCATGGGTTGAATAGACACTATTATAGCATAGGAATCAACTACAGGAAGACGGCCCTTGAGGAGAATATGTTGATGAATCTCCACAAACATGTTTGGACCGAAGCACTTCAGATGGATGACTTCAGAAAAGAGGGCGAGCGGAACCAGGAGAAGTTACAGCGCTTGGTTGGATTGGCAGAAGGATACGAGAAACGGGTCAAGGAAGAGACCGAATTAACCAAGGATCAATTGAAGACAAGATATGTCGGCAAGGTGGACCCAAAGAAGCGTACGCAATCCCGTCCAACCCGCGATCTATTAATGATACCCGCGCTGACCTGAATCATGTGTGCAGATCTTGAAGATGTTGGTCAACAACTGATAGAAGACAACATTGTCTCAGTGTCCCGGCAGATGATCGACAAGGAAGCTTCGGTCGCCAGGACAAACGGTGAGGCTAGTGGCGATCAGCAGGGGGATATGGAGGTGGACGATGCATTATAGTTTGATGGTCACGAGCTTCTTTTTGGTCATCTATTTTCAGAAGTGCTGCCATAAGCATGTATCATACTGGAATAGGCGCAAGCGAATCTGATTTTTATGTTTTTCCGACGGAAAGGTTGCGTGGCTCGGCAACAACTAGGATAGAGCATTTGCCAAAGGCTTCAGTGTTCTTGCATCCGAGGCCCGTCAATAGCTTAAATTTAACCGCTAAACATCCAGTGTGGTTAAGAGCATAATCAACAACGCCTTGAGTGTTGACGCAATTCGAAAAGTAATCTTGCATGGTTCCCTACTACGTATTCAAGGAGAAGTACCTCCCAAGAGTTGCAGTCAATGCAAGCGCGGCATGTAGTTTCCCGAAGTGGACACGGAGAAGATGCTCTCGGGGGCCAAAGAAACTGGTGGCCCTAGAAAAAGGTCGGGGCCCCAAATGATGGAGAAAGGACGCACCCCACGGGACTTTGAAAGTGACCGCGTCAGCGACACGTCGCGATGTGCAAGACACAGGATCATTTTCTACTTTTGTCAAGTTTCGAAGTGCGAAAACCAAGCTAAGTCGTCTTTTCTTTCCCTTGCCGATATCTCGCTCGGTTCAAGCGTTGATGACCAAGCCGTCGAGGAAACAAAGAAGGCATGGACCATGGGAGCGAGATGTGGCATGGAGTGACAGCGGGTCGAGGTGCCCCTTAATCAATTGATGGCGTGGAAGGCACCGGAGGGTCTAAACCGGGTCAAGCAGGAGGTGGAGACGATCTTTGCGTGGACAGTCCAATGCCAAGCACCCAACGGAGTAAATGCCGACACGGAAAATATTCTTCGTCACGCAGGTACTTAGTCTTTCGATTATTTTGCCCTTTTCACACTCTGGCGCCACAGCGCCCCCTGCTACGATAGGTTACCCCCATACGCAAACTACAAAGCGGCGATATCATTGGACCTGACGAGAAAATGTTCCATTGATTTTACCCTTGGAAAAAAGATAACATGGGCACACGGTCCGCCATCGGCGCAATCGTAATGCTGGGCTGGATCACACTATTGTTTCTTCCCATGATTGATGTCCTGGTTGCTGTCTTCATTCCTTTTTTCCCTTTTCCCTTCTCTTTTTCCCTTTTCTCCTTGAATTCTTTTCCCATTTGTGCCTGAGTACTGACACTGCAAGTCTGCCCTTTGGGGTTGCACAATCCCCTCCACGAGGCATCACTAAGCGATTGGCAATGGCAGCGTCCAAGACCTTATCGTGGTTGAGCGATAAGCTCAACCCGGGTAAGGTCAATTTGTCGTTGGGTTCCCCCAAGCATTACTATGACCTGATACCTGGCTTCGATGAGGAGGATGTTCGCAGTCTCAGCACAAGGCTTCAACGCCTTTCCCCGGCGGCATCCCTTTCTCGCCGAGGCTTTCGGCGTCCTGCCCTATCCTCGAGACCGCTGCGTTTGATCGCCCTGGCAATACTGCTGGCAGTAAGCCTTGGCGTCTTCCTGCATCTTGGCTTCTACCCTCATTCAGGGAGCCATCGGAAAAGACACTATAATTGGGAGTCATATCCTAGGTATGCTTATTTCCCCACAATTGATGATCATGCGTGCGAGATTCGGTCTCTGATGCGATGCAATTAGAATCAATGGTTATTATAATGGCATTCGAACGATTGTGAACTCGAGCGACTATGTCGCAGAATATCCTGCCAGTGGAGAGTACACTGCTGCTCCCGCTATCTCAACGGCTTCCGGAAAGCCATCTCTAACCTCCTCGGCAATTCCTTTGGCAACACCTTTCCAACCATATCCGGATTACAATTCGTCCGAATATCTCTCCCAGTACCATTCTGTCGAGGAATGCTATCTAGACGAAGCCAACACAAAGCAACTGCCGGACGTCTTCGTCTATCCGGGAATTCCCCAACATCAGCCAGCTCCTCAAATGGGGTCGTATCAGGAGCTGGGCATTAGAGACGACGTCTGCTTTGAGCGTTTTGGGAGATTGGGGCCCTATGGTATTGGTTACGAGGAAAAGATGGGCGGCACAGGAGTTGGAATGAAGGGCGATAATGACGGCAGCGAAATCGTCTGGAAAAAGAACGGTTTTGTGGATTGGCGTGGAACTAAATGGGGAACGCTTCAGAAGCAATGCTACGAACGAAACAAGCAGCGATTTCCTCCAGCCCCAACGAAGACCTTGGGGCAACGTGGATCAACTACATCGGATGAATCTGTCGACCAGCTCAATGTGCGCAGCGATAGCGACAAAAAGCATCTTCCCCGTACGGTCATTGTCTTGCGCACGTGGGACTCATGCAAATACCCGCCGCATCTCTTGGCCTCAATCCGGGCCATGATAACAGAGCTGTCGCTGAAGTCTGGCGGCGAGTACGATGTCCATTTCCTTGTGCACGTGAAGGATAACAGCATACCAATTTGGGCATCCGAAGAAGTGTATCAAGAGAAGCTCAAGAAAAGTCTTCCGGAGGAATTTTGGGATATGGCTACACTCTGGTCCGAAAAGCAAATGGAGTTGGTCTATCCTCCACCTTTCGGCAAGGTTTTTGAGAATAAGAGCGGAGGTGGCGTGCATGGAGTCTATCGGAGCTCTCATTTCTGCATGCAATATTTTGCGTCCCAGCATCCCGAATACGATTTCTTTTGGAACTGGGAGATGGATGTACGCTATAGCGGCCATTACTATGAATTCCTTGACCGTATCAGCCAATGGGCCAAAGCACAGCCCAGAAAAGGCCTTTGGGAGCGAAACGCCAAATTCTATATCCCGGGCTATTATGGAACCTTTGATAACTTTACCAAGGTTGCCGAGGAAGAAGCATTGATCCCTGATGACAATGGCGATAACATCTATATCAATAATCCCGGCTTGAAAACCCAAAAGAAACACAAAGGCAAAAGCAAGACTCACGGTGGAAACGAGCTCCTTCGCGAACAGCCCAGACCCGTTTGGGGTTATGTCGATTTCCCTGGTCGCCAGAGTTTGGGCGAATCTTATGACATCAAACCGCCAACCACTTATGCCGAAGACAACTATACTTGGGGTGTCGGCGAAGACGCAGACATTATCACTTTCAACCCGCTCTTTGACCCTGACAACACGACGTGGATTTTCCGAAACGATGTTACCGGCTACAACACCAGTTTACCTGTCCCCCCTCGACGCGTTGCACTTATAACACTCTCGCGCTTTTCTCGCCGCCTCCTCATGACTATGCATGCGGAGACCTACAAGCTGAGGCATACCATGTTTACGGAGATGTGGCCAGCCAGCTGTGCTCTGATTCACGGTCTCAAGGGCGTCTATGCTCCGCACCCTGTCTTTTTTGACCGCGCCTGGCCGCCTGCGGAACTTGACCATGCATTCAACGGCGGCCGACATCATACCGCTGGTGGCAACGTCACATCTGTCTTTGGTGTCGGAGAGCACAACTTCCAGGGCAGCAGTTTCTTTTACAATGCCGGCTTTGCTGGTGCGCTCTGGCGACGATGGCTAGGCTTTTCGGAAAACAATGAGGGTGGTCCAAAGAAGGAAGTTAATGGAACAGGCCGAATGTGCATGCGCGGCGTGCTGGTACATCCTATCAAGCATGACATTGGACCTGATGAGTAAAATGCGTCAGTGATGTCAACGTGATTATTTTCTTTCAATTTTCGTTTGCGGTAGAGGGTAAAGACTTGGAGCGTTGTGGAATCTTTCTTGGTACCATTGGTCGATATTTTGATTTAACTACTAATACCCTTCGGAGCAGCTTTAGGCACTGCTCCATCTCGTTCTTCTCTTCTTTCCCACTCTCATCATTTGGCGAAAAGTCCAGCGTTTTACATCTTGTAATTAGGGCAGCGCAGCGGGCTTGCGGGTATATATTATCACCATGCGGATTTCTGCGAAGACAACTCGGGTATAGAATCAAGAGGTTTATACATCAAAATCCGATTTGATTATTTTTTTTAATTTCTCCAACAACATTGTCAAGACTATCCAAATCTATATCAAATTGTCCTATCGTCAAATCATGCAACTGCCGCGAACAGACTGTGCCTATGCATCATTAAATATGTCTCATCATTATGATCATTACGGTTATCTTCATCCTCTTCGCCATCTCGCCAGCCCCTGTTAGAGCCCCACGTTATTCTTTTCCCAGCTCTTCTCGTGTCTTGAAGCAGGCGACTCATTAATTGGTCCTTCTTCTTGACCGAGGGCCAGGCGTCGAACTCAATGATCTCTATACTCGGCACACTTTCCATAATCGCCTTCAACAATCTTGTTGCAAACGTGGTGTAGAAGTCCTGATCGACACGAAACCCTTGAAACACTTCATGGGAAGGGTCGCATTCGATGAATATTTTCAATTTTCGCACATTCTTCGCGTCTGACAGACCGAGCTTCGGTGTGACGGCTTGCGTTTTCGGCGGAGATGTCCAGCCCCGTCCCAGACAGAGCTCAAGCGAGGACACTGATGCGCGATAGTGGGGAGGGAGTCGAACAAAAAGCGGCTTTTTCGAGAAGAAACGCCCGTCCATGGGAAACAGCCGGAATGTATTGCGACCGTAAAAGACAGGATAGGCTTCTTCGTAAAACTGCTTGGAGGTAAGGAAACAATCAAGCACTGGAGCAACCAGGCGAGGGTTGGATGGAGACATGTCGATAGGTACAGGCAGACGCTCATTGTGCACGAGAACAAACTCGTAGATGCGATCTCGAAGTTCGTAAGGAAGGTCGAAAAACCGGAACGGCCCAGTCCATGGCAGCAATCGTCGAGCACGACGTCGCGAAGCCAAACTGGGAACAGATCCTTCAGGCGCTGAGGTTGGAGCCAGAGTCTGAGCATTGATCGTTCTCGCCGCGTCTTCCGTTGAGCCCCGTATTTGCGATCGATCAGGTGCAAGACCAGCTTCTGTCGACGGCTCCGCTCTGGAGGCTTCAGCGAAGGGTTTATACGCAGCGATATCGTCGGCCAGCGATGATACGGGGGGAGCCATGACTATGTCGAGATTGACACGACAATGAGGCAATCCTTGCCTTTGTTCACAAGGTCAAAGAAACAGCCTTGATTTTACAAGATCTTCTTAGAAAATGAGATGATTGTTATATAGACATAATAATGATCACTTTGATAGCGATGGACAAGAGGAAACGAGGCCGCCAGGAGAAAGGACAGTTCAAGTTTGTGGCCGAGTGGTTGAGGGAAAATGCGGAGAAGGATGAAAGGATTGGAGGGGATATATCGTTCTAACGGGAGTAACAGCTCATTTCGAAAGGAGCTGTTCTTCTTGGACGAACGACTCGTCACAGAGACTTTTGGTCTCCCCAGCTAATACAGCTCCATGTCCAAATGATCAAATGATGGGACATCAAGCCAAATTTGTTCTGGGTGAATTATTTCAACTTTCTGAAGAGAGAAGAAAAAGAAAAAGGAAGAGAGTCACGAGAGCGGTGGAGTTTTGTAGTTTGTGAAAATGCATTGTTGGTCACTGCGGTATGCGGTATACGCTTTCTCGAATTTTTGGCATCATCACTGCTGTATCGTTAGATCCGAGTCTGAGACGACCATCCACTGGGGGAGAGAACCAGTAGAGCAGCTTGATCATTGTTACTGCTTCATAGCATTTCCATCCAACAACACCAACACCAGAGCCATTTGTAGCGGCACAAAAAGTCATTAATCTGTCATGCTTTCCAGGGCGGCCGCTCGCGCCCTGGCAGCGAGGAGTGTACGCACTCCCGCCGCTTTCCAAGTTGCCAATGCGAACCATTGGACGAGAACTTTCGCCAGCGACAGCAAGCTGCCACCATCTTCAAAACGGTGGGCAAATTATAATGCCCCGAAAGGAGCAAAACAGCCAACCTCGTCGTCGGAGCCTGTGAAGGAACCCAGCCAGCAGAAGACCCCGATGCAAGGCGCGCCGGCTACCCCGTCAAGCTCCGCTGCTGAAAAAGCTGAGCAGCCGTCAACAACAGCACAGGAAACACCCTCTATCAAAGACCTCCCCGACCTTACCCAAGGTATTCCCTCAACACTCGACCACGAAACCGCCGGTTCTACCTCGGAGCAGTTTGGCTCGTCCACTCTCAACCTTACCGAAGATCCTGCCCAGACTACAAGTGGCCGCGGCGGAAAGGGTGACGGAGAACTTCCCAAGTCCGCATATGTCTCTTCGGTAGAGCGCCGCCGAATGCGCGTCGCCAACTACATGTACGCCTCCTTTTTCCTCTTTTGCGTCACTGGATCGATCTACCTTGGTCGCAACTGGGAGACCGAAGAAGAGGAGAAGCAGCATCCCGAGACGCCTTCTGGCTGGGGCCCGGCCCTCTTCTACGGACGTGCAAAGGCTCGTGTGGCTGATATGTTGGATTACTACAACGAGCCAGCTTTCCCCAAGCTGCTGCCCAACACTGACCCAGCGTGGGAGCGTCCCTACACCTTGGTCCTCAGTTTGGAGGATTTGCTTGTGCACAGCGAATGGAGTCGGGAACATGGCTGGCGTATGGCGAAACGCCCCGGTGTTGACTACTTCCTTCGATACCTCAGTCAGTATTATGAGCTGGTCATCTTCACCACCGTACCCAGCATGATTGCCGACCCGGTCATCCGCAAGTTGGACCCTTTCCGAATTGTCATGTGGCCTCTTTTCAGAGAAGCAACGCGCTACAAGAACGGAGAGTATATCAAGGTGAGATTTATGAATAATCTTTTCGAATTGGTCACGAGTACTCATGTGATTCTTAGGACCTTTCCTACCTGAACCGTGACCTTTCCAAGGTCATCCTGGTTGACACGGTTGCTGCGCACGCCAGGCTGCAGCCGGACAATGCTATCGTTCTTCCTAAGTGGCAGGGCAATTCTAATGACAAGGAACTGGTTGCGTTGATTCCATTCCTTGAATACGTCGCGACCATGGGCTTTGATGACACACGCACAGTGCTCAAATCCTTTGAAGGCTCTCATATTCCGACTGAATTTGCCAAGCGCGAGGCTGTTGCTCGCGAAAAGTTTATGAAGCAACTTGAGGAAGAGCGCGCTCACCGTCCCAAGAAGTCCGGTGTTGGGTTGCTCGGAAGTCTGCTCGGCATCAAGCCTCCTGGCGGAGGACTTGATGGCATGGAGCCAACTCCTTCCGAAGGATTTGAGCAGGGTAAGATGCTTCAGGATCAGGTGCGAGAGCGAGGCCAAAAGCAGTATGAGTTCCTCGAACGTGAGATTCGCTTGAATGGTGAGAAGTGGCTCAAGGAGATGGCCGCCGAGGAGGAGAAGGCCAAGGATGAGCAGATTAAGGGCATGAAGCAAGGTTTCGTGGGCATGTTTGGTGGTGGAGCCAAATAAATGCCGTTGGGGACATGATGAATCTCATCTTTTTGCTTTGTGGTCACTGAGTGGCTGTTTCTTTTCATTATTCTTTCCATGGTTTTACTCATTTCAACGCCTCTCCTATTCCCATTTTATTTGCGCTTGTACACTCTCAGCATGGCGATTCCCGGCCCGCCCGGTTGGTCCTGTCACATGTCTATTACCTGCTCTCTTCCTCAAAAGGCTCTTGTAAAATAGTATTCATTTGGTTATTTGGGGGGGGTTGTCATATATATTGGACAGTTTGTTAGTGAAAATACGCAGTAATTTCTTCAAATGAACAAATAATTAAGATATCTCATGAGAATCTCATAAGCATTACAGTTAGATTGACCGTGGGGGTTTTTACGAGTCGGCAAAATGCGGTAATTATTAGTATTCATGAAATTGAAAATAAATAAATCTTATTGAAAAAATATTTTTAGGTTCAAATGTCATGTCCATAATGCTAGTGAGAGATAAATTAACTTTTTGTTTCATCAGTAACTGCTTTGGAAAATTTTCTAAGTTACAGCCCTTATTTCTTGCTGTCCTGTTTATTTATTGAATTGTCTGAATCTAATCATGACCCGTCGAAATATACGTCATTTGAATGTTCCTATTTTTAGAAATTCTATATCAACGTCCAGACCACGGAGCTCATAATAATGTCTGGGCCCCAGTCCCACATTTGAGATCGCGTTTCTTTTTGTTGAATTTTCATATCCCATAAGACTATATGATTTACCTTGCCGCAGTGCAATTTTAGATCTCCTTAGCGGTCTAACATGGGTATTTCCCCCAGACTTAAAATCTGTGATGCGACTGGCTGTGCAACCGCTCGGTTGACGCTTGCGTTGTCCCCTTGTCCCGTGCATCTCAGCACAGACCGGGGCTACGAAGAGAGGCTGAGCCCTGCATCGTTCTCGGCGTGTTTGAGCAGCAATAATGTTAGATTTCTGAGGGCTTGTGTCAATAATCTCCCTTGACATTGCTATTCTACCAATGTCTCTTACCATGGCTCATTTATGACATTTCTCACCTAATGAAGCCATGAACCCAGGGCAAGCCAATCGTTCATCCGACGCCTCGGCAAAGGGGGTCGCGCAAGGGAATGCCACCGCTGGCCTGGGACGTGGGTCCGATGTCGAAGGGGCTTCATTGTCTCGAGCAACGGGCTTCACTGGGTCCGTAGAGGCCGCATATTCGGCTGCAGCAGCTGCGCCAAAGACTCGATACAAAACGCCTTTGGCATTCAGTAGGCTTCCTGACTCCGTCATCGAACAGTATGCGCGGCCAAATTTCGGAATCCCCACCTCCGAACGAAACTCTACTCTAGATACAGCAAACAGCTAACCGCTCTTGTTTTCTCACATTCAGTATATTAATTCTCGCCGATCCCAATACATTTTCATCACTCGTATATTTGAATAAACACTGGTATCGGATCTCCCAGCAAGCTAGGCTATATGCGCATCAGCTCTCTCGCTGTGCGGACACAGCAACATATTCATCAGAGGTTGTTGGAACATATGCCGCTCATTCCGGGACTGCTGTGGTCGCAGAACACGATCTCCCTTCTCTTCGACAAAAGTTCGCCATAGAGGCGAAGCGGAGTTTGTTTGCAGCTTACGGCGTAACGCGGAAGACCATTGTCAACCTCATCCCACCAACTGCTAGCTCCTCGGTAGCTACTCCAGTCGGAGAAACTCTCCGATTTTCGATCACACATAATGGACATAGAGTTCTTGCGTGGAGTTCATCAAGGATATTCGTCATTTCTACGGCGATCAACATACCGAGGGTAGAGCGGCAATTCAAAGTGCAAAGACGGCCGGTGACAGCGGAGCTTGATGATTCTGGAACGACACTGGCAGTGTTGCTCGTCGATCACCGCATTAATGTGTATGATATCAAGAGCCCCAAGGCTGCCCGAGTGTGCAGCGTCCTTCCCGACAATACTCCTCGAGCAATTGCATTGTCTCCAGACTCCTCGGTCCTGGCTGTTGCCTTTGATGGAGGTGTAGAGATACACTCTTTGATTCCTGGCAGCCTTCCATCTTCCAGGACTGTGAAATGTGATCAAATCGACGACTTGTCATTTTCAAGAGACGGTTCTGTCTTGCTTGGAACTACACTTCAATCTTCCTCAACGGGAACTGTGATTTTATCGGCTCCACCGTTTGCGCCGGAGGGAAGCGATGATTCTTCTTCCCATGGAATAAATCAGACATGGACGACCCAAATCATCTTTCCACAGTCCAGCCGTCATCTGAGTCATGCCGTGATTCTACCTCATGTGATAGATGGTGAGACTGGCTGGGTCTTCGCTTTTGACGAGATTCAGAGAGCTTTCAGGGCTGTTCGTATTGAGGACCCAAATACTGGATATGATCTATTTACATTATCATCATCGGGCAGCCAAACGACCGTGACGCTACCAAAGGTGAATCCAAGCGCTTCTAATGGTGGCGGCCTGGTTGTCGCTGCTGGTCCAGGAAATCAAGTCTATTTCTATAAAGTCCCAGAAATCCTGGACGAGGCATTCCCCAAAGCCAAGACTTTCACAGGTCGCCGAATTCCAGTAATCGAGGACTTATCTGCGATTCAATGGGTCTCCCTCCAAGAGGGGCAGCATTCCGATGTATCTGATCATTGCCGATTACTTGCGACGGCTCAGGGAAGCCATTCCAGTCCCGACGATTACGATATTGACGGGTCTGACTCTGCAGAAGGTGGTCGACTTCTATTATTCGACTTTGGCCATCTTATTGGTGATGAAGTATCCATAAGTATGTGTTTGAATCTGGGAGAAGGTGAACCTGAATTACTAGAAGAGGAAAAATTGCATCATGAAGTCGAGGTCGCCATTGCCCGTAGACGGACCATTGCGCAGGGGAGGTCTGTTGCTAGCAGGTCGACGGAATCAAACCGCGGAAACCCTGAGATAGACGCAGAACCTACCACGCAAACAAACTCGAGAGGCCGGATTCATTCGGAGCGCCGTCGACAGCAGTCAGATACACCGTTGGCAGCATCATTAACTGAACCTTTTCAACCAAACCACCCTACTACAGCCTCTCCTGCTAGTGAAGAGATCCCGGTTAATGAAACCCAGGATATGTTTGATACCCCGTATTCGCACAACCAACCTCGTTCGCCTTCAACACTCCAACGCGCTGCGACAGCTGCCGCCGCCAGCAGGTCGCGCTCAGAGAGAGAACCTGAGCCAGTGGTGGCACAGCCTCAGATTCAACCTGCAGACGATGCTGATGGATGGGTTGCGCCTCCACCGCCTTACAAACCGGATCCTGACGAGCCGTTGCCTGAGCACCTCCGACTGACTTTACTCCCTCGAAGCACCGAGCCTGTACGAAGGGTGACGAGCTTGCCGGACCAGCCTCCTCGAGCAGCCACTGACTTACAACAACACTTGTTATCTGCTGGGACGATTGGGAGATCGCGTAGTAGAATTGGCCGCGCCAGCGCATCTTTGAGTGCAGGTCTTTTCCCGGGCAGAAGCCCATCTAGTGAGCGGCGACGGAGCCGAAGCAAATCGCCGTCTCCGCAGCCTGAAGACTCAGTCACAACATCCCGTCGAAGTTCGGACTTGGAGCTCTCAGCCAATATAAGCCCGGTCTCTGGGCTTAGCCTTCCCAGCGCAGAGCAGCTGGCAAGTTTGCAAAACCGGGTATCCCGTCCGCCGATGCCAGAACACTCACAAAGCGATATGTCGAATACTCGCTCACAACGGCTCTCTCCATCGAATGTTAGACCGTCATTGTGGTCAGTCGACTCCATGGCGGATACCCAGCAATCATCACCACCCGAAGCCGGAACAAGAGCCAGTAGGTCTGGTCGACGAGGATCTGCATATTCTTCATATTCGTCAGCGCCCGATCTCCAACGCCCTAATCTGACGAGGTTAGAGACAATTCATAGCGTATCGTCTCTCATCTCGCACTTATCCCGGCCGCAGTCTCGGCCGAGATCACGAGAGACACGCTTCGAGGCATTTCCGTCACGAAGTAGGTCGCAGACGGCGCGGCGCGCATTACGACGACCACCACCACAGCGTACGGCATCTGCTTCTGGCTCGCGCTTTCAGGAGGTTGGTTTGGGGCCGGTTACCAACGGCAAGGCCACCAAGGCAGAGAAGAAGGCGGCGAAGAAGATGAAAAGGAAAGATCGAGTAGGCGTGAATGACGAAGGGGAGAGACGGGCCGACGCGACAGCCGCAGGCGATACAACTGCAGAGGGCGGGAAGAAGGCGGCAAAATGCATGGTCATGTAGGGGGCATGTTCCTGACCAGGCACGTTTTGAGTAGCGTTACTTTTTGCGAAAAAAACGCACACTTGGGTGTTAAATATACCTATGCCGTATTTGACAAGGCATCTGCATTCTAATTTACTCGTACAAACAAATATAAAGACTAATTGCGAAAATGGCTTGCAGCCCGCAGGGGTAGTTGTCGTCATCAATTTTGCAGGCAGAAGCAAAAAGGAATGGGATGTCTGGGAAATCTAAACGTCCAGCTGATCGTTTTGGACGCGGGTAAAAGTGCGCCAAGGCATGGGAAGAACATTCTACGGTCGTTCTGGAGGTAAGCTGGGCATGAGGCGCATGCAGGTGCAGCTCAAGCTGTAACGTACGTTAGAGGGACCATCCGCTTTAGGGAACGGAAAGCGAAATGCCCATTCGGGGAACATTCGGTCGAGAGGATACAGGGTAGCAAGACAATCCGATTCATCACACCTGTACGTTTGTACATGATAGCTTCATGTTCTTCGCAGTAAAATAAGCATTGGCTGCACAGACTTCCTCTGCTACGGTGCCATATAATATCCATCCTGCAATGATGCGCATTTGTGTCTACGGAGAACTCTTTCATGACGTCGCTGGGGAATTTAGCGAGAGGCGATAAGATTGAGAGATTTGTTAACAGTAATTAGTTCGGTTTAGTTAAGACTTATAGTGGAGAAATACTTGGTACATTTGGAATAACAAGCATTTTGGACGGCTTGGCTTCTCTTGGGGGCCGAAACGAGCTGGGACAGAAACAGCAACAAAGCTCTTTTTCCCCTGGTAGCATAATTGTGATACGCTCTACTGTGGAAAGGCGGAGTAATTCGTCTGAGCAGCCTTTCCGTTGTAGTTGTACAAAGTGTAGATCGATATGGTGGTCAGCAGAGGCACTTGACTATTCCTCCGCTCGCGCTCCACTTTCTTTCAGCCTCACCCCGCCCTCGTCCAGAGAGGAACCGGACCAACATCTCCCCTTCTACTAGATACATCTGTAGTACTGTGGTGGCTCTATTACTCCCTGCCGGCGCTAGTCAGGCAACGACATAACGGACCTATCGGTTGAACAGGGCAGTGCTTGTCAGACTCGCGCATGGCTAAAAGTATATCGTCCTCCACATGACATGATAACTCGCCTTCGATTTGACACCTCTAGTTTCCAATCCCTCAATATAATAGCATTGACGCCTCGAAGAGACATGACCTTTGAGGCTCTCTCTATACCCTTTTTCATATAAATACTGATCTCATTTCCTCTCCAAATCTATCTCCTCTGGAAGCTCTATTCTCATCTATATTCCCAAAGTCTATTCTATCTCTTCTTACATCTGTGTCATTTCAGCTTCCTATTCATCCTCTCATGCAGCATCATTTATAGCCAGAAAATATGACTCAAGAGAAAGCGTCTCTGTCCGAGGGCGTCAAGGGCGGAGGAGACGTGCAGGCCGAGCCAGCTGAGGATGCCGCTCCATCCTACACGCCACCTCCTCCTGGTTATTCTCAGACTCCGCCCGATCTCCATCTGATCTTGGATAATCTCAATCTGGAAGACGAAAATGCCGCCAAACCCACCGTCGACGAATGTATAGCTCACCTGAAGCTGCTCGAGGCTTTCTACAAGCTCCGAGAAACCGTCTCCCACACCGATGGCTTGTTTGGCATCTACGACAACCTCGCCCCGCAAGCTGGAGATGAGAAGCTGCGTGGACCCGCCCTGGCGAAAATCGCAGAGAAGCGATGGTCAATCTATGTTGCCCGCGCCGCGGACAGGTTTGAGCGCTGGTGGGATGCTTGTGTTCCAGCGTCGATATCAGGTCGTACATTTCCAGACCCTCTTGCTGCTCGATTGAGGGAGGAACAATTAAGCCCGGTCAGCCAGTTCGAAAAGTTCCCTACATTAGGTGCGCGGCTAAAGTATAGCCCTGACAACTTACCACCTCTCGGTATGGAACCGTCACATTGATTTTGAACCCTTTACTGGGATCATGGACATGACAAGCTGACTTCGGACTAGATGTGCTCATGGTTTGGCATGCCTACATGCTGAACCCGCGAAACTTCTTCGAGGACTGTGTCCGCTTCGGCAAGATGGATTTCTGGGAGACTGGAATGCCCTGGGAAGCAGTGGACAGTTGTATCGACTCGACTTCTTTCACCTATACGCCCAGCAACGCCGCGATAGAGTTATTCGCGTCTCGTACTAGCTTAGCGTGGGATAACCTGCAGGATGGACCGACCAAGGTGTTCGCATGCCCCAAGTGTTCAACGCAGGTGGCATGTCTGTGGACGAGCTGGGACCGGATTCGACGCCCAGAGGATGACCCTCGAGAGGACCTGACAGCTAGATTCGACACCGAGGCGCTGGCTGGCTTCGCCGAGAGGTCGTTCACCTCCACATGCCCAAGCTGTCGTTTGATTTTCTCGCACGACATTTTACGGCTGCGAAAATTTGGACGTGATCTGCAGCTTTTGCTTCGAGAGAACATTGTCATGCCAGGGACTATTCTCTCGAGAAGCGGCATGCCTGAAAGCGCCTCTAGGGTATTTGGTCTTGCCACTCATCCTCCCTTGTTTCCCAACCGCCTGCTCAAGGCGGACAGTGTTCGCGGTAAACTTGCCGCTCTGGTCGACTTTGCTGGGACCGACGCAAACTTGATGAGTATCCGGACCATGAACTCGGTCAAAAATATCATCTCGCTGGCATTGGAAGATCGCAAGCTCTGCCGACAAGTGAGTGGCCGGGCTGTGACCAAATTGGCTTATAAAACGGAGCGCCTGGCAGTGCGTCGAATGATGAGCCGGTATTGGGACAATTCCTCCGTCTTTGCTCTTGACCTTGTTGGCGCCGTCATCCGCCAGGGCGCCTTTGTCGAAAAGATGCATCAGATAGACTGGTTGCATAGCCCAGCGCTGTCCGTCACCATCGAGCGTCTCCGCGTCAAATACGGGCGGTTTTTCCAAATCATGACGGCCAACCCTGGCAAAGTTGCTGTGCCAACTCTCGACGTTGATCTCGCCTGGCATACGCACCAGTTATCTCCGCCGTTCTACTTTACTTACTCGGCTTTGACTACCCGTATATTTGTCGACCACGACGACAAGGTATATACCCTCTTCCTCTCCCCCTCCTTCCCCTTCTCAACTGCAAATTTCTGACTCAGATACTTCACTCCAGATTGTTGAGAGCGACCTCTCGACCTACTTTGAATGGACGTCCAAGGAATATCAGAAACTGTTCAACGAAGTGTACTCTGAATGCAGCTGCTTCTACTGCGAGTCCGTTCGGGCCAGCCACTCCAACCCCATCAGCAGCCTCTTCAAGTCCTCGTCGTCGGATCCCTGGGAGATATTCCACAACTCCTCGCCGGCCGCGAAACTCGATCCGTCCAAGACCGCCCACATTTCCGCCCACAGCGCCGTCTCGCCCCGGGACGTCAAGAGCAGCATCTCCAAATCGGACAAGTCCGCCCAGCTCGCCACCGCGTACGAAAAGGCATGCAAGCGCGCTCGTAAAAAGGGCCGCAAAGAACCCGTCCGCGATGACTACTATTGGGCTTGGGGCTACCCCATGTTTTTCCCCGTCTACTACCCGTACATGGCCGACCCTTGCATCTCGAATCAGTCCTACGCTTGCAATCCCGCTTGCATGGCCCTCACGCCCGGTGTGCCCGGGAATTGCGCTAACGGATCGTGCGGCGGCGCGGCGGCTGCAGGCTCTTGTGGCTCCTTTGCCATGGGTGGATGCGGCGGTGCTGGTGGAGCCTGTGCTGGAGGTGGTGGAGGAGGAGGAGGATGCGGTGGAGGCGGAGGCGGTTGCGGAGGCGGCGGAGGCGGCGGTTGTGGTGGTGGGGGGTGTTGAGCCGTCGGTCCCCCGCCTCTGTTGTTTTTCTTTTTTTCTTTTCCATTTTTTCTTTTATTTTTCTTGTTTTCCTCTGGAAGAGTCTCGACGTCGGCGTTGTCCTAAGAGACGAGAGAAGTCTGTGGTGTGGAAAGTCCCAGCGGGGGGCCGGGGCCGAGGTCCCGGGGAAGGAGCGGATGGTGAAGAGGAGTTATGAATTGATGATTCCATACAGATGATGTTGATACTGACGATTTACGATGTATATTTTTGACTCTACATATGTATTGCAGTTATAGTCTACCTCCTCGACCTTGTGCGCTGTGCGTTGTGGGTTCTTGGATTCATGCTTATTGCATTTCATCTCGTCATCGTCGCTACTTACGTTATATGTTCTCAAGTCGATGCTTACATGTCCACTTTTATTTCCAGCGTCATAAGTATCATTACCAATCCCATAATATCAGACAATACACATATTACATTTACCCACTAAGCCTCAATATCTTACCTGACTTGAAACAGATCTCATTGTTTATTTACATTGATTGTTTATTTCCATTGATTGAGACAGAGTATGTGACAGTGCAGTACGTGTAGTACGTGCTAGATTGAAGGGGAAGAAAAATTGAAGGTATCCAAACACAGCTTGAAAAGTTGAGCTGAGATGGATATATTTGCAAATTGCATGGGTGTGTGCATGTGTGTGTGCATGGCTGGGTAATTGTGAAGAGAGAGTCGAGACGACGCATTTTGATTGATTGAATAGTATTCTGGAAAAAAAAAAATGACTGGAAGAGAAAGAAGACTCAAAAGAGGTCAAGGGGTTTAAAAAGGAAAAGAAACGAAGACGCAAAAGACGGGGATAGGGGTACAGGAAGAGATAAGAAGTTAAATGATAAAAAGGAAGAAGAGACACATCTAAATCAAAATATCCTCATCCGAATCCTCATTATCACTGAATCGCCATTCGGGCCGCAGGATCCCATAGTCGACTTTCTTCACGCGTCTGCCGCGCGACGATGTAGTGACTTCATTCTTTTCACCAGCACCATCAACGCCTACGTCATTATAGTGAGAATCGTTTTCAAGCTTGATACCACCTCGTGCCTGGGCAAGTTTGTTCTTCTTGTGGTTGTTGTTGTTGGTGGAGGAGGATGACAAGGGGGTTTGATGTACGGGCGTGACTGGTCGTACTGGTCGAGGTGGGAGAAGTGAATGTGGTGGGCGGGTAGCGGGTGTAGATCCAGCAGCCGTACCCGCTGCGTCAGTTGCAGTTGAAGACGCGGTTGCAGTTCCAGTCTCGTATAACGCGATTGTAGGATTAGTAGTAGAAATAGTAGCAGGATTAGAAATAGTAGTGGTTGTTGTTGTTGGCGGTCGAGCACGACCACCTTCACTGCTACCGCCGCTACTCATGGTAGCTAGTCTGCCGCCAAAGAGTTCCAGGACGCTATTCCCCACAGGCTTGTTAGTGTTAGAATGTACGTCTGAGACGCGAGATGTCGTTGTGGTCTTCGACGTTGGCGGATGTTTCCGCGTACTAGGAGAAGACAGGTTCGGGTCGTTTCCACGCTTGGAACTGCTGATATGTGGAGTTGCTGTCGTTGTTGTTTTCGTGCTGGACGGGGGTTTGAATAGGGGAGATATGATAATGGGGTCTTCCAGGGATGTATTAATACTTTTGGCGTTTGCGGCATTCGTGTCGATAATTCCTGAGAGACGAGGACGTTTCGTAGTCTTCTTTTTTGTTGCGCTGGTGGTGGATACTGCGCCGGGAGTACTTTGCGCAGGTTCCGCGTTCCCACCGGTGCTTGTGGTCCGTTTTTCTGGTTGGTTGGAATTCTCGTTGCGGGGAATACCGCCGAAGATCATCTGCATGAGTACGTCGTGATCTTTTGATGACGACTCCAAATCAGACAAGGAGTCTTCGCGATTACGCTTCAACGTGCTCTGACTTTTCCCCATGGTTCTGTTGGGACCTGGCTCTTGAGCTTCGGTTTGATGGGTGGCGCCCGTAGGGGGAGGACGACGGCCGGGACGATGAATATCGGCTTCTTCGTCTTCTTCATCCTCGTCATCATCCTCGTCGTCTGGGAAGAGTTTACGGATTATGCGAGTTGAAGAGGGGCTACCAGATGGCTGTGAGTTGACGGAAATGGCGTCGTTAAACCCCGCGTTGGCCTGGCCATCTTTTACTTCGTCAGACTCGCTCGATGAGTTTTCGGAGCTATGGCTGCTTGACGTCGTGATAAATAAACTTCCACTGAACTGAGCAGGTTTCCTCCGCTGGGTACCCGGATCCTGCCTCTCCTCCCATTCTTGCAGTGCAGCGACAAGCGCATCATAGTGCTCGTGATTCCAACCGGTACACTGCAGTAGCGTCCAATTCATACGCAAACGTGGGGTTCGTTTCCGATCAAAATACGAGATAATCTCAGCCTCAGTCATGTTCGGCCGGTCCAGCATTTTTCGAGTGAGCAGTTCCTCACCCCAAGGTGACCCGTGCATTCTAGAAGCAATGTCCTCCCGCCTGACCTCTGACCACAAATGCCAGACTTCAAGCGGCACAATCTTGCGTCGGGCGATTTTGTACTCGCCCGCATACTCCCAGCCAAGACCCCGAGGGCGACCATGTTTGCCACTTGGTAATGGTTTCCGGCGGAAGACGGGATATCTCTCACCAACTTCGCCTTGGCCATCTTGTTCGTCAACCAAAGTCAAGGCTCCATTGTATCCTGGGAGTGGAGCATATTCGTGAATGTCTGGATCGATTTTGATAACCTCTGGACAGAGAAAGACTTGTTGAGTCTGCATCTCCCGGCTAACCTTGGCAAATGTAGTGCCGTGTTCGTCATTGCGAGAGATGCCAAAAAGAGCGGAATTGATAAAGTTGTCGGGAAACACGACAGGAGACGGTGGGAGGCGAATGTCAAGCGCACGGGGAAGAGCAGCAAACTCGTCCTGCACGTCTTCCATAGCCTCTATTGCGCGAGTGTAGCGCTTGTCACCCGTGACACTGCTGGCCGGTTCATGACCGAGGCCATCGCCTCCACCGGCGGGCAGAGTGGCAAGATCAAAATCGTCGGGGGAAGGACGAAGGGACGAGGGAACAACTCCCGGATGCCTGTTTGGGCGGTCCATCACATCCTCGCTGAGGCGGTACAGACTGTCACCTGAATCCTCAGCTTCCTTCACAGCTGGCCTTGACCGTCCATTTGAAATCGTACTATCCAATGTTCCTTGCCTCGCATGTTCGTCCAGCGGTCGGCCAGCTGGCACTTTTTCAAGAGTCGCCTCTTCATCCAAAGTCTCCTCTCCATCTAGGAGCATAGAGTCCCCTGGAATAGTAAATGAATTGTCGTCTTCGAACATATCGGCTCTGGGTTGCCGAGGGTCCTGCCCGGGTGCAAGAGGTGCCTGAGACTCATTGAGCTGAGCGGCGTTCCTCTCTTCACCACTGTTCTCTATGCTTTTCTGGTGCACCGATTGCTTCTTCTCTGCCAGCACTTTGCGAAGCGAGTCCCTCACGGATCCCAACAGGTTTTCCTGGCCATGTTCACGATCCTCGAGATCTTGCAAGCTGCTTCGGATCTTGATGCTTAGCCCATCAATCTTGCGAGTATACTCATCAACAGCGCGAAGGTCGGTGCGCAAATCAAGTATTTGCGTATGAGCCTTTTGCGTACTTTGTGCGATGTTATCGAGGAGATTGTAAATGCCGACCAGTTGTTGATCATGACTGTAGTTAGCTATGTCATAATTGGGTCAGTATGAATTGAAGTTGGCTGGAAAATAAAAAAAAGAAGCTTTTGGGGAACGTACGGGCTTTGTCTTGGTCGGCATTTTTAATTTCATCATAGCTCTTCTGCCGTTGGGTTGGAACATACGCTTCCACGACATCTCCAGGGGCGCTGCCGCCCGAGATCCTAAATGTAGCCTTGACTGGAGTATTTTTTGCCGTTGGGGGAAATTTTCGTGGCGCTTTAGTTGAACCGTCGGCTGCCTTTGAGGGCCATGAGTCAAGAATTTCCGGATTGCTTGGCAAAGTAATCGGGTTTGGTGCATTAACAGGCGTGAAATTCGATCCGGCCTGTACTCTGTTTCCTGTAGCCTTGTCCTTGTCCCGCTGTGTACCACCAAAGAGTTGTCCGCCGCTTTTGCCCCCTCGGCGAGCTTTTGGCATGCGTTTCTTAGGTGTTTTCTGTCCCGTGTTCCTGGTCACCGGGGATTGCTCCTGGGGTTTTGGCGTCATTTCGTCCCAAAGATCCACCAACTTGAACCTTGCTCAAAACGACCAACTGATCGTTCCACCAATGATGTGTCCAATGATGCCCTTTTCCAGCCAAGCCAGGAAATACGACAAAAATTGATTGCAGGTTTGAGTGAAGATGGACGTGAGCAACAATGTGGTAAGATTTGTGTTGTGTCAAGATCAAGAGTGAATTGGGTAAATTGCTTCAAGAGTCGCTGTAGTGAAAAGACAATAAAACAGATGAAGCAACAGAGAGAAGTCCCTTCTGCAGCAGCAGAAACCCAAGTGCCCGTGAAGCGATGTGAACAGCAAACACAATGACAAAGGATTCTCTTATTGACGTCCAGCTATCGCTTTCCCAATAGAACAATCACTGTTCAAGTGAAGTGAATGGTGAAAGCAAAACCACCAGACAAAAAGTCAAAGTCTGCAGAATCGACCAGAAAGTCTAAACTCCCCTGACAACTGAATCCAAAGTCAAATGATGATGATCAGAGGAAAATATCTCGTGATTCAACGCAAAGGTCAAAAAGTAATCAGGTACCTCAAATGATGTCAATAATGAATAAGAATCAAATTCATCCTGAAGTCTGTGCGCCTTAAGTGTATTTTATACACCGCGCATCAATTGTGATGGGAAGGCTGTGCAGCTGCGCTTCTGCGCATGTTATTCAAAGCTGAAGCGAGAGGGAGCGGGATGTCTGTTGCCGTCACGGAACAATTGTCTCTCCGCCCATTTGCGTTGCCTAGTGGACGCCGGTTTACACGTTGCCGCACCCTTGCAGCGAGTTTATTCTATTTAGATCCCGATTGCAGCTTGACCAACGAAGAAGCCAGGTATCTCCATGTGCTAGGGAGTTTTGTAAAAAAGAAGCAGCAACGGTTGGCGCGTGATGCAGGAACAGTTCAAGAGTTGTCGCGTATCAGAAGTGGCGGATGCCTCGAGCCTGAGGCGTTCAATATGATTAGGCGACGTGGGGCCGCCGGGGCCCAGAGGGGGGGGGGGAGAAGAGGAGGAGCGTAGCGAGGCGGCGCCAGGTCCAACCGATTCAACGAGAACTCTCAATTCCAAGACCCCTCTGTACGTTTTGCAAGTGTGACGTTGTTCCTTGGATGGGCTCTAGAAGTTGTTGTGTAAATAAGCCGTAGTTGATTATAAAGCGAGTTGCGAATAGAATGATTGATGGGGTCAATGTTTCAAGCCAGATCGAGAGAGATGGGATTGACTGGCTGGTACTCTATGAAGGTTGAAGAGACCGAGGACCCCGGTTTTAGGTTCTGAGTTGTTGCTCTTTTACCGAGATATCACTAATTTTAGTGAGAAAACTCTAACTGTGCCGCAGCTCTGCATGAGCGAGTGACAGAGAAGATGGTGGCTGAGACGACAACTGTAGGATTGTCTGCAATGTGGCTATGAACGATGCCTGCTCAACAGCGATAAAGGGAATTATTAGTACATGAGTCATGAACTGGTTTCAGCACAAAAATAACCCATGCTTAACAGACGAGAGGAATAAAAATAAAATCCCATGAGAATGCCAGAAAAAAAAAACATACAACAGCGGGGATTCGCTGGTCGTCACCGACCCAACTACTAGTCCGCCGATCTGAGGCTTATGTATGGCAGAGCGGACGGGATGCCCAGTTCTCCTCAGTCTATGGTCGTATGTATTAGAAATGCTTCAACAATGATTCATATACCAAGGGCTTTGCGAAAAAAAATTGACGTTTTGTTTATTTCCTTCTTTCCAAACCTTTCAAAACTCTGAGCAGATGTGTGCACGAAGATGGAGATAATATGACATTCTTTGTTAATAATGCTTATTCTTCTACACTGAGTTCAAATAAAAAAAGGGCATAAAAGACATAAGGTAAGTATAATGCTACACCGTCAATACCACAACCACTCAGCTCCACGTTCAACTCCTTGCCCGCCCACCCCCAACCGAAACAATACACTCTCCACGCCTCATCCCATGCCTGTATACATTACACTTTTTTTTAATGAAACAAACGTCAACATGACAAGCTTTTCAAATAATAAAAATCATCATCTCCTCAATCACTGTATTTTTTCATACTTGAAATCCGAATGAAAGAGGCGTCCGACAGGAATAAAGAAGGCTAATTGGAAAAGCCAATACCGGCACCCACGGGGCAGTTAGGCATGTTCTTGTGCCAATGGGTTTTGGCGTATTCGGGCAAGTAAGTCTGGGTAGAAAATGACTGAGGCATATAATAGGTGACGTCGGAGGTGGTGTAGTTCGCTCCAAGCTGCTGGAAGGCTGACAGAACAAACTTGAGCATAAAGTCGGTAAAGACATAGTCGACTGTTTCGGGCTCGCTGCCGTCCGTGGGGAAGGAAGCGTTAGCCTGAAAGTCAATGGGAACGTCATAGTACGGGATGACGGAGTGGATGGTATCGTCGCCGTTAGTGCCAAAGTCGTCGGTGGTAGTATAACCGGGAGTGAGCTCCTGACGGCGGAGCAGCTTGCCTCCAGGGTAGGAGCGCGACTCTAGATGATTATGCGTGATCGGCGGGTCGACGCACGAGTCGCGCTTCGGCATGGCGCCATATTCAGGGGTACCGGTGAGGGCATCACGCTTCTGGTACGGACCCGAGTTGAGGAGATCCAGCATTTGCTAGGTACCATATTAGCTCTTTCCCCCATTTCCAAAGGTGCGTAGGAAGACTTACGCTGGCAAACTTATAAGGCACATCAGGAATGTAGTAAAACTTGTTAATAAAAGGTGAGACGATGAATGAATCGTCGTAAGTGAAAGGGCCCTTGGCCAAGTCAAAGCGGACGCTGCCAGTGTTGGTACTAACCAGACGGGGCACGTCGGCACGAGACTGATTGACAACAGTGGCAGCAAGAGCATCAGTAAGGAGTGTGTAGATGTTTCCCGGGTCTCCGAATGGCTTGCAGTACTGGCAGTAAGTTTGAGGAGCGCAGCCGTAGAGACCGGTGAGGTTAAGCTGTTGGCGCATGGCGCTGATTTCACCAGTAGTACGCAAGCCAGCAGGGGTATCGAATGCGCGCTTCTGGCTGCCAGCAGCGTGGTAGGTGAAAGTGAGACGGTTCCAGTCAAGGTATCGGCGGGAAAATTTCAAGCCATAGTCCTGGGTAGCTGCACCACTGATATTGGCAGAAGCAGTGGTATTCACAGCGATCGGCTTCGTGGTCGGGTGAGGAACTCCATGAGGCTTCTGGGTGCCGGTAAAAGCGGTCGAGTTAATGCCGCTCATGGATAGCCATCCAAGGCTTTCGCAGTATCTTCCTATTAGGGGGGGTTAGAAATTTGCAAGAGAAATGGAATAACGTAGGTAGTGATCACGCACCAGACTCCAAGCCGGTTCCAAGGGTGTCGTAGACGACAAAGTCGCGGACGTGGGTATGGCCACCAAAGACTTGAATCGGGACATCTGGTCTCATCTTGCGGATGGTAGAATAGATAGTTCCCCAAGTGCTGGTAGGGGCGGTTGTCCGAGGAGGGTTGTGGCCGAGCAGAACGAAGAGATCAATGGGCTCAGTGAAGTTCACAGCACTTAGGAACCAAGGCTGCTTGACCATGTCCTTGGCCTTGGTGATGCGTGAAGCATTCGAGTTACCGGTGAAATCAAAGATGACGCCAAAAGACATGATCCGAAGACCTTGATTCAAATCAGCAATTTGCCAAAGAAGCCATTATGGAGAAGAACAAAGCTCATATACCGTGCTCAGTCGTAAAGTACCGGTACTTGGCACCAAGCGACTCGAATTTGCCCGTAGCAGGGTTGAGAATTTCGACGTTGCTAGTCAAGTATCTGTCGCCGTAGACCTTGGCGAAGCCATTGAATGTCTCATACGAGACCTCGGAAACATACAACTCGTGGTTTCCTAGCATTAATCTTTAGCATTTTATAAATACGTATGACTATAGCCCACATATTTACATACCAATTGTCAGGAGATCATAATCGATATTCTCAAAGACAGGGTTCGAAAATGCTCCATCAGGGCTGGTGGCATCGCTAAGACCAGCACCATCATGCAAATCGCCTGTACGCAAACTCATATCAGTCCATCGCGTTCAACTTGGAGTTGGGCATTTCAGAGTTCATGGAGAGATGTGGAGTCTTATTGAGTAGTTTACATTGCTACTTACCAGTGTCAACCAAGAGCAAGTCCACATCCATATCTTTGGCCTTCTTCTTCATATGCTTGGTGAACGAGACAAAGTCACCCCAGTCGGCACCGTAGTTTTGCTCCTTGATATGGCCTTCCAGCCATCCATGAGTGTCGGTGGTGTGCAGAAAGTTAATCTGACCCCATTCCAGGGGACCACGGGGCAGCACCGTTGCGTTCTCAGCATCAGGCTGCATGCGACGAACGTTTCTAGTGAGGACGACATTGTTTTGAGGGCCATAGCAGCTGTCGCAAGCCAAAGCAGTCAACGCCAATGGCGCCAGGCCGAGAAGATGTCCCGCGCGCATGTTTCTAAATGGCAGAGGACAATAGACAGGCGCAGTGATCGGCCTTCTGGTATACCAGAGTGCAAGACGACAACGATAACAGCGAGGTCGACGCTGCTTCTGCTGAAGCCGCCAAATGCATCCAGTAGAGGTCGGCCATGGTTTTTATAGGACGAATTGAAATCATCTCTTGGGAGGTTCTTTGCGATCAACGCCAAAGAGAGATGCAGGGGTCAACTGTGACAATCTGATATCTCTTCTGGATTCGTTACCCACGTGCATTAGGCCTTGGTCCCCTATCGCTCAGAGGCGCACGGTCGGAGGTTGAGAATAAACGACCTTCCCTGTCAAGTAGCACCCGATGCAGCTTCGGTCCTCGGCCCAATTGTGGGACGCTTTGCCTTCGTCCCTCTTTAGCACCAAGAACCAATTACAGACCAACTCAAGGCCACCGGAAAGCTTAGCTCTCGTGCCGACGAGGAACTTCTCCTAATGCGCAATGGAGATTCCCAGCTGCCGCACTTTGACGTAAGAGTATTCTGGGTGTTACGATCTTTGGAGAACCTGCATAGCGTATCACCTCCTCCCCGCAAGATGAGCATTTTGCTGTCCAATGTTGTAACAGCAATGAATGGGCGAGGTACAATTGATAAGAAAGATCCCAGATCCAGAAGGAGTTCGGATTCAGCCGATCCTATTATCTCTGGTGATGATAAGCATATCATCCACTGATAGGTCTTGTTGACGGCTGTATCAGCATATCTCACAAACTGGCTAATAATCTGCTCGAGCCAGTGTAATCATTTGGTTCTCTTGGAGGTGCGGGTATGCCAGGAACATCCCCGCAATCAATGGTGCCGAAACCATGTGGGAGTACGTAGTAGTCTCACTTTAGCCAAGACACAAACTCTGTTCAGCTCTCTTCGAGAAGGCCCGAAAGACCCCGTAATCCGCAACAGTTGAGACTTTCAATTCTTAAGCATTACCTATGTGGCCAGTCGGAATGCTGCCTCAATACCTCATTGATTGTGCCAATGTGTAATAAATTTGTACTTCGCAGTCATGGAGAGTAGCACCGCCGCACGGCTTTCTCGAGATATATTCACGTAGACCTCGACAGTTTTCATAGATTCATTAAAATTGGTATATACCTTAACTTATAAAAAATGCTTCTTCCCACGTGGAACAATCAAAAATTAGTACGAATTCAAAAAAAGCAAGATAACCTAGGTAGATAGCCCACGCGAGCTAGAGATCTCCATTGTTATCATGCATTTCATTTCGCAGGCCGCCGAATAGCGCCAACGCCAAGCTCGCCTTTTCCAAGCTTGCTGGTATGATCCCAATCGACGCGCTTCAAGGGTCTATATGCAGGATCCCACATCTGCTCTCGAACCCATTCCTCAAGCGCATGATCATCAGATGGGATACCCTCTTCGCGCGCCAGGCCTTCTTCAACAGATTGCTTGATAACGGCCTTTGCAATGTGCACACTGATTTCTCGCACATCGACGACATCAGGGAGCAGACCCCGATTAGGATCTTTCAGTGCTGGGGATTGAGCAGCGAGCGCTTTGATAGCAGCGACGAGCATTTTCTCAGATAACAGCTTGGTCCGGGAAAGGACGGCGCCGAGTCCAATTCCAGGGAAGCAAGTAGAGTTGTTGCATTCAGCTATTTGTCATGTTAGGAAGCATGTCCTCGGTTTTCCTCATGTCCAACTAAAAGTAACACTTACCAACTTCATACTTTTTGCCACCATGCTCGACGGGCGGGAATGGGCTGCCAGTTGCAATGAGAGCCTTGCCATCTGTCCAAGCATTGATGTCTTTCGGATCGGCCTCGTGGAGCTTGGTAGGGTTGCTCAAGGGGAACACAAGGGGGCGTTCAACATGTTTGGCCATTTCCTTGATGACTTCTTCCGTAAAGGCTTTCGGCTTCGTCGAGGTGCCAATAAGCACATTCGGTTTGACCTCTTTGACAATCTCGAGTAGATTGTCGTGCTTTTTGCCTTCCCACTCGGCATCGTCACGCGCATACAAAATTTGACCGTGAGTAAGCTTGTCCTTCTGGGATTTTAGTAGCACACCTGGCTTGTCCACACACCAGATTTGCTTTGCGGCTTCCTCCTTGGATTTCCCAGCATCCGTCGCAATGGCATCGCGAATCTGGTCTGCGATACCGGTACCCGCAGTGCCTGCACCAAACATGACTATTCTCAGGTCGGCCAGCTTCTGCTTGCTCACATGGAGACCACTCATGATGGCAGCAAGGGTGACACATCCGGTCCCTTGCACGTCGTCGTTGAAGCAAGGAATCTGACTGCTGTACTTGTCAAGAATCCGTCGAGCATTAGGCAGCCCAAAGTCCTCCTTCATTTAACGTCAGCATTCTCATATGTATATAAAAACAATGGAGATCAACGACACGTACGAAATGGATATAAGCCCGCGGGTATAGCTTTTGCGCAGATTGGACAAACTTGTCCACAAAGGCGTCATACTTTTTGCCCCGCACACGTTTTTGGCGTAGTCCCAGATAAAGCTCGTCATTGAGCAGCTCTTCGTTCTACAAAAGTCGATCAGCTCAACTCTTGGCAAAGCTATCTTCACGTTGCCTTTGCTCGAATGGGGGTGCAACATACATCCGTTCCACAATCAAGAACAACAGGCAAGCTCCTTGATGGATGGATACCAGCGCAGAGCGTTGTAATCACCAGCTTCGCGACGGAAATCAGGATACCTCCGACACCTTGATCTCCAATACCGAGAATCTACCCCAGAAAAAGAAAAATAACATGTAAGGAATACTATACTACCACTCTGAAATGAACATGCTACCATGCTCTTAGAAGACTCACCTGCTCGCCATCCGTAACAACAATGTAATCAATATCTTCTGGGTCTCCCCACTGGGCGAGGTCCCCCTCGACACGGTCCTGATCTTCAATGTTTAAGAAGCACCCGTCCGGCCTTCTAAACAGACGGGAATAATTCTGAATAGCCTCTCCTTCCGTCGGGGTATAAATGATGGGAAACATTTCTTTCAAATGGTCTAGAATAAGCTATCATTCACAAAATGAATCTTCTTGTTAGCATGTTCTCGACTTATTCTTTTCTCCGCCTTCAAATCTCAGCACCCCCAACTAATTTTTTTTTTTTAAAAAAGAAAAAAAAAAAAAAAAAAGCCAGATCACGCTGAAACTTACCTTGTAGTACAAAACCTCATTCTGCTCTTTCATGCTCGTCATGAATGTATTTTTGGCCAAGTTATCCGGGCAGCTTTGATACTGCTGATATGCGCGCCGCACCTGCTCCTCCAGCGACTGGATATTTGCGGGCAACAGCCCATAGAGACCAAAGTCTTTGCGCTCTTCAGGCGTAAAGGCCGATCCTTTATTCAGATATGGAGAGCGGAGAAGCGCGGAGCCCTAAATGGCTTATGTTAGAATCTCTAGTTTTCCCATTTGTTCCTTTTGCTCAAATGCTTCCGGGCCTTTAATAAATCATCTTTTTATGAGTAGACATGGTGAAATCGCACAGGTAAATAAATGGGTGGTGTATAAACCAAAACACGCGCAAACGCGGGGAAGTACACATATGATAACGTTCATTTTGAAAAGTCCACCACGTTTTTTTGTACAGATATGCTTGAAGGGGGAAATATTTTATTTTAAAAATTTTTTACGACTTACAGTCAAGGCACACTCCTGTGGCCCAGAAGTGGACAGCGGAAGGTGTCCAAAATGAGGATTTTTGCGCTCCTGCTTTGACGGCATTTTGCAAGAAGTAGTGTTGTGGAAGTGAGAAACTGCAGAGACTCGCACAGCTGATGTCCGTGGGCGCAGTGTTGTCCGCCGAGTGAAACCAAGTACAGTCTGCTTCGAAGTATGATACCCTATTGCCAAGGTCGGACTCGCCATTAATTTGTAGTGTCCCGAGCGCGAAAAACACTACAGTTCTTAGCAAAGTGTCACGGAAGGGGAATTGTCAGAATGGATTAAGAAGGGGAGTAGGTAGGTAACCAAAAAGTGTGGAAGGGACATGGATCAGGGCTTCAATATGTATATGCACGGCAAGGTTTAAGAAAAGCAACAATAGCAATTCCCGTTTCTTTCTTCCCGTGTTTCCTCATCGAACAATTACAATTTATGATGTGAACTCTACGAGTAGCAGCATAAGATTTCTAAGATCTCCCATGCCCTCAAGGAGTCGGAGAATTACGGAGGAATGGGTAATTTATCCAGGACATGTGTCTTGCGTACGGAAAACATTCCGATCGTTATGTTGCTAAAGCAGCTGGGTCCTTGATGCAATGACGTTAACCCTACGAAGTTACGCTGGGGGAAACTTGCGTCAGGACGTAGAAAGCGAAACGTCACGTCCCGCGTTGGTGCTTGAATGGAAGACGTGGGTTCGGTTGGTCGGCCAGCAGATAAGGGAACTAAGTTAAGGGGCATTTAGCAACCCCAAAGAGTTAACCATAACGTCAGAATTAATACGGAGTAATTACCACAACACAACCTATTTCGCTGGTCGAATAGGATTTATACGAGGGCGACGAATGGGAATTGCGGAGATCTCGATCCTACTTGAGAAAACACACCAGCTCGAATTCATTTGACTTGGTGCGATAAGGAGATTTCTCCGCTTTAGGCTTTAGGTCTGAGAAGCCGGTTTGTTACTCCGTAGGCTAAGATAAAGCATGCCAAGCCTTATGGTAGGCTGCGACAACAAGCGTTGCACACACAGCTACATGTTTGCGCCCGGATAATTCACAGCCTGTAATTAGTATGACCCTTGAATTCCCTGGCCCCAAATCCGTTTGTGTCAATTGAACCCACTTCACTCAGGACACTGGTCCATTTCACATGCATCTAAGGTCACAACAGCATCTGCCAGAAAAGGAATTATTCCAAAAGTATTCTTGTTCGTTGGAACACATTTGACTAGAAGATACAATAGCACGGTAGAAGGACAAGGCAAAAAGCAAGAACAGAACAACAGCAACACCCGCTGTATTATAGCTAAAAAGAGATCTCATAATGAAATGGGAGAAAAGATGGGAAATTTGAACTGACCATTAAAGAGACCTACATGATACAGAGCAACTCAGAGCCCCCAACGGGCCATCTGAGGAGGGCAACGAGGTAAAACCTCGGCCCATACGAGAGAGATAAACGAAGTATGTTGTAGCTATATCGAAGAATGCAGTTCTCTTGGTCCCCAAAAAAGAGTATTGCCATCAGTCAAAGCTCATCGCACATTAGGGCAAAAACAAGGCGCACTCGACTAAAAAGAGCAAAGCCAGTTGATTGCTTGTCCCACTCACCAATGGGAGCCCCAGACCAGGCGACGGTATTGTAAATTATTTCCTAGTCGGTGTCATTTGTTCCGATTAAGCCAGAAGACGTACTTCTGCAAGGCAATCATCATCCTAAGACTAAGTTTTCTGTGCTCTCTTTTTTCCTTTTTTGATTCAAGCGTAAGGCGGAAAAGCAAGACTTAGCTGAATGGATCTGGCCCTCCCACCATGCAGATAGCGATCCCGATAGCTTTCCTGGTGAGGAGGATCAACATGCAAAGGGGCCAAAAGAGGAGGTGTACTGCAAGCAAAAGCAAGCCTGAGAGGCCGATTTGTAGGTAGGATAAGAGAGACAGCAGTAACTTCGCTGAGCTGAACAGGCTGGCAGACTCTAGATGTGCTCGTCTGTGACCTCGTCTTGGTCGTCGACAACGCCCGTGACTGTAGCTTCAACTGCGCTGCCTAACACAGTTTCCTCTTTATTGTCGGGGACAAAAGCGTACCTAGGAAGCTTGGCCATCTTCTCTTCCGGACTGACTTCGTTATCGGAATAGACCAGCTTCGAAGCCTTCTCCTTCTTGGCCTTCTTCTCACCTTCTGCCGGCTTGCCCTCGGCAGCCTTGGCCTGACCTTCTGCAGATCCTGAGACGGGAGGTTGAGTGGCGGTTGCCGGGCTCGGCACAGTTTGAGGGTATTGTCCGTTAGCCGTTTGTTGGGGGGACGCGCCTGGTGGTCCCACAGGAGTGGCGCCCTTTTGATGTAAAGGAACGCCATGATGCATCTGCTGCATTTGCGAGGGATTGAAATGCGGCGCACTAAAAGAAGGTCGCTGCGGTAAACCAGGCGCAGTAGGGGGCAAACTGCCTGGTCGCGGTTGAGGTAGCCCACTGGGTTGAGGGGGCGTAACAGAAGGCAAGGGTTGTTGGTAGGGCAAGGTAGGACTTGCAGCATTGAACCCTGGCTGGCCCGGGAAGGGCTGCATCCCGGGAGGACCATATCCTGGCTGCTGAACAAACGGCGGCTGACCCTGCTGGAAAGCCGGCGCAGAGGCGACAGTGTCGCCATATTGCTGAGGGAAATTAGGGAAGCTTGGATTAGCTTGCATACCAGACGGCTGTGGTGGAGTTTGCTGCATAAAGGGAGCACCGGCCTGTGGCTTTTGAAAGACGAAAAAGAAGATGTCAGAACGCCTGTATTCGTAGTTGGGGATCGTTTTGTTTCCATGGGACTTACAAATCCTGCTGGCACACTTTGGCCCACAACGGGGCTTTGACTACCAGTTTCTGCGGGAGTGGGAGTCACATCGCCACTACTCGTTTGGCCGCTTGCTTCAGCAGCCTTCCTGGCTTTGTGTTCCGCTAACCGCTTCTTGATATCCGAAGGCGATTCGAACTTTGGTTTCTTAGGTGCACTGCCGGCCGTTCCCGGAGCCGGGTTTCCGGTAACTGCGCGGCGATCGGCCTCAGCTTGGTGGAATTGACTAAGTATCCTCTGATTATGCGTTCCTAGGACATCCTCTGGGATACCCTCCATGCCAAAGATCTCGACGTCTGTGCCTGTACGGTTTGGCAATGCATTCTCGACTGCACCAAGATTTTCCTTGTGTACTTGGTTCATATGAACGGACAAACCTAATCTTGTGTCAGTTTCCAGGAGTAGAAAAGGCCAATGAAACTTGCGGCAAAACCTACCTCCGGCGGTATTTAACCTGCGACCACATCGCTCACACTTGAAGTGCTTTGCCTTTTGATGAGAAATGAGAATCTTCAGGTCGTCAAAATCACGCTCACAATAGTAGCACCAAGGCCGAGACAGAATCTCCTCGACGTCGGGGTGACCGCGCTTCTTCTTTCCCATTTTTTTGCTTTTCGACGGCTCTTGATTTATCTCTAGGGAATTGAAAGCTTTGTAGCCTTGTCGACTCCAGTTCAGCTTTAGGTGTATTGTATGCAATTTTCTACACCTCGATTGAGAATGTTCTTGTGTTCGACTTGCGCTCCTTGACAATGGTAAGTTAATGATAGCATCGATGTATGGCATGTCGAGGCTGAGGCTCGCGGCTCGCTTACGTAACAGCGTCCGTGCGATCCGTTCCAATTTGTTTCTTTAACCGAATGTCAACTGTTGGTCCTGTCCTCGTGTGTTTCTCTCAGATCCGTTCCCTCCAGTATTTTTTCTCTTCTCGCATAAATTTCTTTGGCTGTCTTTTCATTCTCTCGAGGAGAAACATTTAAATGGCGCAACCCACCTCATCTGTTCCGACGATCGGTTTCAACGGTAGTGAGAATGGATATTTCAGATCCATCTCCGCAAGAGATATAATGCTTCTGGGTCCCTGCTTGCCACACCTGTTCACTTCTGAAGGGCATACAGATCAGCCTGCCGTTCCCGTCCATTTTTATCGACATGCGTCTCGATGAACACCAACATGCTCTCAAGACCTATTTAATCAAAGCTCCAGAGAGCTACTAACCTATAACTCTCCCTACTGTATTCCAGCGTGCTGACGAAAAGAAAAAGCCAAGACGGCCATTGAGCGAAAGAAAGATAGAAAACAAGAAAAACCGGAAATCAAATATCATGAATCTCAAGCTCAGGCTCAAGCTCGAGCCAATCCGAACCACACTCCTCCAAAACGCAACGTCCCCCATCTCAGTCTCTTCTCTCAAACTCCTACAAGACTCCTCCCGCCCTTCTCGGTGAGAAGGGCGGGGGGGACCAAAACCTGATACTGCGTCTTGCGGTGAAGGATTTTTGGGGACTTTGGGGCGAACGAAGCCAGGGGAAACACCGGATGATAACCAAAATCTGGGGACTTTACCTGAGCTATGTTGCAAGAATAAAAACCTTTAAAAGGGCCCTTCATAGTTCACGCACTTTGAGACCCCTTCTCTCCTCCTTTCCGAAGGGGTAGGGAGGGGATCATGTTTCTATACAAATGTGTGACTCCTTGCGCGCCTACAAGAATACTTTTTTTTTATTTTATAGTCTTTATTTTTAGCCATAACTATTGTATATCCACATGTTCAAGGTTCGAGAGGGGCCTGAATGTAGAGAACGTGAATATAATTCCTGTTAAAAGAGTGTCAAATGCTACAAGATGATCTGTGGTGCCTATAATGAGAGCATTCTCGGATGTATTTATACTGAGGACATTCAATCAACGACATTAAATCACAAGCGACTAGTATTTGCATGATCTCGAATAAATCAATTCAATGCAATTCCATTTCGTAACCGCAGCGATGGATGTGTGTATCGATCAAATAAAGCTACTATTCCGTCTTCCCAGGAAAAAAGAAGAAAACAAGCAAGAAAGGAGAAGGGTCCTGCACCAGCAGTGTCCCTGATGTTGTGTGCCCATATCCCGTGAGATGAAAGAAGAGAAATGGAAAAAGAAAATAGACAAGAGAGTCAAGGAGCAAAACAACAAAAGCCATGTCCCAATCCCAGTTATGCACCTGCAACGCGTTTCGATTCACAATGGAGGAAGAGAAAAGCAGAAGAAAAACGAAAGACAAAATGAGATCGAGAGATGAGAAAACGAATAATGACCATCAGTGATAAAAGTGAAGACATGAACACCGTTAAACCCGTGGCATTTGGCATCTTCTCTTTTCCCCTGCCAACCTTGAAGTGGCCAAAAGGAGACGCCAAAGATAATGCACAATGTCTATCATCGTAGAGAGCTACGTGTGGAGGTCCTAAGGTAGCCGCAAAGAACCGCGCGAAATATAAAAGCGGTGCGAAATGAAGTCGTCCATGTACGTCGTCGAATGAGAAACGCAAATGCTCAAGGTAGTCTTTTGGGGTTTAAACAACCTCCTGACGCAATTTGCTAGCTTCAGGAGCTCTCCGGCCTCTCCGTCCGAGAAGCGTTGCATTGTCTAGACTCAGCTCAAATGGAGCCTGTCGTCTTCTCGCCTGTTGTCTGGCAGCAGCAGCAACAGCAGCACTATGTTGGCCATAGCCCTTTTGTTGGCCAGCAGGTTGTTGTCTTGCGGCTCCAGAAATATTGGTGTTTCGGAGTGTTTGCTCCACCTTGTGCACATCGGCGTCCTTGGAGCGAGGAAGCTTTGCAGGCGGATGTTGCGACTGAGGGTCATATCCATAGGCCTCATCCTCATCCTCGTAGTCGTCCTCATTTAGCGAATTCAATCCATTGATACCATTAGCACCGCGATATCCTTGCTTGAAATTCTTTCTGCGCTTGCCTTCCTCTTCTTGGCGATGCACAGCATAGCTGACATCAAACACTTCTCGGAGGTTGACAGCGCCAGGCGATCTAAAGTCCATTCGACGCTCAGCTCCAGGTGTCTCGCCAATCCGAGCAGACAGAGGCTGGTGTGGCGCTTGGTCAACAATTTCGGGCGTCAAGCCAAGATCGACGCCCTGGCGCTTGTGGAGCGGAGTAGCCAAGGGAGGTGCATCGGCGGCGGCAAAGGTCTCTTCGTTGGCTTGGCGAATCCAAGGGTGGTTCAAAAACTGCTTGATAGTATAACGCTTCTCGGGATCAACAGTCAAAAGATGTGAGACCAGATCCTGAGCCGGCTTTGAGATATCATCCCACCAGGGCGACAAGAAAGTGTATTGACCTCGGGCAACCTTCTCCGTGAGGACCTGAATACTCTCGTCATAAAACGGGGGGAAACCGCAAAGCAAGGTATAGAGCACGCATCCAAGCGCCCACATGTCAACACTCTTGGAGTATCGCTCATCCTTTACAATCTCGGGCGCAGTGTAGCCGACGGTACCGCAGGGCGTCATCGTCTGATTGTCCCACACAACCTTGGACAGACCAAAGTCGGCAATTTTGATTAAACCAATGCCTCCTGCTCCAATTCCGGGAATGAATTCTCCTTCATCAACCTTGTCTTCATCATCTGGGCCCTTGGGCTTGGGATTTCTAGTGGGAATGAATTGACTCGGGTAAAACAAGATGTTCTCGGGTTTAATATCTCTGTGACGAAAAGGTTTAGTGACGTTGGTCAATTATATGGGTGTTTTAAAAATCGACGAACCTATGAACAACACCAGCCTCCTCGTGGAGATATATCAACGCTTTTGCAACTTGAAGGATGACGTGTCGGCTGAGATCTTCGCTGAAGTATGTGAGGCGAACAATCTGGTGGAAGAGCTCGCCACCAGGACAGAGCTCGAGAACGATGTAATAATATTGTTTGGACTCAGAAAACTCGACAAGCTTGACAACATTTGGATGGTCCAGTTGTCGCATGATCTGGACTTCTTTGAGAATATTCGATCGCTGTATTGGATATGACGTCAGCAATCAACTCTTGTTGCACCCTGGAAGAGACAGAGAATCGCCGACGAAGAGAGAGAGGAAATGCGGCTCCAACGACCTAAGAAAATTGACTGTGCTGAAAGTGGTAAAAGACTACGGAAAGTATTGCGCACCTCCACGACCTTTGGTTGCTTTTTGAAATTCGGGTGGAGCCTATCATCGCCCTACACACGGTGGCCGCCGTTGGCGAAAAATCTCCGACGAGAAAAGAGATATGGAACACTCCGAAAAAGATGTAGAAGGAGGAGTAGTAGCACACCAAAAGAGGCCGAGAGTACACATACAATTGAGACGCGCCAACAAATTTCGCAAAGGAGAGGAAGAAAATGGAGAAGCAGCAGTAGCAAGAGGCACTGTCGCCGAGGAGCAAAAGTCAACGTACCTGATTTGAATTCATTTCATACTTTCGAACCACCTTGATCGCCACTTCTCCGGCATCACCGACATTGTCCCTTGCTTTGTAGACGTTGCTGAAAGCACCATCGCCCATCTTCTCGAGCAGAGTCCACCGCTCAAGACCGGGGTATTTGGGTAGTTTCCCTTGCGCTGCTCTCTCCTCTGCCACTATCCGTGCCACGAGAGAAGGATCATATTCCTTGTCGCGTCTGACGGCACCACCTGCTGCCAAGTGTTGATGATCACCCGCGGCTTTGGCGGCGACTTCACCAGCCTGGGCAGCAACGTTGCGGTTGTCGCCGGCGGCGACGGAGTAGTCTGCACCAGGGATGGCCGCAGTTCCATGAGGGGGCTGTTTCTTTTCCTCAACGCCAGCTAGAGGATCACTAAAGGCACGGTGATCTGGCTGTTTGGGAGCCGGTGCGTAATTCTGATATCGATGTTGCTGAGCATTGACAGGGCTCACATTCGTCGTCGGGTCGCCATGCGAAGGGTTTGCAACGCGCGCCTGTTTGCCGTGGCGGATGAAGTTTTTAAGATTCTGTATGGTACTCATGATTAGATCCGACGCCACAAGGCGATAAAGTAAACGGTCTTCTGTCTCTGTGCGACAGTGGCAAAGACTAAGGAAAATAAGAGACGACGGTGAACAAAGACAATAATGTAACGGTAAAGAGAGAAAACGAAGTCCGCCTCGATCAGAGCGAAATTTTCTGAGAGGTCGGGGGGAGGGGCGGCGTGAGCTAGCCGTAGGAGAATGGAAGAGAGGTGATGCGGGAAGGTGAATGAATAATCTGGCGAGACAGAAAATACAAAAAGGGTGCGGGAAAGGGTGGGAAAAGTAACGAGACAGCTAAGGTTTCTTAGGTTCCGGAACGCTGACTGGATCGATGATGTATGTAGCTAAATTGGGGGGGCCGGAGGAGGGAAGAAGTGACGGAACCTAGGGTATGACGATGATAGAGTGGAAGGGAGGGGGGGGCGACGGGAAGAGAAAGCGTAGTAGAGGGGACGCAAGTACAAGCAAAAGTGAATGACAAGAGCGTGCCCCGTGTGAGAGAAGAGTGGGAATAATGATGTGTGGCTGCACCGTTGACAGAATGTCAATCAGTCAGTGCGAAGCAGGATCGATGGTTCGAACAAGCCGGGGAAGAAGTGGAAAGGGCGATGGGGGGGGTATGACGCTGTAACCCGCCCGGACAGCCAAGGGAGGTTAGACGATCAAGCGAGCGATGACGCTGCCCATACGACAGCCCAAGCCCAACTGGGGAACGGGAACACCTCGACCCAGCGGGAAAAGCAGCAAATGAAACGACGGCAAAAAAAATGCGAAAATCAGAATAGGATGAGCAATCCCAACCCGTTTCAAGGAATGGGAGGGGAGAGAAGAAAAAAAGGCCCTGCCCGGGCAGGAACCCGCGCTAGGCCCGACAGACAGACAAGATTTAGGCGGGGTGAGTGCGACAAAAGGCCAGTTTCCAAGGAAAATGCGGGAACAGTCGAAACGCGATGCCGATGAGGGAAATTGGTTAGAGTGGAGAGTTGTATGTAAGCGGAACAGCCACTGGGGGACTTGGTAAAGTGGGAAGTTTTTCAGCGTCCTGGCTCGTCCGATAAAAGAGGGTCCGGGCCCAGATCCAGGTTGAGGGAGTTCTAGGTCGCTGTTCCAAGGCCAAAGCCCGAAAGAACGACGCCCCAGACTCGGAAAAGTCGAGGGGCAAAGCACACACGATGCGAGACAAGATGCGAAATCTTGTGTGTGTGCCTTGTAAATCAACCAGGTGAAGGCAAACCCCACCACATACACAAGCCCCCATCATGCTTTTTGCTTTTCCCTCTGCTTGCCCCTGCAAAGCCTCAATTGGTCTTCTTTTCAGGTACCGCAGTATGCGCGTCAACCACAAGCCCACTTGCACGGGTTTAGGCATGTACCCGCTCAAGGTTTTGCTGCTACCCGGGCTTTGAAAGTTGCTCAGAATCCCAACTCAGCTCACTAGTAGCACACCTCTTCTCCCTCTCCTACTCTTCATCCTCGCCCTCCCCGTCGTCGCGCCACAACAATTGGGCAAGAGACGAGATGAGACGGTTCGTCGTAGGTGATGATGGCATCGTCGCACTTATCGGGTTCCCATTGCGGCCCAGATCGTCCTGACACGGCTGCATAGTGACGCACATGCCCCTCCATTCCGTCCCCGGCCCCCGACGAATGAAACATAGGTAAAGGTAAAACGAAATGATGAAACAGCAAGCAAGTCAAGTACACATGAAAAAAAAAGGACGTGATCTCCGGGCAAAAGGAAAAAAAGTAAATAAAAGGGTAACGATTGCGATAGCAATAATAAAACAAGGGGAAAAAAAAAATCAATTGAGAAAATCAAATCCAATAAAACCAATAAAACTGAGAAATCTGGTACTTGCCTTGATGAAAGGCATGATTTCAATCTTTGCCCGATTTTTTAAGGTGAGCTCCGTGCTCTCGCTTTCTCACTCACTTGATTCCAAGAAGACGAGGAAACGCAGCCCGCGCACTGACGCAGAAGTCGCTCAGGAAAATTCGGCCTTCAGTGCAAAGCCTTTTCACCTGATAGAAAAGGTTCAAAAGGTGTCTGACGGCGTGCGCTGGTTCAAACCCGACTTTACACCGAGCAACACGACGAGCAAGCCCCCAAAAAGGTTGAGTTGCAAGGAATAAACCTGTACGTCGAGGGACCTGCGCCAAGCCGTTGCTAAACGTGGCGTATAATGCCGTGTGCCTCCCCGACAGGGCAGCACAGGATGCAGTGACCGAGCTGTCTGTGTAGCAGATGTAGCAACAGCAGCAACAGCAGCAACAGCAGCAACAGCAGCAGCAGAAACGCTGGAGAGGTTTGAAAAGAGAGAAATGTCCCCCCGGAAGCAGCGGGTGATGGAGAAGACGCAGCCCAATAGAAGGTGAGAAGAGGACCGGTAAAAGTATGATGATTGTCTCCTCCGCCGAAGGTGAATTAGAAAGGGGGGCGCAGAGCGCAGACGGGCTGTGCTATCTACAAATTTCTACGGCTAATTACTGTGCTGGCTCTCATGAGGCCTTTGTCGAACCAATATCTATGTGTCCGGGGTTTCCAGGCGGAATGCGGCGGGCTCTGATTAGGGTCAGACGGTCGGTCGCTCCAGGGGTCTAATGGCTCATCAATCCAGAGCGAATGAACGAATGGATTCCACCATCTCAGGCTGGACCCTTTTTTTCTCTCTCTTTCTTTTCCCTCTTTTCCTTTTTCTTTCCCCCCCCAATCAGTATGGAGCAATTAGGCCAAAATCCCATGTCTCATTCAGAGCCCGTGTTGCCGTATAATGTTAGCTTGGGGCCGCCGGAAAATAAGAAGAACGAACCGAAGTCCCAGTTGCCTCTGACAGGGTGAGGAAACATACACTGTAGTTAACATGGTGGCAAGTCTGACTAACTGAAAGGGCTACGCGTTGGATTAAAATCCCGCTTGTAGCCCTGGACGTGTACAAATTAGATCAGTTAAGCAAAACCCTGCCAGTCTAACTCCACTGTACGAGTGCCTGTACCGTACCCGTACGATGGCGAGGAGGTTTCAGCCACCCGATGATGATGAAAAGCCACACTCTGCAAAAGCTCCCCTATCAAGGTCAACATGATCAGCGTCATCTTTATCATCATTGTTGTAATTCCAATACTGTTATCAACGGTTGTTGGGCTGGGCACGCGCCAAGTGCGTTGCTCATCCCTCATCCATATTACGCGGCCCGGCAAGCTGTCAAAGCAGGATGATCTGCACTCAGCCCAAAAAGTAGCTTGTGCGTTCTCGGTCGTTGGTGGATGCGCTGATGCGAGGTCGGGGGAGCATAGTGGACAAGTGGGCGATCCTACCGAGCACCGTCAAAAGTATATGAGTACTCCATACGGCATGTAATTATGATATTATCAAGCTCCGAGTTGCGAGCGTTTTCGCCATTCCAATTGGTTATTCATTCAGTAATGGACCTTGATCTCGTTTCTTGTTAGCTATCCAGTTGGTGTCTTGCTTTGACACGCCTTGAACGTCTACCTGATCAAGCCCAAAGGCTATGAGACCCTACTACTAGTGCTCTGGATGCTACCTAAGGTACTCGTAGGCAATTGACAAGGCTCAATCAAGCCGGCTTGCCTTGCCGACTCCGCGCCGAGGATTTGCTCGCCATTCGCCTCGTTCGTTCCTCCAAAGGAATTCGGCCAGTCCGAGATGCTTGGTCCGAACCTCTGGACCCTGGAGACCCACAATAAGTAGTACCTGTAGATTGCCTTTGTAGAGATGTGCTAAACTAACCTCTCACGCCAAAGAAAATGTCCAAGGGTCATCATCACAGTAACCTAGTCGTAAGAGAGCACTCCATGCTGTACAAACTCCCACACTCCATACATTTTGTAATCTTGTCCCAATATTGTGCGACATCAAAAGAGAAAATATCAATCATTGGCAATGGACAAGTCCCACAATCTCAATCCCAGGTATCCAGTGCGTCTTTCGTAGAGGCAGACAACACATGACTAATTAACAGCTGCGTCCTGTAACTTAGCGGTACTGTAATACTGTAATACTGTAGAAAGTGACTCGATGGGTCCTCAGTGACGACTTTCATTTCCCAGGGTCCCCCGTCCGAGGCGTCGGCCCGTTGTGCTTACAGTGATTGTGTGGTTAGTGCGTGTATTACTGTACGGTCATTATGGAGTAGGTAGACCCCAATGCAGTTCACCTGAATTAGTCCAAGTCATCTTCATACTCGTCACACTACAATACAGTAGAGCCTACGAGTACAGAGCGCAAAACAGCGGCCCGATTGTCAGTTTCAGAGAAGTTTGACGTGATAAGATTGGCAGCGCATGTGTGATCGACGGACTTCAATAGCGTTTATCGATCTCCAAATTCCATTTACTTTTTAAGGATGAGTGAAGCAAGAACAAAAATATTACTTATTTTAGGATGCATTGATCCAGTGTTTTATCTGCAACAACAAAACGCCTCGGTTCTTCCATTTGGTGAAGAGTAAAAAATCGGGGCAGGATAATGAAGGGAAAATTTTTTTCTTTAAATTTTAAAAATTACCGACCAAATTGATCTTGAAAATTCGTGACGATGACGATGACGATGAAATGTCAAATGGTAGTATTTACTACTGCACCTATAGAATAAAATGATATCACGTAATAAATAGGTAGCGATTCATAGAGCGCCTATTGAAAGTTTATTTACGTATGCTCACGGAGGAGAATGTAAAATCTCAAAAGGAAGAAAATAATAAGACGAAAATAAAAGAAGAATATCCCCAGTTCAAACCAAACACCCGGAGATTTCTCGTCGCTAAACTCCCCAGCGTCAATGGTCCGCTGTCTTGAGGAAGAAACAGTGGACGAACAGGAAAAGATGATGCTCGCAGAAAAAATGTGAGCAGGAAAAGTAAATAAACGAAACCTGAGAAGTAAAACCCCGAACCATCACGCTCAGCTTTTCCCTTTTCCAACCAGTAACAATCATGTAAGATAATGAGGACCCTATCCCAAACCCTTGGCCTCAATGCATGATATAAAAACAATAACGACGACAACAATCATGATAACAGCAGCAGCAGCTTTATCAGACGGTCTTTTCAGACAAAGTATGCAAAACGAATTTGCAATCGGTAAAAGGTAAACAAACGAGAAACGCAAACCACTTGCAGGGCCCGCGATGGCAGCTGCTTTTGTACATATTGTGTAAAAAAATGATTGAAGACAGACAATCAGTCTCCGTCCCACTCATCGCCGTCATCATCATCGACTTCGGTGCTGGTGACACCTGTCTCTCCGCCTTCTACATCAGACTCCGCACCACGACTGGTAGCTCGACTCAGATCTCCAAGCCCTGCTCCTTCTTCGAATGCCATCTTTTGCTTTTTGACAGCAAGTTCGTAGGTAGGATTCAAGTTGGTTGTGGACTTTCGCTTCCTCTTGCCTAGATCGCTGTCCTGTCCCGGGGTTGAAAGCTTTTGATATTGTTCGTATTCGGTCAAGCCACGAGGGCTTGAAGAGCGTCTAATTTCCGGCCCAGTCGTGACAGGTGCAGCGGCTGTGCGTGAGTTTTCAGAAGAAGATGAAGAAGAAAGCTTTGTGCTTCGACCAAGCAAGCTCTTCGGCTTAGCTACGGGACGCCTACCTTTCATAGAAGGCACGATGCTGATTTCGGAGCTTTGACCGCTCTCCTCTTGAAGTAGTGGAGCAGCCTGGCTGATAGGAGAGACTGAAGTTTCAGTGGAGCTGGCGGCAGTCAGGTTGAGCCCACTGGTATGTATGGAAGGTGGAGCGTCACTGGCCCCTCCGGTGCCGTTGGTATCTCCTGCCTCAGCCTCCTTTGCTTTAGCTAATGCCGCAGCCTTTCTGGCATCCCACCACTTCTTCATCGAGCGACTTCGTTTCGACGCTTTTGCTGCTCGTTTCTTCTCTACCCCTTCGGATTGCGGGGCAAGTGCACCCTTTGGAGGACGTCCTCGCCGCTTCACAATCGGCGGTTGTGGTGGCGGGGTGGGAGTCGCGGCCGTGGAAGCCAGCGTGTCCCTATCGGTTTCTGCCTCCATTTCGCCTTCGGTGCTGGTCGTAGATGGAAACAAACTTTCTTCTCGAACAGCTCGAACTCGCGCCGGAATTGGCTCCTTCTTGGGACGACCCCGTTTCCGTGGCAGCGCGGACTCTTCCACCATCTCGGTAGAAAACTTGAGTCCTTCCTCAGCCGCGTACCTCGGTCGAGTTCCGGCCGTGACAAGACCATCAAAGGCTTGTCGCTGACGACGAGCTCGCTTTCCTTCGACAATGGCATTTGGATCACCTGCTCCTTCAAGGCCTTTGCCAGCGAGACTCGCTTTGAGCTTGCGGAGTTCACGTCCGCCAACCACTCTTCCATGTCGCTGTTTCTCCGGATCCTGTTTTCCTTCTTTCTTTGGATCCGGGTCATACTTGTAACCGTAGAGGTCTGCCTCCTTTCTGTCCTCAAAGCGGACTGGCGCCTCGACTGCACGAGGATCTGCAGGCTTTCTTGGTGGTTGAGCGAATCGAGCGGTACGCTTGTCCAAAATTATCCATTCGTCCTGCCATATTTTTAATGCGCGTTGTGCATTCTCCGCAATAGCAAATAATGCTTTCGTTGAACGCTTCTCTGGATTTTCAAGAGCTGCGAGAAAAAGCTCCGGATCAGTTATGGGATCCCATTGCTCAGCAACAAGTCTGTGCGCCTCCGAGCGGTCCTCGGAGCTTTCAGACTGCTCCTGGCTTGCAGGTTCAGTGTAGAGGGTTGCGGTGGCGGGTCTAGAGGAGAAAGGTGGGGGCAGGTCTGAATCAGATAGATCATCTACGTCGGACGTGTCATCAGGATCTTCAAAATTTTTATTTTGCTTTGGCTGATCCGTCATCGACGTAGAGTGTGAGTTATTGCTTCCCAGACAAGCTTCGGTAGAATTGCCGAGATTTCTAGGAGCTCCGTCTCCCAAGTTTGGATGGGAGAAAGAGGAGGAGAATGAATGAAGCTGTTCTTGCAGGACCGACTCTGCATCTGGAGCACGGCCGATTTCTTCCGGGATTAGATTCTCCGGGTCTCCTGCTTTGAGCTCGGGCCGTTGAGCCTCGGACCCAGCTGGCTGGTCTTTGACCTCTGCATTGATAGATGGATCTGCCAGTTCTGAAGCGACCGGAGAAAGCTTTGGTGGGGATGGTTGATGTTGGACCGGAAGACCGTAAACACTGAAAATGCCGTTTTGGTAGGATGTTCTAAGTGACAAGACTTTTGGAACATCAACAATAATTTGGTCTTCAGCGGCCTCGCTCTCACCATTTTGTGCTTGAGAGACAGCGGTTGACCGCTTACCACCTGGTGCCGAAGCCCGGCGGTTGCGGATTTGCTTGAGTCCAGGTCCCGGCAGGATTCGAGCAGGTTTTGGCGCCGGCGCAATGGTTGCACTCGCACTTTTGCGAGGTCTTCCACGCGGACGCTTGACAGCTAGATTCTGATCCATGTCGTCAAAAGACAGAGATTGGATCAAATGTAGAGGAGAAAAAATCTATTTTGATGATTAGTTCGTGGAATGGTCATGTGTTTAGGAGCGTAGATTTGACTAGTCAGACTTCAAGATAAACATCACATCGAAGAGAAGCGAATAGAAGAAAATTGACGACGCCACACAAATGTACGAACCTTTGTAATTAGGAGCGAGATGCTGATTCTAAAGTCAGAAATTAAGTCTGGGAGGAAAGAGTCTGATGCCTATGAGCACAAAATCGGTGTTTAGTTGCCGAAAAAAGGTGATGATGGTCCTCTCGGAGTGAGCAAAGAGAGCGTAAAAAGAAAGGGACAAGGACCGGGAACGCCAATAAAAACGAGCATCTACAATAGCAAGAAACAATTGATGAGAGGTAAAAGAGGAGGTCGGTATTGTTCCATTGAGTCGACGGAGTGATTGATTTGATTTGATTGATGATGGGGTGAAATTGATTTTATTTATTGCTCGTTGCTTTCTGTCTGTCTCTCAGTCTCTCACTCTTCTACTCTGGACACACCCAAGACGGAAACAATTGTCTCGCTTAAATTCCCTCCGCCTCGCGCTTACCCAATTAGATCACATACTCCAGTCCAGATCGCGACTTCCCCAATTTATACGAAGCACCCTGACCTCATTCATATTATTGTTGTTGCTCCTTCTATATTCCACTTTATTCCTCTGTCCCAGCATAAGGTACTTTAGTATCTTTGACGACCATGGCTGAAAAGAAGAATACCGAAGATGAAATCTCCAAGCTCTTTGAGGGCATTGAGAATAATGAGTCCACCCCTGGCAAAGATCCCAAATCAACCAAAACAACAGCAACAATGCCCGACCCGCAAGCAGAAAATGATCTGCTTGCTGAGCTTGGTAATCTAGCTGCGGAGAGGCCAGCCAGTCGATCACACACTCCGAGAGCTGTATCATCAAGCAACAGAAAATCACCCATGCCAGCTGCCAACGACAACAACGGCACGCCTCCTCCTCCAGCTGCATCAGAAAGAACGAGTGAGGACAAGCTTGCTGCCTCTACTTCTACGTTGCCAAGGAAATCTGGGGAAAGCACTAGACCTCTTCACAGGGCTGCTACCCCCAATGAATTTTTAGAGAAATCCTCATCGGACTCAAGCATAACAGCAAGTCAACAGCCCTCGGCCCCATCGGTACCGCCAACAGCACAGCAGCAGCAGCAGCAGTCAAACGGAGGTGGATGGTGGGGTGGCATCTTTGCTACCGCCAGCGCCACAGCGAGCGCGGCAGTAAAGCAAGCCGAGGCTGCAGTGAAAGAGATTCAGAAGAATGAAGAAGCTCAACGATGGGCTGAACAAGTCAAGGGCAATGTAGGATTGCTCAAGGGCATAGGTACGTCCTAATGGAAACAGCTTCATTCTTGCCCAACGGCAGCTCTCCTAGTAGCTACCTTGCTTACTTGCTCTTTTCTCCTGCAGGCGGCGAATTACGCTCCCGTGCGCTTCCAACATTTACTAATATTCTCCACCACATTGCTCCGCCAATCTCCACCCACGAGCGTCTCCAGATTCACATAACCCACGACCTCGTGGGCTACCCTTCCCTTGACCCGCTCATTTACCAAACATTCTCTCGCGTCATGGCACAAGTCGAAGGCGGTGACCTCATGGTCATCCAGCGAGGCCGAGAATCAGCCCCACGTCGCGGATCAGACGTTGGTTTCACCGGCGGCAGCAGCAGCGGATGGAATGACGGTCCTTGGTGGCGAAGCTCTTCTGAAGCGCGAGACATTGGGTCAGTCAAGGGCATCGTCGAGGGCACCAAGCTGGCAAGAGCCAGCGCAGAGTCATATGCAAACCAGTATTTTGGATCTCGCGGCGGTGTCGAAGCGGCGGCAAAGCAAGCCACTGAAGTCCTCAGTGAAACAAACCCCGTACGCTCGAGCGACATCTTTCTCGCAATTCAAGCCATTGGCTACACTCTTCCAGAGGACCTCTTTGACGGTCCCAAACCAACAGACAAGCCCGAGGCCGTTGAGGATCCGGACGACAAACCCGACGAGCTTGTCACTTTTGCAATCTATTTGCATGACCCCATTCATGGCATCGACTTCAAAACTGTTACCCAGGCTTTTCCTCAGCAGTGGATCAACTGGCTGGACGCCCGTTCTGGTCCAGTCGACGAAGAAGGCTATCCTGGCTTTCCCGAAGAGATTGCAGAGATTATTGAGACTGGAGGCGTCGATCCGCGCGAGTGGGTGTCCGAGTGGGTCGAAGAAGTCCTGGCCCTCGGCGTCGGCACGGTTGCCCAGAGATATGTTGCCAAGCGCATGGGTGTTGGCCAAGGAGGCATAGGACGAGGAAAGGCCAAGCAAGCTATTGAGTCGGGTGCGGGAGAAGCAGCTAGAGCCATATGATTCTTGATTTTCCCCTTTTCTTTCTTTTCTTCCCGCACCTCTTCTGTCTTCTCTTGTTCCCTTCCTAACAATAATTCGAAAGGCCCTCGGCACTAGTATCAAGATATATGGCGTTTCTTTTCCTTTTCCCTTTTCTTTTCACGAAAGCGGCGGAGCAGCCCTCTTTCTTCTCTATACCTCACTCGTTCGTTAATATCGTAACCCTTTTTTTCAAATTAAATGCCTTTACAAATATCCTTGCAGTCTACTACTATCAAATAAATAATTACTTTATCAAATGAAGAATGGTTACCGTACAGTGTCTTTCCAGTCTCGAACTCTTCTTTCTTCTTGGATGGGGTATATCAATGTGTATTTAAATATTTGCCTAAATTTCCCCCATCTTTCATGGCAATGACCAGTCATGAGACGAAAGAAAGCTCATTTCTTTATCAATCCCGGAATTATAGCGCCTAGATAACTCCAAATCATGCAAAGAACTATATTCTTCTCCACCGCAGAAACCCGCGCATCGAAAGCGAAAAGATATCCGCCAATGGTGGAAAATTGCCCCTATTCGAAAATCGACGCAGGCAAATGCCCGGAGATATATCATTCCCTTTCATTCCATAAACCTCTCGTTCGATGCCCCAGACTTTTTCTCGCAATGTGTTTCAACACGAGCATCTCATTGCAGATAGACATCTCGAATTTACTCGACAGTCGAATGCGACATTGACGTTACGTGGCATGATACCGACCGATTGATTGGGCGAGAGACCACCGTATGCTTGTAAATGGGTTATTCCGATCATATCAATTGTCAAGGGAGAAATTTGGAACGATTCAGTTCTTCCCATTCTTGCCCTTTCCATTCCCGGCAGCTCCCTCTTTCTCTCGTCGTTTCGCGCTCGCGAGTAATTCAAGATGGCCCGCTTTCTCAGCAAGATTGCGTTCCGTCTTCGCCGTGAGACCACCTGAGAATTTCTGTATTTTGGATTTATGAGTTAGCGTTTGCTTTTCTTATTTGTTGTTTTTGGTATCCTCTTCATTCCATCAAGAAAGGGTGTCTTTTCTTGTCTTCGAGGAACGGTCACATCCTCTTCTCTTGTGAGACGCACCTTTGCCAGCTTTTGCTTCTTTACCAAATCTGCCTTTTTCGGAGCGATTTGCCGCTGGCCCTTTTTCGGGCCGGGACCGAGAACGCTGGGCCTGTGATGTTGATGACTGGTTAGCGATTTGTTTCTTTGTTTTCTTTTCATTTCGATTGCTGTTTCGTGCAATGGAGGTTGTAATTGTCCCGTTGGTGGGTATGCCGTGCGGTCTGAGGTTGAGAGATATTGACGCTGTACACCGTAGACCAGGCATTGGACTCCAAGACGCGAAGATCCAGACGATCCGCCGATGCACAAAGCGGAGGCAAGAAAAGAGGTGCGACTCACTTTTTACCGCCCTTTGTGTTACCTCCTTTGGGGTTCTTCAATTTGATCGTTCCTTGCGCCATTACTCCTTTTCTATGTTCTAGATCGACGGTTTTATTTTCTCTTTGGTATCCTCGCTGCGATATTCAAAGCACAGTTATTTACTTGCGTGCGTGCAGGGGAGATGGCGGATTTTGTAAAGCGGTAGAGGGTGGAGTGTAGATGTCGAGACGTCCAGCCAAATAATCAGCCGTAACTTTTGAAGAAAAATACCCCAGACAAGGGAGAAACGCATAACAGAATCTTAGCGGGCATGTGGTTTAGTGGCGACCTGGTTAGATAAGGCGAAGGCGGTGAGCAGAAACGAGCTGAGCGAGAGGGAGGGTCAACGGGGGTCTACCGACTGCTGGTGTGTTGGTGTGGCAATTCGCTTCGCTTCCACTCCACACCAAAGGCAACGGATTTATACGTAAAACTGGAGAAACGGGCATCAAGACATCGAATACATCCTGATATCAAGTCTAAGAATTGCTGTATGATTACTTTAGGAAGATTCGTTAAAAGACGATGAACGAAAGATATATTTGTGTTTCATGTATTGTAAAGGATACAAGGATAAGACTGCTATCCCTCCATGTGCGTCTGCGTCAGATATGTATGTATATATGTACAGAAAAGTCATCAGAGAAAATAAAAAAACCAATGAACGGTGATAATATGAGATGAAATACGCCAAGGAAAATATAGACCAAAGCCCGAGAGATGACAATAACATGAATACGTAAGAGCAATCGAATCTCCTCTCCAGAAAGTGATACTTTTCGACTTGTTCGTCGTGCGGATGTGCCCCCCATAAGATATCAATCCAAGATGGCAGTCGGGTATCTGGTCCCTTTCCAAACCAGTTCCTCCACAATCACAAGCCAAAGGCGTTGACCTCAGACATAAAAGACTTTAGAGACAAGATGATTTCGAAGAATTTCAAGAAAGACGGACTTCGAGCAGGTATATGGAAGTAGAGAAAAGAAACTGACCGGCTAAACAATTCCATAGACCCGCTTTGCAATGAAATAACAGGAAATACCAAACACGAGCAACGCTGCGGTGATGCTCCAGAACCAGTACAAATTCTCTATCTCCTGTCCAGGGACCATGACGTTCATGCCCCACATACCTGTAACAATGTTCATGGGGAGGACAATCGTTCCGAGGACAGTGAGTTTGCCAAGAATGTCCGACGTTTGTTCTTGACGCTCATTCATGCGAATATTGATTTGAGCGAGGTAATTGGAGTGGGCACGGGAGAGGAGCCTAGATGAACGCAAATGTCGAGGTCAGCAGATGTCGTTGTGGGCTGAGAGTTGCCAAAGACAAAAGGTGACATGCATCATGGTAGATATGGAGAGCAAAAAGGGAACACTTACATTTCATAGTGCGTCAAATTTCCCGTCATGGTCACAATATGATCCTGTATATCGCCGAGATAGAGCCCAATCTCACTCCGGGGAGCCACCTCCCATTGCTCATTACATCGTTTGGCAAACCCCTTGATAACATCTGCTTTATTACCCAAAAGACGATAAAGTCCCATGACCTTCTTTCGACAGTCGCCTACTTGGCGAAGCATGTCTCCGCCCGAGACGCCCGAGGTGCTGTCCCCTGCTTCGGAGCGTTTTTCACTCGCCGCGACGTCTTTGAACTTTGAGACTGGCAGCTTACTCGAAGGAGTCATTTTTGCGGAGAGCTTTTCGTCGGGAGTATCGGGATTGTGCAATTGCAGGATGGCGTCGTCGATTTCGTCGACTTCTCGCTCAATGGATTGGATCAATGGAGCGAAAACGTCGGTAATATCGTCAATGATGGCGTACGAGATCCAATCCGAGCTGAGAATGAGGTAATCTTTGAGCTGACGGATTCGCCGACGGACATTGGCCGGATGTGGGGTCATGGAGAAGTGAAACTGCAACTGTCAATTCCGATACTGATGAAATGAAGATTTTCGGTGGGTATGAAAGACTGTGGAAAGATTTTCGACAGACAGTAAAAGGGCAATAGATGGAAGACTGCACTTACGCTGATAACACCTTCTCTGAACACAATGACGTACATATTGACGGGATTAAGGTAGTCATCGCTGCTCATGTCCTGCTCAAATGTGCGGTAATTGACAAAGTAGTAATGCCGAAACAACTCGACTTTTTCTCGGGCTTCCTGCATCATGATATCCTCTGCTGTCAAGGGATGGATGCCAAAGGTTTTGGAAATGACGCGCATCTCTGCGTCAGTCGGAGACAGAACGTCGAGCCAGAATGTCGGCCGCGCACCATATCGCTTAGGTTTGGTTTCCGGCGCTGGCGTGGGCTGCCCAGAAGAGTCACGGCCTTCTGGCTTCTGTTCCCCAAGAATGGACGATTGTCGCGTAGTCGGTTTAGACAAGCTCGGCATCCGAGAGAGGTGGTCTTGATGGGAAGTTAGATCGTCATCTTCTTCATCTGACGAGGAGTCACTGAGCAGAGGCGGGTCCGGGATGAAGAGGTCCCTAAATGTCTGCCCAGGCTGGAGCAATTCAGAAATCGTCTGGCTGTGGACCGTGCTCTGAAACTCTTCGTTAAAGTAGGTAAATCGATACGGCTCGTCCTCTTGCTGTCGATGCCATGCGGACATTTGCGGGCGTAGTCGACCATCGACAAGCACCGGTTCGCTGATCTTCTTGGCGCGAATACCCTCACTGCGCTCTTCCTTTTCTTCCCGGCTCCACTCCTCGAGGACAGACAGATCGGGCCATTTTCGGCCGCGTCGTCTGCGCGTTGTTGGCGCGTACGGGAACCCCGGTTCTGGCGGAGTGTAGTCTTCCTCTGCAATCTCTGACATGCCCTCCATGGGGAAGCACACGTCGACTTCGCCTGGAACAGCGACCGTATGTCGACGTCTCTCAGGCGACTCGCCTCGGGGAGACGATGGATTTGACGGATGTGAGCCTGGGTAGCTATGGACAAGACTCTCATTTTCCATGTCTACGATAGCGTCCCGCGACAGCGGTCCAATACCGCGCTTGGACTCGGGAGATCGTGAATTGAAGTCGCCCGTCACCATGACATCGCCGTAGCCCATATCCGTGCCCAGCTTGGGGCTGCTCGGTACCGAAGGAGGGTTGTTCACATCGTAATCCAAACCTGTAGAGGACGGGTGCTGTGGCAGTGTGCCGAGCCGTTTCCGCCGTCGACTTGAAGTTGATGTCGCAGCTGAGCCAGGCCGGTCCCGTGAAGCGGTTCTCGAGCGGGTAAAGAATCCGCCGTATCCATCCTTGGACGACGGCCGGTCTTGCCCTGAAGCTATCAAGGGAGTTCGGTCGTCGACTGCAACGTCCTCGTCATCACTGCCCGAATATTGCTGCGATTGCCTCATGCGAGATGGCCGCTGACGAAAGGCCGAGCTGGAGGCACCATCCAGAGGACTTTGTATGGAAGGGCGAGGCATAGCGAAGCTTGAGAGAAGCGTACTTTGTCGTCGCGGGCGCATTGGCAGTTGGTCCCTAAAGCGACAGTCAGCATCTTCCCCACATCAGACCGTGTATCATCTCAAATGAGACCAAATTCCATATTGCTCCACGCTGCCTATATGGCTGAGGGCCCATTGGCGCAAAAGAAGCACTTACCTGTGATCCAAAAGCGCCTCGCTCTCCAAGCTTGTGCTGCTGGTATTCCCTGGTCCGCCCGACGATTGCCCCAATTTGTAAAACGATGGCCTCGCTGCAGTGGTATCGCGTGAAGTGAGCCGTTCCACTGTCGATGGTCTCGACGCTGAATTATCTTCGGGGCCAGTTTCATCTGGAGCGGGAGCAAACGACTGTCGCCGATTGCGTCTCTTCTTATGACCGCGTTGCCGGCGTTTCTTCTTTTGCGATGAGTGTCCTGACGGGTGATCGGATTGTTCTCCTATGGTTGGAAATGAAAGTTGCCCGCTGCCTTCTGCTACTTGCCGTTGTTGCTGCGCATTGGGGTTTCTGGACGAATCTTGCGGCAGAGTTCTTGGGCTGGGCTCGCCCGGTGTGTCATATGGCGTCGAGAGTTTCCCCTGCCTTGAAGCCATTGTGACGATTTCAAATTCAAGTTTTGCTGAGAGCAACGATTCTTTCCCTCCTCACAATAGAATTTCGTCGCGAAAACCAATTCCTCAAGTTTTATCTTCGCCAGGTAATCCCTGCTGACTTTATTATTGTTTAACGGTGTCGCAGGCGCAGGTGCAGCAAGAGACGTGGTACAACGGCCTCGGCTAGTTTTTGGTGGAGGAAGGATTGACGTAAGATGCGTCGATCCTCGCCTCTAGCTGTCAAGTGTCTTGGCTTTCAGAAAATGACCGTTTTGCAGCAGACTCTTCGATTGAGAGAGTCGCATCCGGGGTAGGCTGTGAGCACAATGGCTTCAGACAACAGGACAGTGTTGTTTGGCGATAGGTAGGCGAAGAGCTATCGACAGAGGTAGGTAGGTAGGTGTGGGTGCGCAGGTGTCAAAAGTCAAGCGTGGAACATGTGGAGTAATTTGCCTTAAGCAAGGTAGGAAAGGCTAAAGGGTTGAAGGCAACTGGTCGTGTGAGATGATCCGGATTTCTCCTCCAAAGACCCGCTTTTGGGGGGCGTTTGACCGGTCTTTAGTGCTGCGGCTAGGACTCCGCCTAACTGCAAGTCCCATGGCAAATCACCTATTTCGCAATGGTAATTTGTCCAGCGGTTATAGATGTCCCGGTCCTTATCTCCTTTGACCTATCTACCGCAGTAGTAGACTGACGCTTGTCAACAGTAGCAGGACGAACGAAGGAGGTCAAGTAGAACAAGACAGACAAGATAGTAAATGGTAGATGATAATCATACATGATGACGATTACGAAGTATGATTATCGTGATTGTGCTACCTGCCCCCATCTCGGGTACCTGCTTGGTATTTGAAATGCGATAAGACTTCCCTCGTTCGGTTTCACAAGATCTTCGCAATACACGCCTTAGTCGACCACTGTCAAACCCATCACGACCTGTAAATTCACCTTGAGATTCAAATCACGAATGATCATAAAGTCAAATGGAAAAAAGAAATGACAATCTGTATTATCTGCTTGCATGCTCGCTAAATCTCAGAGAAGGGGTATTCCAACCTATGAAACCAGATGAAAATAAAAAAGACAAAGAGAGAAGAAGGAAAACAAAACATTAAGATCAATAAAACTTCCCATATCTCGTGATAACGCCCCATGTCAAGGCAATCAATTGCCCAAAAATTACGCAAACCCTAATGTATTCGCCCTAAATCATGTTTCCGGAATCAAAATTGATCGTTGGTGTGATGCTCTGCATGGACCGATTCGAGTGTTCAATCGACATACCATCGCCGCTCAGCATCCGAACAACCTTTTTCGCCTTGTTCGGCTTTGCAACCAGAACTTGAGCGCGGCATACCACAATCTCGTCCTCCCCAGATCCTGAATCATCCCCTTTCTTCACCACCAACGGAAACAGAACCATTCGCACAACCGCTCCCTCCGCCTCTAATGCTTCGTTGGAAAGCGTGTCGCCGCTGCGCTCATTCATCAAAGCAGCATTGAAATGCACCTTGCGTGCAAGGTCGCCGTTTGTGTCGTACTCGGGCTGCAATGGCGGCAACATAATGTATTCGGCCCGCTGAGTGCGCATTTCGATCGAGAGCTCAACAGCTGATCGCATCACGTTGCGCAGCGACTCGATCACTTGTCGCTCAAGGTGTGCTGGAGGGGGGAGGAAAACTGATAGCGTGCTGTATATTTCCTGTACCACTGCCTCGGTATCTTGAGCACGCTGAGCGACAAAAGTCGGGCGTTTGGAAAGCAACGTCAATGTTGTTGCCCGCCACCGATGGACAGCTTTCGTTGGGCCTGGAGTGGATCCTTAGCAAATTTGATGTTCAATTAGAAATAAAAAAGAAGGGACTAAAACATACCGACTTCGGCTAGTGTCTTCTCCAGTGACTTCAACTTTTGTCGCTGCTCGCGGTCCATGCCGAAGAGGTAGCGTGTGAAGACGTACTCCCACACCATTGTCATCACAAGCGACATGAAAACATCTCGGCGCCGAACGCGATCAGAAAGATAGATATCTACATCTGACCCATCCAGGATACAGTTGTCTAATCTGTCTGCAATCTTCTCGTCCATAACGTCCGCGGCAAGGCGTGACGGCCGCATGTCGGAGAACTTGGAGAACCTCAGAACCCATTGTTGAACATGCTGGCAGAGTTTCTGACATGCATTCTCAAAATAATCTTCATCTCGAGCTTCCAAGAATGTTTCGCTTGGCTTGGATGCCAGAATCTCCTTTTGTAGCGCCCTAACCTGCTCCCGAGCCTGATCGAGCTCCTGGTGAAGTTCTCGTAGCTGCGCATCTTTTTCTCCAAGGACGGCATTGAATTCCTGCTGCAATGCCTTCTCCCGTTCTTGAAATGCATGTTCATGTTGCTGCTTAAGTTCCTCAAGCTCCTTTGCTGAGTGAAGCCATTGCACATACGTTTTGTGGTGCTCGGTCTCCAGGTCACGGTAACGTCCCTCATGACCGGCCAGCAGGTCGCGGTTGGTCGAATTTAGATTGCCATTGACCTCATTTAGTCGAATCACTTCCTGCTGGGCCTTGGCTAGAATTTCCTTGAGTTTGTTGATCTCCAGATCCTTGTCACGAAGTTGAAAGTCACGTGCCTGGACTGTTTCAGTCAAAGAGCGTGCATCTCGAGCTTGGCGGGCATTGACGTCTTCAAGCTCCTTGCGAGCGCGCGAGCGGGCATCTTCTAGCAAGCGATTTTCAGATGCAAGTTGATCGAGGCGGGTTTCCAAGTCCATGATTTGCATACTTTGTCGCCGACGCACAATGCTTGGTGGTCGCGACGGGGAGAGCGGGGAGCCTTGAATATGAGGATCGCCCCATCCCTCCTACAAATTCTCATCGGTTAGGATTCTCAATCTTCTGGATGACTCTGTCGCAGAAATCATCAAATTGCCAAAAATGGGGACTTACATAAACATCAGCCATGTCTCCGGCCCGACCTTTGCCTTTGTCCTTGACGGGATCGTAGCTGGATGACGATTCCAGCGGGTCGAGGTTCGCTTGTTGTGATTGCTGAGCCTCGGTTCCCACAAACAGTTTGGCTTCGTCTCGTTTGCTTGCGGCTCTTAAGTCTCCGCTTCGGCTACGATCGACGTGCCGCAGTGACGGCGTCGATGTACCCGATCGGTTGCTGAGTCCACTAACCGACCGGGCCACCCCCAATACTCCCCCTGACCCAATGCTGCGTATGCTCTGCGCACTTGTTGACCGTTGCTGCTGTCCCTCTGCCGCTCGTGCGCGTAGACCTTCATTGGAGAAACTTGACAAATTGCTCTGACGGCTAGAGGGCCGACTTCTTGCTCGACTCAGGCTTAGTGGGGCCTTCTGTTCCGCCTCTAGGCGCAAAAGTCGAGAAGTAAAATCGTCTGAAGAAATGCGGCCTTGGCCATCACCTAATGTTCGGCGCGAGCCCGATCTTGAATCGCTCCTTTGAGAACCTGTAGGAGAGCCTAATGGGCTGGCTAGGCTTCGTTGATCTCCAATAAGTTCATCCCCAATAGTACCTCCAAGCGTGGTTGTGGATTTGCTTCGTTTGCTCAGGGGCGATTCTTCAGGACTGGCCTCTCGGATCGTATTAAGCCGCGTCGCGCTCAAAGGTTTGGGGGGCGGGGTCTCCTTAGGAGACATCACCTGCGAACTCAAGTCGCTGTTGATGCCAATTGGTCCACCAAATAGAGATGGCCGTTGAATTTGCTGTATGTTCTTCTGACCATTAAGTGCAGCCAGGGCCATGGCGTGCTCGTGCGGAGTACTGTTATCATTGGGAACAACTTTGAAAGGATCGTCGACTCCTTGTCCAGATATTATCGGAAACAAATCTTGCCTTTCATGAGGATGGACTTCTCTCATCTCCGGTATTTGAGATGCATCATGGACCTCCGCTTCTGGGGCTTGCTGAGCTGGCTCGTTTGGAGGTGGGACAGGTGAAGCTTGAAATAGACCAGAGTCACGGTCTTTTGTCGTAGATTCCACCGGAGAAGGCTGAGAGAGATCCGCAGCTCCACTTTCCTGCGCGCTCGATGTCGTGGAACGGATAGGTCGAGTGTCAAGATAGTCACTAGTTTCAATGGAAATTTCTTGAGGGTTCAACTGTGACTCCATTGATTGTGACGCGTCATCTTGTGCTGTCTGGGAATGCATTTTATCTCGCTGAGAGATATCAACGACGTAATCCGGACCAACATCTATAGAGGCCTTCAGGTGCTCGGGAGATGTATGTTCTGTTCGACCCATATCGAATGCCCCTGAGGCTGACGGAGGATCTTCATGCTCGTCAAATCTGCCTTCTGCCTGGTCTATCATGCGCGCCTCCGTTGTTGTATCTTCAGAGGGAATCTGTGGTTGGAGTTGTTCAAGAGTGTTTACTCCTTCGGCCAAGCAGCGGTCCTCAATTTTGGCCTCATTTGCTGCTTCCGAGTCTAACTGACCGAGGTTGGTAACTGAGTTTTCGGGAGCTTGCTCTTGAAGGCCATCGCCCGGAGACTGTTCACGGCTCGACTTTGTCTCTATATCCTCTCCTTCTCTATTCGGGGCCGTTTCCGACTTGTTGGATCTTGAGAGGCCTTCGGTTGATGACGTTGTGGGCTCTTTCATCGGTAGCTGCTGAGGTTCGGAAGCATTGTCTAAAGTAGAGATGGTTTGCACGTCTGTAGCTGGAACCCTTTCTTGTCCGTGCTCGGCTTCCGTTTCTTCGAGAGAGGAGCGTTGCATAGCCGTCACATCCAGGTCTCTAGCTTGCTGGTCTGGAACCGCTGCAGTGGCGCCCCTCCACCGCGGCTGATTCGGGCTTAAGGGTCTTTGCGCTGCAACTATTTCCGGCTCATCGTGCAGCTCCTCTTTCTCAAGCGGAGATTCGTTTATTTTCTCGACAAGAGGCTTGCCTTCATTCCCAACTGGAGGGTTTGCACATTCATCCACTTCTTGATTAAGATCTTCGGGTAATGCGGAGTAGGTCTTATCGTGTGATAAACGC